ATAGGGCTATTTTAACTATAATAACTATTGAATAATAATAATAACTTGAATCCCTTTTCTAATGAATTGTCGCAATAATGTACGCAGCAGGAAATTGAAATAATTTAAAATGCTAAATTTTGGCGGTCATAGAATTTCAAAGTGACAGTGACAGAAATTCGAAATAATTAAAAAAAGCGGGCGGGACGACTATGGTGTTTCGTCACATTGTCAGGTGGACAAACCAAATGAAACAAAATATTGAAAACCCCAACAGCTGTCAGTTTTGTGTCCGGACTCTTGTCTAAGGTATATACAGGGACTCTAGTGAGATATTCCCATATACGTATTAATAAACAATACGGATCATAACGGGTGCCAGGATGAAGCAAAAATATGAAACAAATGAATATCCATAAGGATTTGGTGGCATGATACGCATGCGCCATGCGCTATTATAGTAGTCATCAAAGACATGCGTTTCGGTGGACAATGACGTTTACTAGCCTTTCAATCAAAGCAGTATGTGTCTGATCGTTTCAAAACTTTTCCTTATGGATAGTCATTTGTCTTCAAAAATCAGCTTCATGTTTCGCTATGGAAACAGATAGAGATTATCCGTATTGATTATTAATACGTATATGGATATTCCAGTTGGTTCAGATTATAATGATGTGATATGTCTATGTCATGAATGTCATTTTCATTCCGCAATAGAAAAAATCACTGAAAGTGATAGATTCTTGTGAACAGAAATACTATTCATTCCAAATATTTAGACTCAACATTCTGCTGAAATCGCTGACTATTGAAAGGTAGTGTGGCTTCAGTGAACTTTCAGAGGGGGAAAAAATTTCACATTTATTTCCATTGTTATTCAAACAATTAACATCAAGCCTTATCTTAGCAATAATAAATTAATAACCCAATCAGCACCAGACATCTTAAAGACGTACATTTTACGACTTACTTATGTCTTTACGTCCAGGGACGTATAAAGTACTTAAGATGTAAATCCATGTACATCTTAAAGACGTACACAAATTTACGTCTTTAAGACGTACATTTTAGGTCGTATCCACGTCGTTCCTCCCATGTCGTATGAAAGACGTCTTAAAGACGTACATTCCAGTACGTCAATTCGACTTATAGAACAATAATGTAAGTTATTTTCTGAAGAAAAACAAAATGTCATCTCTTCACGTTTTTTATTTTCAATTGTTCAGTTTTTTTCTTATTTTCAACAAAAGTGATGTTTTTGAATTTTTTCTCCGACATTTTGGAGCCTTCGTGTTAGATTCTCGAATTTTTACAAAAAAAATCATATTCTCCGACCCCGAAAGTCCCATAGTAATCAATTTTGAATAAAATCGGACTATAATCACAGAACTCGTCCGCCATTTTGAAGCCGACATCTTGGATTTTTCATTTTCGACGAAAGGAATTATAATCTCTGATCCCGAAATCCTTCAGATGCCAATTTTGAATCAGATCAGACCATAATCAGAAAAACATATGCCACATCGTCCGCCATATTGGATCCGCCATTCTGTTTTTTCCATTCAATAATAATATCACAACGAATTGTCACCGGAATAATATTTACTTGCCAAATTTCAAATCAATCGGACGATTTGAAGTGAGTCAAATTCAACTTGCACGTTTTGATTACAAACAGAGACAAGGACATGTTAAACTAAGTAAAAGCTTGTTATGTGATATATAGAACAAACAGAGTAACAGAAGAAGTGAATATGGTATAATCATCGAAGTCAAGCAACAAAGAGCGCGGTTAGTAGTTGAATGGGTACCGCTTGTATCTACCGTTTGATGAAGTCGTTTATTTTCCTTTTTTTTTTGCTTGTCTGCACTTGTTGCTAACTTCAGTGCACAGGTGAAAATCAACTGAAACTATGTGATTTTTCCGTAATTTGAAAGATCAATTCGAGGTCATGGACCAAAAACACCTAAAAAAGACGTCTTAAACACGTACATATTAGTGGAAAATGTACGTTTTAAAGACGTCTTAAAGACGTCTCTTGGGCGTAATATGTACGTCTTTAAGACGTACTTATGTCTCGACATGTACGTCTTAAAGACGCCTTCAAGACGTACTTTGGCTGATTGGGAATATATCATATTTAATATCAGAAAATGCCAGTTATTGAAATAATTGACGCTGAGAATAATATTCAAATTTCACCTGATGATAACCTTGAAAACGTGTTCCGAATTACAGCACTGTATTTTTTATTTTTGATTTCGGAACACAGATTTTCATCAGCGTCAGTGGTTTTACTCACAGTACTGACCAGTTGAATTCGGAATATAGCCTTAGTCTTCTGTGAAACGGAAATGCACAAATTCAATACTACTTGCATCGGTCCATCTAGAGGCAGGGCGCAACAAATAATCCATGCGTGAAATACAATTCAACTTTTGTTGTATTACTGTATTAGTAAATTATTGCAGTGAAAACTTCTTTAGGCGCGTTCATCACGGTGAAGAAAAACATTGGATTTTGCGTCATCGTCACATTACCTTCAAGTCACTGATTAGCAAAAAATAAAAAAGGTATCTCCCAGGCTGGACCAATTTTTCGGGAATAGGAAAATAAGAATTAAAATTCGTGAAAATCAGGATCCAATATGGCGGATTTTGTTATTATGATTCGATTCTATTCAAAATTGGTGTATGGGTAGATTATGATGCCTTCCTGAAAACTAGAATATTCAAAATGGCGGATACCATATGGCGGACGAGTTTTGAAATCATGATCCGATTCTATTCAAAATTAGCATCTAGGGGTTTTCAGGGTCGGAGAAAATGATTCCTTTGTCAAAATTTGGAAATTCAAGATGACGGATCCAATATGGCAGATATCGTAATTATGATCGGACTCTATTCAAAATTGGAATCTGGGAGGTTTCGGGGTTGGAGATTATGATTCATTGGTCAAAATTTGTAAATTCAAGATGGCGGATCCAAAATAATATAATGCACGATTTTTGAAATTTTGATACGATTGTGTTTAAAATTTGTATCTAAGGGTTTTCGGGGTCAGAGATTATGATTCCATCGCCAAAATTGGAAAATTCAAGATTGCAGATTCAATATGGCGGACGAATTTTGTAATCATGGTCCGATTTTATTCAAAATTTGTGTCTGGGAGTTTTCGGGGTCGGAGATTATTAATCATTTGTCAAATTGGAGATTCAAGGGAAATATAAAGGAGTAGAAAAATAATAATCTAATATAGCTCCACAATACAATTCACAAACTAATTAGTTTCCACTTCTATCAGCATTCCCCAAAGGTTGCCCTGGCACTTTCTTCTGCTGAAAAATGTTTTCAGCTTTTGAAACATTGAGAATTTTCAATGCTTCCCTTTCAATGCTTGCTTTCAATTTCTAGCTACCAGCTAGCTATACTAGTTATTAGCATCTCTGTACCTACTTTCAATTTTTTTTCTGATATAGTCAACATATTAATCAATTTCATAAATAAAAATAGTTTGCAGCATGGATCAATACTAGCCATTATTACACATTAACTGTGGCACTGCACATGGTCGCCTATGCATTGAATATGCCTATGTTGAGTTACATGGAGTCCCAAAGTTAACATGACTCTATCAGTATATTTGAAGGGTTATAGGTCTCTATAGTGTTTAATATTTCAAACTGTATGTCTCTTTGCTAATTTATATTCACCAAATGTATGCCTTACATAAAACTACCAAGTATGAATATATTTTTTGTTTGAGTAAAACAATGATGATATTTTGCATAATCATGTCATGCTATCTTTATAATTTATCAATGATATATAGCAAAAATAATCTTGTGTCATATGAGTCAGCTTACTATGATGGTGCTGGTGATATGAGCTACTTTGGTAATCCCTGAGATAATCCATTGATATATTCAAATATTATTTAACAATAAAAAACATGATAATGTTATTGCACTACTAGATTCCTTAGATACCAACTTGTTTTGATGGAACACATTTTCACATAAAATATGAAGGGTATGAAATACTATACAACAAAAAATACATAACCTAATATAATGAAGCATTACTCAAACTAAACTAAATAGTAATATTGTCATAAATTTGTGAGACTACTTTTTCTAAACAATCTAACCTGGCTTGGCCTAAAGGGAAATAGTTGTTGATACATATTTTTTTCCTGAGGATGGTTTAAAATGAAAATATGAAAACTATAGACAATCTTAATCTCAGCAATTCAAATCACAAATGAATGTTTTATTCATCTAAATAACTTGCTTGAAAACTGGGTGGAAACATACTATTATGAACAAATTTATGAAGACATAAACATTAACTTGGTTGACAGGAATGAGATGATAGTAATTAACTACTCATGGTCTATTGAAAAATGGATTCCCTGCAAAATGGCCTGGAAACAACCAAACTAAGAATTGACAATTGAATTATTAAGAATAATTCAAGATACTTAACTAGCAGTGATATTCATTGTGACAAAGATAACTTAGAAAATCTTGGTATACACATACATAGGTAATAGTGTTGAAAAAAGTGTCTCCATTCCACTTCTACCTAAATCTTGATCAAAATGAGAACCTCATTGAAACAAAATTTAGTCAAAAATGTGTCAAATTTCAGTTTGGTCAACAACCAGCTCATGGGATTACAGATTATAATTCACTAGTGGCTTGTAAATATGAATAATTATGCCCCTTAAATTGTTTGAAATCCCTATAGATATGAATTATGGTCAGTATTGAATAGGTAACTAGATTGCTAGGTATTCTTGAAACTGTCTTTCTAAGAGCTACACAAATGGAATTCAATTGTATTAGTCTTGGTATTAGGGATCTCACAATTTTCATCAGGAAAAGGAGACACTGACTGTCTTAAATACAAGACATTCATTGGACATATTCATCAGAATACTATACATGGAACTTATTACTTTCCAAATTCAATGAATTGCAGAAAATCAACATCTCATTGTCATTGTAGTTACTCACCATGTCTAATTGGAGTAGCCATTTGATGTGGAGGGATTTTAACTCCGTAATTATTCCAAGACTGTTCTGGCATTCCACGGATAGATCTGGTCTCCAACATGACAAGAAGCACAACTAACTAGTGCTAGCTGACATACATGCTTCTATCTACACTTTTGCTGAACTGAGGCTCTTAAATAAATAAAAATAAAGTGTCAGCATGCCATTCAAAAAAAAAATCCACGTTTTTTTTTACAATCCAGCAAGCAGAGACAAGAATCAATTTTTTATGAAACAATTGACCATCAATTTGGAATGTGAGTTCATTGAAAATGTTAGTGTTTGTAGTGGTGTTCATCAGAAAGATTTGTTTTTGTGAGTCACAAGTGGTAGCAATTATCATACCAATATGTTCCCAGCAAGGGGGAAGCATATTTCCCTCACAGGCCGATTCCTTCGGGGGTGGGACCAAAACAGGTAAGTACAAGTAGCATCATTATAGCGGCTTACCGATTTTCAAACTGGACATATTCCTTTGTCACTCATATGTTCATTGTATGAAGCACCATTTGAAACATTTGATAATTTTTCTTTGGAAAAGATAATTTCATCAGACATAACAATCATAGAGTACAGAAATCTAGGCAGAGAAGTGAGGACTAAGGACATCGGGATTCGGGATCCAGATCCGGTGTTGCCAATTGTCAGGAACATTTTACCATATTATACATGGCGCCGACCCAAATTATACATAGTTGTGCACATCCACCTTGGAAATAATACAATTTTTATACACCAACGATTCCAAGCCAGTTTTGTCCGAAAAAAAAGTGATCATACGTATTTCTATTCAGAATTTCGATATTGATATTGCTGAATATAACCTTAGATGGTTTGAGATGATAATAATAACCATACTGAGGCTCAGCTGCAGCTCAGAGTTCAAAGATGGAGAAATTTTTTCAACATTGACATTGACAATTGTGTCGCCTTGTCTCTAGCACAGTCTCTACGTTGTAACTGAGAATCTTGTTTTGAAAACTATCGATAGTATCGCTAGTGCATATTTCCACGAGTTGCACGAATATCGCGATACCATATGACAATGACAACCGTTTAAAACTTATACATGATATATATTATTTTCTTTCAAAATTTTAAGGTCAATTACTCCGTAACGTAAAAAAGCAAAATTGAATATTATGGAGAAAACTGCGTTTGAAGTTTGAGCTATCTCAATTTCTCGTGTTGTTATGACATTTGATATATTATTTATGGACTTGCTTGTGATAATTAGTGAGTTATCATATGCATATATAATCATTAATGATTGTTAAGTTATTTTTTTGTTACAAAAAAGGTGATGTTTGCAAGATGTGCCATTATTGTTGAAACCAAATTATACAGTTTGGATTAAAAATTCATGAAACGTATAATGAACACTCCCAAGTTATCTCTGAATAAAACAAAAATGTAACTATATATAGTGGCATAACTCAAAATGTGCTACTAATGCTGAAACGGAATCGGTTCTACTTCTTGAATGTGTCACTATTGCTCAAACATTACGAAGCAGAGTCAATGGCACACAGAAAATATGCCGGAGTTGATGCATCTTAAAGGGCTCAGCATTTAGTACCTTGTAGTGGCACAAGTGCCATCTCGAATTAACTATCTAACTAATTTTACGCCAGTATTTATCGATGAAACGTTCTAACGTGTTTTATATATTTTTGAGATGTGCCACTATTGTCGCCGGTGAGCGATATGATAAGTACTGATATTATTTTGGCTCCCTCTATATCAGCCCTATCCATTTACGACATGACCTTTCGGACACCCTGTATATCAGTATTACTATTATTAGTTTCAATTTTTACCAAAGGATAACAAATTAATATACATTCATGACAATATTGCTTCCTGCTGATTAATACACATACAGACCTCCGAATTTTACATAATCCGTATAATTATACATGAAACGGCAACACTGTTGGCATCGGACATCTATCTTCCTTCAAGGACATTAGCGCGAAATTTGAAATCAGGTTCATTCATTCAAGATGATTCAATTCAAGTTATCAAATCAAAAGGCGACGTAGTGGGGAACCCAATCAAGGACGAGGTTGTTTTCACCCACAAAACGTTATATGAAATTGTCATGTGTGGAAATATCTTCATATTCCCACATCATCCCACGATTATTTGAATAGCTATTAGAGGTAATACCTTGTAATAGATCGTACTAGATTCGAACAGTGATGAAAAATATAGGAATATTGAAAATTAAACTTTATTTGTGTAGTTTTGAAACATTGAAATTGCAATATTTCGTTTTTGGTTTTCAAATCATTGAACATTGTCGGTGGTGTATTTTTCTTTGTTCACTAGTTCACTATAGGTGGGAGAATCGAAGGTGGACATACATTGGATGGAAGTAGCTTTCAAAAAAAACAACAATTATAAAATTAAATTTATTATAATATAACGGGTGGTGTGGTGGTCCATTCAGGAAAAAGAATGAAACATAATTATCTATGCAAGACTTGAATGGAACATTTTGATAGAGCAGTATTAGAAAAAAAACTATTCCCCATCTGTCATTAATTGTAAAATAGTGAAAATTTTATGATGGTAAATAAGCATCTCAGATGGTAACATGGGAAACATGATACAATGTTGCCAATATAAGGAAAGGACCGATGGGGAAGTAATTTTTTTTTCTCAAGGCTAACTGAACTGCTCTCATGCACGAATTTTCTGCGCGCTTAATGTTTTTTTTGTCGCTTGGAGCGCAGGAAAGGGTCTCTATTCTTTCTTTATTCAATATATGGATAGATTTCTGTCCAGTGGAAAAATTACTAGAGCAAAAAAAACAGCAAACATTATATATTTCTCTCATTTATTATTATGTACAGTCGTCTTCAGAAAACATGTCGCCCATGGACGATGATATAATTCTTAATAACTCCTGCAATAAGAGCGCCGACACCGTCCAACCGCGACATGATCTCTGAAGACGACTGTACATTTAAGATAGGCCACTGAAAAAATCTGAAACATTTTTCATCTTGGATGAAGGCAGATTATTTTTCAACTCTTTCCTCTTATTGTGCTTCTTATGCTTCTGGGAGACCTTTTCAAAATCCTCAAAATACTGAATATTCCAAAACTTAATATCATTATTATGGCTACTGGAAGCTATAAACTGCCCAGTATTACAAATATCAACATTTTCAACTGACAAATCATGTTGTCCAACAATTCCCAAGTGGCGATGTGGAAACAAATGTGTGGCTCTGAGGTTTCCATCTTCACAGGCGATTACAACTATGTTTTCTGTTATGGGAACCAAGGCATTGACAGCAGTTTTGGGTCCTGGGAAAGCATCACTATGCAGACCAAACTCTTCCCAATTGTACATGTAGAGCTTGCCAGTGGAAGAACCTGAAACGAGTTTAGTGCCGGTTCTGAAGAGCCCTAGACATGTTAGTTCTTCTTCATATTCTTCAGACTGCATGTGTATTTTTCTGCAAAGAAACAGAATATTTTCTAAAAAAAAAGAGTAGAAAAATTCATTCCACCAAGAAATTGTTATAGACCCCAGTACGACAAGAGAGATATTTTCTTTTCATTTTATTTTTTTACTACTGTCGGGCATCTAACCAGAATGTCAGAGCCCTTACGGCGCTGACAGAGCGAATGAGAGACAGACGGCTCTCAGATGGCGACGAGTACAGATTATCGATTTTTTTGATTTTTCGTTTGTCGTTGTAAGCCGCCCCACGTTGGGCGCCATGTTAACGATGCTGTATTTTTCTTTGTTTAGGTAGGTATTTCGGTATTTCTTATTATGAATATTTCATTGGTATGTTAGTCATTCATATCTTGGACAAAAAAAATTGGTATAAAGTATAGGTGTATTATAAGTAGGTACTCACAAAATAAAACGCCGATTATCCATTTTACGATCACTCACAAACGGCTTACAACGACAAACGAAAAATAAAAAAAATCGATGATCTGTACTCGTCGCCATCACAGATTAGCAAACCTTATGAGAGCCGTCTGTCTCTCATTCGCTCTCATTCGCTCTGTCAGCGCCGTAAGGGCTCTGAAATTCTGGTTAGATGCCCGACAGTAGTAAAAAAATAAAATGAAAAGAAAATATCTCTCTTGCCGTACTGGGGTCTATAACAAAATAAGGCAGAATTTACAACATCTCAGGAAATTGAGTAGGAAATGGAAAAGTATTAGTTATATTTATTTTTTGATGAGCTGTTATTTCAAAATGCTGATCACTCATTGATCATCTCCAATTGATAATTTCAGAATTACGTCATTTGACAGGTTGCTGAGGGGCAAACATTGTAATTTGTCAAGATTTGTCATATGAAACCAGAATTAGTGGGATCGTTATCCTTGGAATCGGAGTTGGAACCAGAAAAGGCGTTTTCGGAAACTTACTCTGGCTTGTTGACTGGATCTGAACGGGTCACGTGATGGATCAGTCGGATCACTTATCCTAATACTATTTCATTGAGTTAGCTTTATACCTCTTTGAATAGAACTTCTTGATTTCTTACAGCTGTATGCAATTTTTTCAGTTTGCTATAGGATATCAATATTTTCGGATCAATTTCTCCATATCTTTAAAAACATACCACTAAACTCTTAAAAGATACATGTTGTTATTGTTCTAGAAATAATGAATATTGCTTCTGCTCATAATGTTGGTGTATTTTCATCATCAAACTAATGCTATTCAACATAATTCACTTCTTGTTCAATTGATGAAATCAAATAATATCTGAAATGACCTTAGAAATACATGAATCGTGAGTAATTCTGTGGTAGTAAGTGTATGATCTAAGGTAGTAACTCCGGCTGACCCTGCTTTGGAGCAGGGTTGTGAAACATCAACCCAAGTTAGTGATGGAGTTAGTAATCAAGTAAGTAACACTGAAGTTTTCGAACATGGGTATGTTACTCGGGTTAGGTAAACAAACATGCAGGTTAGGGATCAAGTCAACCTGAGTAAGTTTCCGAAAACGCCTAAAGAATTTCATGATTTTGTTTGGTGAAACTGTTATTATACTGTGGATATGGCAGGGATGGCCAGGGCTAAGCTGATCAAAGGTAATCTAAGATATTTTTTGTGCCCCTCAAGAAACCATTTCAAAATCACATTTTCTGGAATGGCTAATAGAACTATTGTGTGTCCAATCAACAATTATCAACCTTGACAAAGAGAGGGATTTTTCTAAAATTCAAACTTTTTTCAATGCATGAACCTACTATTTAAATTTACAAAATACTTTCTTATTCATTTTAATGTATATTTATAACTTAGTATTTGCAAATATTTTTGTGAATTATCTGAGAATATTCAAATACTCCTGAAGTTAACTCACCAAATACTATCTGAATACCTTTGGAATACCTATTTGGGTTCTATAGGAATATTTAAATGATCTTGAAGTATATGAATCTTCTCAGAATATCTAAATACTTACTTATTCTGATGTCTGATGAGTATAAGAAACATGAATGTATATTATTAGAATATTAGTGATTGGAAGAGCTGGAGGATGCAGTTTTTCAAAAACTTTATAGAATAAATATTTCTTTGTTCATCCTTCAGCATTTTCCTAGTATTAATAGTAGATTATACCACGAGTCAATAATGATAGCTATTATTCTCGAGGATTTTTTACGAACCGAGCCGCGTTAGCGGCGAGGGAGTAACATTCCGAGAGAATAATAGCCATTATTGCGAGTAGTATACTCTACTTTATTTGCGACTAATATATAAACTTGTGGTTTCTGAAGTATAATGCCATATATTAATCCCGCAGGGAATAATGGCGAGGGATTAATAGTCTTTATTCCCTGCGGGATTAATATATGGCATTATACTTCAAAAACCACAAGTATAATATATTAGTCGTGAATAAAGGTCCATTAAAAATGATTTCTCAGGTGTAATGTATACTATAATTATTGCAAATATAAATGTATATGTAGAATTTGATAGGTACCTATTTCGAAGATCAATGCTTGTGAGTGATCCATCTCCACTGGAACATATAAGGTACTTTCTAGATTCATCTGTAATGATGTCACTGATGAAGTCTTCATTTTTCTTCGTATTGTAAATTTGTCTGTCATCTTTTTGTCTCAGATCCCACAGTTTCACAGTACCATCATCATCACCTAAAAATCAACAAATTCAATGGCTAAAATATTTTGTAAAAACTGAGGTAGACCACTAATCTCCAATAATACCTGTGGAAAATAAATGTTCATCAATCACAGTCAAACAGTACACTGGAACATCATGTGAGGATTCATAAAACCTCATCAATTTTCCACTTTCAACATCACTTATCATAATAGATTTATCTTTTGATGTTGAAAACAAAAGTTCACCACTATGACTAAATTCAATATCTCTACAAGCCTTTGTATGTACTTCTAGAGTGTTTGTCAATGTGTTCTCCACATTTGAATATTTGTAAATCAGGATGTCCCCAACTATACTAGCTACAGCCAGAATATCATTGTGAGGATGAAAAGAAATGTCAGTGACAAAGTCTTCACATTGTATAATTGGGGGATGATCTCTTTCATGATTACTTTCCCTTCTTATTGCCTGAATGGTTTCATCTTCTTCTTCTTCTGGTAAGGTTTCTTCCATGTCAGACTGTGAATCATCAACATTTTGAGTTGGAGTTATATCTTCATTTTCATCTTCAGAATCTGAAGACTCCGACATGCTCACATCACTACTATCAGTACTATCTGAATTTGCATCCATTTCTTCGGCTATTGATTCTTCCAAGCTTCCTTCAGGATCCTTTTTTTCACACATACTAGAAAAATGGTACTGCAATGTGCGTTCGGAGGAAGAGAATGGAAGATTGAATTTTTTGAATCATTATAAAGTATCTTACATTAGCGTACATATGTGGTCTAAAACTTAAAAATAAATGAATATTTGTTGATCTTGATATCTTGATCTTACTAAAAAAAGTTCATTGAAAAAAATCAAACAAAAAAAATATGGTTATGTAGGGGTCTTCTTTCTGATTCTTCTTCTTATTTTTCTTCATTGAGAGTGGAGATGTAACCAGCGAACGTAACTATTGCTGCACTTATCCTTTCGCGAACACGACTTGGACCACAGCACAGGAAATCGTTGACAGTTGACACGTTGACGTTAATGACGTTCAATTATTTGCTTATTTTTGTGAATAGCAAAATTATGTTGTTTTTAATCATTTTGTTTTCATTTTTCGTTCATTTTGTTTGAAAATAGATTGAATTCGAAGTTACGGTTGTGTAGACTTTTATCCCAATACTATAAATATGACAATGGGAGATGAAACTCCAGTGACAACATTGATACTTCCAGTTTTAATACGCCCTATTCTTTCTGAGGTGAGTACCTTATCTGGATAATTTTTGCATTACATTCATGACATGTTTTTGTAGTTAGAAAAGCAAGATGTCTCAGCTTCTCAGACGTTACGCTCAGCTCTCACAAAAGCTGAGGCCTCACACCCTGGGCTGGCATATGACCTTGTACTTGGCATTTTAAGAAAGGGAGATCTCACAGTGAATATGAATGAGAGTATATTACGCTTACAAGGAGCTGTCTCAGACTCTGATGGTAAATATAAGATATCAATTTTGAATAGTCCTCACTTCTCTAAGTTTTTAGTAGTAGAATACCGCTTGAATCGGTCAGAAGATGCATTCCAAGAGCTGAACAGGAAGTCTGCTGCTCTCAAAAGAATCTTGAGCAGAATACCAGATGAAATAACAGATAGAAAAACATTTTTAGAAACAATAAAGTGAGTAACTATCAAAGTCTGTAGGTATTCAGCAAGTATACTTAACTGAAAAATTGAATATTGAAACAATTTCTGAATGATGTTTGCTAATAACTATGGAAGTGTGCATTCAAACTGTTGGTTCTTTTTTTTAATCCAAACCACTATTCTGTTATTAAAAGATTTATATTCCACATCTTATTTCAGGAAATTCATGAATAACTTAAGTAGATCATCCTTTGTTATAAATATATCTTTTTATTATTTGAAATCTGATGGAGATTCAAAAATATGTAATTCAGTATTCATCATTTGGTATTATGAAGGAATCTGAATTAATTTTGTTATTCAACAACTGAAATTATTGACTCTGAAAACATTGTTTTTTTTTAGAGAAATTGCCAGTGCTATAAAGAAACTGTTGGATGCAGTGAATGAGGTGAATGGTTTTATTCCAGGTACTACTGGAAAACAATCATTAGAACAAAGGAAGAGAGAATTTGTTAAATATTCCAAGAGATTCAGTAACACTTTGAAAGAATACTTCAAAGAAGGACAGTAAGTAATATCAAATTTTCTTTCATTTCAGCTATGAGATGTGTCTAAATTTCTATAACATATGTTTTTGATTTAATCTGCTCAATAAATTGAGTACCTATCAATAAATACTACAAATAAACCTTATCTTCAATATACCTTATTGGTATAATCTAAATAATTTTATTGCCATGTCTAATATTGGCCTTGAAAAGGCATTACCAACTTATCACTTGACACTCTTGTTTAATCATTATTGTTGATTTTTAGAGCCAATTCAGTATTTGTTAGTGCCCTATATTTAATTCATCAGACTAATATGATAATAACTACAGTGAAGAACAAGTGTGAATGAAGAAAATTATGAACTAAGTTGTTCCTTTTCTGTTGACAGTTCAAAAAAATCTAGCAATTCAGTAATAATAGTTGTGACTTACTTTTAGTTTTTTAATATACATATTTCAGAAGATGTACTCCAATTATAACTGATTTTTGGTTAAGGCTAGAGTATTAAATACAGTTTATTTTTAAGAGATGTGTAATATATGTTATTAAATATATTATAATGTTGTTATGGCACTTTTTGTGTTGATTGTGAGGATATAAATAATTGAAGAGATTCTGAACTTTTCATTCCAGTTGAAGTTGAGAACAACCTATGAAAGTATAAAACAATGCATACATTCAAAAATAATATCCTCAGCAAATATTATTCATGGAATATTAAATGGAAATGCTTTTAAAAATATCCTGAGAATTTAACAAATAAAATATAACATAAAACAAGGATAATAATGTTATTAATATTTACATTTCATTGTATGCACTTTCCTCAATATAATATAAAACTCAGGTAAGAAAAAACATGTTCATATTCACTGCATTTCAGTCATATTTGAGAGCTTTAGTTTTATTTAAAAATAACACAATTAGCATTCCTTCAATGGGCAAGTCAACTATATTTTTTGCAGTATCCTTATCAATGCATTCAATCTCAGGGTTTTGTTATTTTTTCCATTTTTGAAGTATTGTGATCAAACAGCAAAAGCACAAGGGAGTAAACTAACACTGTGCTGGTAAGATGATGCTGCAGATAAAGCATCAAAAATAAAAAAAAACTCATATTTTTGAATTGGTAAAATTTCCAGTTTTTTAAGCCCTAAGAGAAATGAAAAGAATTGAAAAATTGATCTTGCATTATTTCTCAGAAGTTATTGAATTCATTTTTATTTTTATGAAAGTTGTGAGAATTTAAAAACATTTTTTTACATTTTTGAAAACTGCAACTTCTAGATACAAAATCTAGATGAGAAAAAAATCGAAAAAATCAAGGGATTACTTGTTAGGAACATAGTTATCCAAATAAAATCAATTCAGTAAGGGTCTACAACTCAACAGAAAATGTTTCTATTCTTCATATGTTATTCTTCATACTGAAATCAACCCTGTATACTTTCTGAAGAATAATCAAAAATAATTCTCCAATTACTGCCATAAAGCCCACTTTCAAAGACAAAAAAAATTGAAATTGGGCAAAACAAAAAATATGCCCCTGCCACAGTATTTTGGCTGCATCAATTCCTATGGAAATTCCTAAAGAAATATATGTATACAATCGAGTATACAATAATAATAATAAAGCTGAGACCGCCTTATGTTCAGTGAAAAAATGGCTTGATGAAAACCTTTTAACCCTAAATGTTGATAAGTCCAACTTCATGTATTTTGTTTTAACAAAAAAGAACCTCCCTGAAAAAGAATTGCTGATATTTCATAAACCCAATTGTGAAGAAATGAATAATTGTCTATGTAATTTAAAAATTAATTTTAATAATAAAATCAAGTATTTGGGAACTTACTTTGACCCACACATGAAGTGGAACTATCACATTGAATATGTTGTATTAAAAATTAGAAAGTTATATTATAAATTCTATCAACTTCGACAAATTTTGGATAGGAACAGCATTATCAATATTTATAGGGCTTTGGTAGAGTCTGTGTTATCATAATTATGGAATCTCAGCCTGGGGTTCAGCTAAGGGTTCAGCTTATGCTAATGCCATGACTCTTTTAAATATAGCACAAAAATACATTCTAAAAATTATAATGTTCAGAAATAAAACATTTCCTACTGACAAAATCTTTGAAGATGGAGGTGTTCTTGACATTTCTCAATTATACCTAAAATCTGTTGTAAGATATCTATCAATAATGAATGTACCCAAAGTTAATCATGTTATAACAACTAGATCAGTAACAAATGAAAATGTAATTGTTCCTACTACATCTACTACATGTAACCATTCAACAAAGTATATTTTATATAGGACCAAAAATATATAACATACTGCCAAACGAACTCAAAGGCAAACCATACAAAAAAATCAAAAATAAAATATCATCTTGGATTTTAAAAAGCAAACCCAATATCTAGTTATTAGTTTGACATATATTGCATATATTGTATATATTCAGATTGTATATTACATTAGTACATATTAGTCCAGATAGTAGTATATATAGTATATAAGACGATTCATTAGCGAATTCACTCATAGGTGAATAATGTGTTATAAATGTGACTGGTGCACACACAAGCTTTTAAAACTCATTTTGTACCTGAAAATGTTTGTAAACCATATGACTGTTCATGGCTATTGAATAAATACTAAATACTAAAAAAAAAATACTAAATAAAATTAAGTGGCTAGCATCCATGGTTATCATGTCAAAATAGTAAATAAACTATGAATAAAGTTGAAAAATAAATTATATTCAATGGGCGTCGGAGAAAGAATTCATGATTGGTTCACACATTATTTGACAAATAGAAAGCAGTATTCTGATGTGAATGATACATGTGGAGAATCAACGGAAAATTTATACCAACCTAGACATTTTCTGAACCTGATTTCGTTGTATAAACTTAAAATATGTTGTTTTATTCGTTTTGCCAGGAATGAATTGAAAATATCAAATTTAGCTTTCATTATGGGACTAGATAATTTAATTACTTGATAGCAGATACATTAAAGTACAACATTGGCAAACAATCTGTATTTCACTATGTAATAATTTCATACAAATCATTACCAAATGAGTTGAAAAATATACATGATACAAGAAGGTTTAAAATCAATTTAAAAAAATACTTGCTCAGGACAATTTGAATGAAAAATATGTGGCATGATTTGATTACTCAGAAATGAAATGTAATAACTTTCATCTTAAGAAACAATAATTAATAATTAGGTAGTTCATCGAAAAATCCTAATAACAAAGTAGACAAATCAATAGGATTAGTTTGCGGAAAAACTTGTTGGTCAAACTAGGAGACCCATCAAAACTAGCTACAAAGAACATCTCGCACATTCAAACGATGTTCGAATATACAAGTTAAGTAATGTAGTGGTAAAACAGTGTTGTGTGATTGAAATTGTGTTTACTAAAAAAAAATGAAATTGAAGATGAACATCAATCAAGGCCCCTATGATTCCTTGTAAAGTCAGTCTATATTTTTTTATTTTCGCCGTAGCGACAATAACTTTCGCTGGTTTATTCAAGCCAAAATAGAAAGCCATATCGAAGAAAAACTAGCTAGCGTGCACATAATCACAATATAAAACGTGTAGCGAAACCAAAAATCGTCCTCAATTGACTCGACTGCTCGTGTGTACCAAATCGAACACATCACGAAATTCTCTATGAAAACTAGCAAGAAAAACCCGTAGTAGAGAAAAGTAGCTTTCTTAAATTTGATTTTGAACTCTATAATGCAGAATATGGAAATCAAAGCCAAGAACAGGAAAAATACAGACTTGGCTCTCTTAACCGCGTCCGTGTTAATGTCGTATAACAAAAAAGCCATTACTATGACGAAGTGCGCGCTTAGCAACCCGATCGTTTCTGTGACGAAGAAAATAAGGAACGACCAAATCTAGACATAGTAATCAAGGCCCCTATTATTTTTTCAAGTCAGTCTTCTCATTTTTTTATTTTCGCTGTAGCAACAACAACTTCCGCTGGTTTATTCAAGCCAAAATAGAAAGCCATGGAAGAAAAACTAGCAAGCGTGCACATAATCACAATATAAAACGTGTAGCGAAACCAAAAATCGTCCTCAATTGACTCGACTGCTCCTGTGTACCAAATCGAACACATCACGAAATTCTCTATGAAAACTAGCAAGAAAAACCCGTAGTAGAGAAAAGTAGCTTTCTTAAATTTGATTTCATACTCTATAATGCAGAATATGTAAATCAAAGCCAAGAATAGAAAAAACACGGACTTGGCTCTCTTCACCGCGTCCGTGTTAACGTCGTATAACAAAAAAGCCATTACTATGACGAAGTGCGCGCTTAGCAACCAGACCGTTTCCTAGATGAAGAAAATAGGCGAAAAACAATTCTAGGCAGTATTCAAGGCTCCTATTATTATTTCAAGTCAGTCTTCTCATTTTTTTATTTTCGCTGTAGCAACAACAACTTCCGCTGGTTTATTCAAGCCAAAATAGAAAGCCATCGAAGAAAAACTAGCAAGCGTGCACATAATCACAATATAAAACGTGTAGCGAAACCAAAAATCGTCCTCAATTGACTCGACTGCTCCTGTGTACCAAATCGAACACATCACGAAATTCTCTATGAAAACTAGCAAGAAAAACCCGTAGTAGAGAAAAGTAGCTTTCTTAAATTTGATTTTGAACTCTATAATGCAGAATATGTAAATCAAAGCCAAGAATAGAAAAAACACGGACTTGGCTCTCATAACCGCGTCCGTGTTAACGTCGTATAACAAAAAACCGAACCCGATCGTTTCTTAGTAATCAAGGCCCCTATTATTTTTTCAAGTCAGTCTTCTCATTTTTTTATTTTCGCTGTAGCAACAACAACTTCCGCTGGTTTATTCAAGCCAAAATAGAAAGCCATCGAAGAAAAACTAGCTAGCGTGCACATAACCACAATATAAAACGTGTAGCGAAACCAAAAATCGTCCTCAATTGACTCGACTGCTCCTGTGTACCAAATCGAACACATCAAGAAATTCTCTATGAAAACTAGCAAGAAAAACCCGTAGTAGAGAAAAGTAGCTTTCTTGAATTTGATTTTGAACTCTATAATGCAGAATATGTAAATCAAAGCCAAGAATAGAAAAAACACGGACTTGGCTCTCATAACCGCGTCCGTGTTAACGTCGTATAACAAAAAACCGAACCCGATCGTTTCTTAGTAATCAAGGCCCCTATTATTTTTTCAAGTCAGTCTTCTCATTTTTTTATTTTCGCTGTAGCAACAACAACTTCCGCTGGTTTATTCAAGCCAAAATAGAAAGCCATCGAAGAAAAACTAGCTAGCGTGCACATAATCACAATATAAAACGTATAGCGAAACCAAAAATCGTCCTCAATTGTCTCGACTGCTCCTGTGTACCAAATCGAACACATCACGAAATTCTCTATGAAAACTAGCAAGAAAAACCCGTAGTAGAGAAAAGTAGCTTTCTTGAATTTGATTTTGAACTCTATAATGCAGAATTATGTAAATCAAAGCCAAGAATAGAAAAAATACGGACTTGGCTCTCTTAACCGCGTCCGTGTTAACGTCATACAACAAAAAACCGATTACTTATGACGAAGGCTGCGCAGAGTAACCCGATCGTTTCTGTGACGAAGAAAATAAGGGACGAACAAATCTAGACAGTAATCAAGGCCCCTATTATTTTTTCAAGTCAGTCTTCTCATTTTTTTATTTTCGCTGTAGCAACAACAACTTCCGCTGGTTTATTCAAGCCAAAATAGAAAGCCATGGAAGAAAAACTAGCTAGCGTGCACATAACCACAATATAAAACGTATAGCGAAACCAAAAATCGTCCTCAATTGTCTCGACTGCTCCTGTGTACCAAATCGAACACATCACGAAATTCTCTATGAAAACTAGCAAGAAAAACCCGTAGTAGAGAAAAGTAGCTTTCTTAAATTTGATTTTGAACTCTATAATGCAGAATATGTAAATCAAAGCCAAGAATAGAAAAAATACGGACTTGGCTCGCTTAACCGCGTCCGTGTTAACGTCGTACAACAAAAAAGTCATTACTATTACGAAGTGCGCGCTTAGCAACCAGATCGTTTCCTTGATGAAGAAATAAGCAAAGACGGATATCGCGAGGACTCTGGCTAGGAGGAAACAGAACCACCAAGTGCAGGCGATTAGTTTGCCCGCCAGATCGTCGTCTTCCAAGCCCTTGACGTATACGATTCGAGAGATGCTGAAATCCGGCTCGGATTGACCGGATATTCCTGTTTCTCTGAACACCATGCGCCTGGGTCCGTCTAGCACTGATGTTTCTCTCATGGTAGGCGGCAGGTTAAGCACATCTGAAATGGAACGAGAGGTCGGAAAGTTTCGATACTAGATATCGATATACCGATACCAAACCCTAATAACACAACTCGATCCAATGGACGTCCTATGGACATCCTCGTCTGGAAATCTCGGATATCCAGTTTATGTACACTGATGATTTTTCAGCTATCCATATGGTCATGGACATCTATCGCTAACAACACAAGTACATCCTAGGGACTTCCCAGGGACGTCCCTAATTTTATACTAGCACATCCTAGGGATATCGTTTGTTGGGACAAATAACATACTAGTGACGTCCCAGCGACATCCGCTTTCCGACTAAAAGGACATCCAATAAGGGATGCCCTTCTGGTACGTCCTTGGGATGTACCAAGTACGAAGTAAAGATATCCCTAGGACACCCCTTTGATAGAAGAAAAAAATGTAGATCGAGTAGGAATTGAACCCGGGCCTTTAGCTTATTATCAGGCACGCACCTTACTCCATTGACTAATATGCCTTTTGAAGATTTATGTACTGAACAGATTTATAAACAGGACTAAACTACAGAAAACTGAATAAATACAACTTTGTTATGATTTGGGTATGATTATTATCATTCTTGGGTGTTTAAAAATTAAGGGCATTATTTATTTACGATTTCTGTTTGCGAAAAATGGTCATTTCTTAAGAAGTTCTGAGACTATATTCTTTATTTTCATTACAATGATTTTCCGGAAGAAGAACAAACATTTTCAAAAAAATTCACATATTTGATAAAAATTTGAAAAATAATATACAGCACATAAAAATACCTCAAAACGTATAGATCATGAAATAATAAACTAAAGAAGCCGAAAATAAGGAACAATATGTATGAAATGACAAATAGGAAAGAACAGATTAGATACTATTAATAGGATGAAATTAGTAATTCAAAGTCAAATCAGTTAATCTATAACTAAACAGTTTGGTTCTCCGTTGTTGAATTGGAAGTCATGGACTTTTCATCGATGTGGGCTTCTTTAGGATTTCTCATAATTATCTTCAAATAATTGCTTTGTGTGCAATAATAGCTTGGGATATCTGGATTTTGTTCTTGTACAAGATTATTGGTAATTGAAGACCTCGGTGCAAGAACCGGGCAACTCCCATTTTTTTAATTGTTGGAATTTGAAAAAAAATATGATAAATGATATGAATCCTTTAGAGTTACGTCAGATAAGCTGTATTTACCTAGATACTAATTTCCATTTACATTGTTAAAGCTAAAAAACAAGTTTGAAAAAATGGAGTTGCCTGTTTCTTGCCCCAAAAAGCCAATTTTTTTAAAATATAGTCAAACTCGTGCAATAATTTTGCTTTTGTATTGAAAATGAAATTTAAAACGAGCAATATTGTGAACGAATAGTATTTTGAAGATAGGAAGAATCGCTGACGTTTCCTGCGTCTTGATCTTCGTTACCATTGCCGGAATTTGGGTCCTCTTCGTCAACAGTTATGTTTTTGGATCATATATTCACTCCCCGAATCTTCGAAGGACTCACGTCTACTTTCCGACGACATTACATAGTATTGCATGAAACAAATGATCAAACCATAGATCTAATTACACAAATCAAACTAATCACGCCACACACGATGGAAGACGCGGGTAGGCTTGCCGCTGATAACCCCACTCCGACATCTCCCACTACATGCGTATACATTTCGTTGTTAAAATCGGGTAACTCCTGGAGTCGATGATACCCGATACTGTGGTGAGCTCCAGCAAGATAAATTCCAAGCTTGTATGGAGCTGCATTGAATCCCTAGAAAGCCTGGGTGCTAACAACAGAGTCACTTTGCTGTGGGTGCCTGGACACCAGGGGGTGGAGGGTAACGAGAGAGCCGACATCCTCGCCAAACAGGGAACCGAATCTGTGTTCATAGGACCAGAAGCATATTTTGGGGTCACGCAAGTGCGGCGAAAACAACTATCTCGGGCTGGGCGGAGGGAAAAACACTCACGTACTGGTCCGAATTACCAGGATTGAGCCATTCGAAGGCGTTCCTGCCTAAACCATCGGAAAAAATAACCAGACAGATCCTAGAATGGAGCAGGGGTAACCTGCGAATTCTGACTGGACTGCTTACGGGACACTGTCGTCTAAGATACCACCTGGGAAGGATGGGTCTGAACCAACAAACGGACTGTCGGTTCTGTTGTGTGGAAGACGAAACGGCTGAACACATATTATGTTCATGCTCTAGCTTAGAAAGACTAAGGTTCGACACATTTGGCTTTACCAACCTAGAACCTATCGATTTCAGACAAATGTCACCCAATTCAACCATGAACTTTGTAAAAAGATGTGGATTGTACGGTGAACTGTAACCTCTAGGGGTGAGCCACAATAGACCCATCTGGGGTCGCAGTGGAGGGGAGGTGTTCGCCCCACTCACATGGAACCTAACCTAACCTAACCTACTGTGGTGTTAAGGAACATTATCAGTGAGGACATGGAATTGACACCATATGGATTACTTTTCGTGGACATCCATTGGATAACTTCATGTGGACATCCTATTGTTGTCCAGAATGGGTCCATGAACACCTTGGACATATAATGGACACCACATGAATTACTTCACCTGGACATCCATTGGATACCTTCATGTGGACATCCTATTGTGCTCCAGAATGTGTCCATGAACACCTTGGACATATAAAAGACACAAAACGGATATCTGATAGACATGTTGTGTTATTAGGGAGACAAGTATCGAAGTATCGATTATGAATGCCAACTGTCACTATCGGTTTGGAGTTCTGATCTATGCATTATAGAATTAATAGTTCACGATATATCTATATATTTATATACGAGGTGTTTTTGAAATAAGTATTCGATTTTTCCTAAATCTTCTAATTAACGAGAAATAAATTGAATAAAAAACGAGACAAAATCAAGTACGTCACTTCAAAACAATTTAAATGATTGAACTCCGCGTGATTGTGCCTACCGCATGGAAATTTGGACAAAGGTGATGTCAGAATTACATATACAGGGTGATCAGAATTCTGCATCTTGAAACACCCTGTATCTGTTTCGATTAAAAATCAGTAAATAGTGAATCAAAAGTTGAGATTGGGATATCTGAGGCGTTTTGACCGATAAATAATAATAATAATAATATTTATTCACCATTTTTCAGACATATTTCACATAACTACACAATTCGAAAAAAGAAGAGAAGAACAAAAGAAACAAAAAACAAATACTATTATTATGAAATGTATCGAGTTCCAATCCTGTATGTTAGGTCAATAAATATAAGTGAAATCCCACAAAGGAAACCTGAGCGTGGGAAAAGCAGATATTGTTTAACCTTTTAATACAGTCAAAACAACGAACACGCACATGGACGGCGACAGCACTTTTATAAACTTCTTCACATCAGATATTAGAGAATTGAAGTGTTGTCATGAACGTTAACGTAAACGTAGAAATTGACAGCTACGCATGCGCATTTTCCAATTCTACACGTTTGCGTTGTTAGTGGGCTTACGGGTGTACGTTATCTCACGTTCCTTCACGTATATCTCAAATATCAACGTAGGTTAACCAAACTATACTTGAAATATGCCGATGAGTCAAAATTATCAAATTCGAGATCACCAACGAGTTCTGCATCAAGGAGTCCTCTAATTTTGACAGGAATAAATGTTCGAATCTAAACACACAACCAAAAATGACCAATACAAACCGAAAACAAAATGTATTATTACGTTATGATGACAGTGACGACCAAAGTGGCGACTTCAACTCAATTTAACGACAATACGTCAATGTTATTTTTCGTACGTTAACGTCTACGTGGTGGTCTACGTACAGTGATTACTTCAACTCTCTATTGTTCTTAATAATACGAGACGGATGACGTATAGCATTATAGAGAGCACTGATGAGCAGTGATAGATAAAAAATATAAAACAAACATAGAAAGATATTACAATAAAAGTGCTAGTACACCTGATAATGATGAAAATATAATAATACCGAAACTATCACAATAATAATAATAGTAACAATTACGATAATTACAATAAAAGCAACAACGACAATGACAATATAAAAACGTGAGGGACAAGATAAAATAACACAGAGTTAGCTATGATTCGATATATTATTATTTCTCGGTTTGACTCTAACATAAAACAGATCTTGTAATACATAATTGATCAGCTATTCTTCAAATCAATATGATCATGAATCCTCAGTCTCGGGGTTTTTAATATCCAGTTTTTTATTTTGTTTTTGAATATTGGGAATGAATGAAATGTTTCTATATCAGTTGGTAATGATGTATTATATACTTTGTGGCAAAATAAACGAAGCTTCTTTGGCCGATAGTTTTCATCATTTTCGGGACCTTCAAAGTATCTTTTACCGCAAGTCTAGTGTTGTGTCCATGTTGTAGTAATTCGCAACTCTGCAGGTTTTCGATAAATGAATAGTTTCGTCACAAAAAAATCCTGAAGTTGAAATATCTCGATTTTGAACACCCTATGCCTCTGTAATAATTTCCGATAGACCCCAAGTGTGATACATCGATGAAATCAGCACTTGAGGGAGAATCTCAAAATGCGATAAAATATAGGGTGTTCTATTTGAAATATCAAGGTTGCTACTACTTTCTAGTAGAAGCGGCAACAGTGCATTGTGGAAAATATTTTAAATGAAGAGAGCGTATTCTAAAATATAAGCATGCACATTATCATGGATTTCTCCCGACTGATTCTCGATATAAAGATAGTGTAAGCTCGTCGTGACTCGTGACATACCCTGTATAATTCTCAGGTTCTCATCACACTCACTTTTTGATTGAGAATCAGGTTCATCGAAACCTTCATCAACGACCTTCTCTCTAGTACGAATATCTTCATCAAAATCGGTCTCCAACAGAGTCTGTCTCTTGCTGGTACTATCCGAGGTACACGGTTCGAGATATATGTCGCTACTCCTTCTTCGCAAAGCGGAATACCTTGGTGGTTCCAAGTCATAAACGTCTTCTAGGTTTCTAGTGGTTCTTCTTCCCTCAACTATCATCCTGGTAATGAAAGATAATTTGTACGGCCGATCATTATAACACCCATACAGGGTGTATCTAAATAACACCGATACAATTAATGGGCGTGTACACCTTAGTAGAACTTTCAACTCAAACCATGTTGATAATGATCCTTTTATACATAAATAATGATTGACGACATAATTCGATCGAAAAATTAACTGGAATGTTTTATTTTTGGACATAAATAATAGTACCTTCTAAAAACGGACCCTCTTATGACGTAGAAACCTCATCTCGCCATAGTTAGGAGAAAATACCAAACGCCCGACGTAGACTGAGGCAACTGATATATTAATTCTTTCAACTGTGATCTCGCGCTAATTCACTCTCAGAAATCAAGTATCATTCATCTCTGTCTGGAATAGTCTTGTTTCAGTATTAGGGTTTTGACGTCACATCATCGCCTCGTTTTCAGAGGTCCGAAAAATCGGGGATTTCAATAATTTTTTATAAAACTTTAGGGAGCTCACAGCAAGAAACGGTTTGCGGTGGTGAGCTATAGTTTGGGTGAGTTCTATCGAATTATGAAATAAATTTTTTTTGTGATATAAGCCCATTCAAGGGGTGTTTTTTTGTGACATTCTAGCACATGAAGTTCATATGAACATGTGTCGTAACTTGCTCCGTTTTTGAGATACAGGATGTTTCAGTTGGAAGTATTAATTGTTTTCATTGATATAACCCCCATGGTGCCAAAATTCAATATGGATGGAGACTGAGAAAGCCTCAAAATTTCAAAATGATTCTAATTGGGGTTATTGAGTAATCTCAATGGAAGACTTGAAAACACATACCGGGTGTAGCACTATGGAAGGACGCTAGCTGTATCTCGGAAACTATTATTATTTCCCGCACAGGTTTCGGAAAAAAATATTTATGATAAAAATGGCCAAGAAAAATCTCTGGAAATTATTTTCAAGTTTCCAGGACAGCCGCTAGAGGGCATAATTGCATTGGACAATTTAAAAAACGGGTTTTCATGCAAATTTTATATATCAAAACATATCAGAAACACTTGTTCCATGTTCTCGAGTTGATTTCCAATCATATCGATCAAAAAAAATTACGCTAGCTCTTTAAATAAAAGAGGGAGGGAAGGATGAATAGTACTCTGGAAAAACTCTTATTACTACAGTTTGGTGTAACGGAATTAAGCGATCTTGGTCTCATTATGAAGGATTTTTTCAGGTCTTCCCGTGGTGGCCACTAGATGGCATAGTTTGAAAAATGAACCGATTTGCCATTTTTTTTCGAGAATTTCAAATGGAACCATATATGTTTCCTGCTTTGATATGGAAGTAAAGTAAACGAGAAGAAAAATGGTGAAAACCGCGAGTTGATACCCCTTGAAGAACCGGAGAAATACTCGGAATAATATTAAAATTTAAACTGTTAGCATGTCAAATGCCTCCTCATTCGTTATCGGAATTTTGACAAATAAGCAATACACAGTGAACACTTCCAATGGAACTTCAATTATATTTTGACGTTTCTTTCATTCAAAGCCAACTTGCCTTTTCTCATTCCTGAGCCTATACTCACTATACTTACATTTCAATTAGCTATGTCATTACTAAGAGTCTCCTTCACTATTGTGAGATATAACAGCAGTTTGTGAAACCAAAATAAATGAATTATTGAAATCATAATTTCATAGATACAGGATATTTCTGATTAGGATTATTGAAGTTATATTCCTGTGGTGAATATTTTCATAATTTATTTCGAGTTTTTCACCGTTTCCTCAACAGGCATCAATTCGCGGTTTTCACCTTTTTTCTTCTTGATTGCTCTACTTCCATATTAAAGTAGAATGAATATACGGTTCCATTTGAAATTTTCGAAAAAAATGGAAAATTGTCTTATTTTTCAAACGATGCCATCTAGCGGCCACCACAGGATTTAAATCGACTTGATTCGAGATTCATCTGGAAGAACCAAAAAACCCTTCATAATGAGACCTAGATCGTTGAATTCCGTTACACCAAACTGTAGTAATTAGAGTTTTTCCAAAGTACTATTCATCTCCCCTCCTCTTTCATTTTAAAGAGCTAGCGCAATTTTTTTATCGAAATGATTGGAAATCAACTCGAGAACACGGAAAAAGTGTTTTTGACATGTGTTGATATATCAAATTTTCATAAAAAACCCGTTTATTAAAATGGCCAATGCAATTAAGCCCTCTAGGGGCTGTCCTGGAAACTTGAAAATAATTTCCAGAGATTTCTCTTGGCCACTTTCATCATTCATATTTTTTTCAGAAACCTGTGCGGCTTATAGTTTCCGAGCCGGCGTCCTTTCTTAGTGGAACACCCGGTACATTAAAATTTGGAGTCAAATCGATTTTTTATTGTTTCCTCAAAAACCAAGCTAGATACAAAAATCACAGAGGATAAAAGATTTGTAATTTCAATAGTTCAATCTAATAAAAATATGAAACTCAGAAAAACCGGTGGTATGACATTCACCATGAATATCGATAAATTTACCCAGTGTGACGCCACTGGAAATATTATTCCGAATCTAATTGCACTAGAAAAAGCTCCATATTACCTTTAACAAAACCACAACGTTTTATTGAAATTGATGAAAAGACAATTGAGAAATGAATAGAAAAAAGATTGTTCATGGAAGTTAGGACACATGTTTATATGAACTTTATTTCCTAATATATCACAAGGAATCACCCCTTGAATTTTTTTAGATATATTTAGATACACCCTGTATACAGAGAAGTGCAATAAACGGCCAGTGCTGTAACTTCTGAATCATTTGAGACCGGATTTTGAAAATTGGTGGATAGCAAGTATACCAAATGGGTTCATATCACAAAAAATTTTCATTTCATAATTCGATAGAACTCACCCAAACTAGCTCACCACCGCAAACCGTTTCTTGCTGTGAGCTCCCTACGTTTTATAAAAAATTATTGAAATCCCCGATTTTTCGGACCTCTGAAAACGGGGCGATGATGTGACGTCAAAACCCTAATACTGAAACAAGACTATTCCAGACAGAGATGAATGATACATGATTTCTGACAGAGTGAATTAGCGCGAGATCACAGTTGAAAGAATTGATATATCAGTTGCCTCAGTCTCCGTCGGGCGTTTGGTATTTTCTTTCAACTATGGCGAGATGAGGTTTCTACGTCATAAGAGGGTCCGTTTTCAGAAGGTACTATTATTTATGTCCAAAAATAAAACATTCCAGTTAATTTTTCGATCGAATTATGTCGTCAATCATTATTTATGTATAAAAGGATCATTATAAACATGGTTTGAGTTAAAAGTTCTACTGAGGTGTACACGCCCATTGCTCATTAATTGACAAACCAATTTTTGTCCTATCACTTGCGGTTTCACAGGAAGCGACCCTAACTTTTAGAGATTAGGAAATAGGACATTTTATAGGATTTGATAGGGTTATGCCAAACGAATACGAAGATATTCGCGTTTATTTATTTATTTATTACAACTTTGGGATACAAACAGGTACAAAACCCAAAAAAGTATCCGCTGATACAATATTTTACATGACAGCTCGTCTTATAATGAGATGAGTAAATATATGATTGTTAAAGTGTTTGAAATGTTAATATTGGAATTTTAGGTGAGGAATATTTTTTTAACTTTCTGTTTGAACGTGAATAAAGATATACAGTAAATATCAATACTACAATATTTGTTAAAACTACTACTCAATCTAATAATTGGAGAATTGCTGCCTAAATTTGTATTTCGATAATCTATATATATTTCATATTTTTATTAGATTGAACTATTTCGAAGTGACTTCTTTTTTATCCTTTGTGTGATTTTTGTATCGAGCTTAGTTTTTGAGGAAACAATAAAAATTCGATTCGACTTCAAATTTTATTGTAGGAGATTTCAAGACTTCCATTGAGATTACTCAATAACCCCAATTGGCCCAATTAGAATCATTTTGAAATTTTGGGGCTTTCTCAGTCTTAAAGCTTATACGAGGGGGGTTATTATAAATAAAAACAATTAATACTTCCAACTCCAACATCCTGTATCGCAAAAACGGAGAAAGTTACGACGAATGTTTATATGAACTTTATTTGCTAGAATGTCACAAGGAATTTTTTCGGTGTTATTTAGATACACCCTGTATTTTCAGCTGAACATTTGCTAGATGAATTGATTGATAATAAGAATAACACTCAAATCAAATTACATTACCTAGATTCTGAGTATGGTATAGATCTTCGTAAGACGTCTTCTGGAGATGAAGGTTGAACAAAGGCTTTATATTGCTTGTACCAAGGGTACTGTTTTCCTGTTAATTTTTGGGACTTGAAACGTTGATAGTAGGTCGTTGTTACAGACACTTTGACCAAATTGAGAATGATGCTCATAACTTGCGCTTTTTCTGAAAACCACAATAGTTATTTTTACCAATAAAGGCCAGTGTTGTATTTCGTGCAAGATAATTTATTCAAATTTATAACTCGCAGCAGTTGAGCGCTTTCGACTGTTAAATCATCATCAGCTCTCTCTCTCCATACTTATAATAAGTAAGTAATCTGCTTTTAGCAATTGGAAAACTTTGAAGAAAATTGGAAAAATTGAAGAAAAAAAAAACGTTTGATAAATTTTTGAATAGTTGATATAACATGATTAACTTTCGGTACATTCAGTTGTAATATTTAATTATTTGTTTTGCATTGCTGCCATGTGAAACCTATGATTTTTTGAGATTTTCTCCTCGTTTATATAAATTAAAAATATGAATATTATTTCAATATACATGTAGTAAGGACAAAATCAGATGATTTGCCCCAAAATGTCACTGCGTTTATAGTTATTTATGCAACAAGTGCAAAAAGTGCAATAAACAATTTTTGCAGGATTTGCATACAACATTTTTTCTACGTTCATGCAAAAAGCAAAAAATGATTTATTGAGGTGCGGCACTAGGTGTAGGAAAATGTAAAACGCAACTTGAATACTTGATTATTAATATCGATTTGCATTGAAACAGGAACTAATGCGTTACGAAAAATTTAACTCAAACTTCATTTTTACCCTCAATGTTGAAAGTGAATGAACAATAATTGGTGCAATTTTCAATTCTGTTAATTGTCAGAATTAATTTTTGCCTGACGTTTCTATAACCACAGTTGCAATATAAAAAATGTTTGTCATGATGACAACACGTTGAAGTAGAATGACAGATGAGTGCAATAAAAACTTTATTGCACCAAGTGCAATAAAGAACTTTTTTTCCAATATAGTTCAATAAAGTTCTGCTTTTTGCATGAATGTAGAAAAAAGAATGTTCCTATCAGAAAGCCTAAAAGAAAAATTCACTAGCTTGTCAGTGACAATTTGTATTGAAAAAGGTTTGGGGAAGAGAAATAAAGGTATATAAATATATATAAGTATAAAAAAAGAATCAAATTTTCACTTAGCTTTGGACGTTTCGGGAACGAATCTTCTCCCGTGTTCAACATAAAAATGGTTGATGAATACCTTCTCGATTAACCTACAGACAGTATATAATTTTTGCTCCAAATGTTATAAAACCAATTTTGTGAATTTTTTTCATTGGTCAATTTTGATGAACAATTTCATTCAAATAACTTGGAACGCGTTGCATAGTAACAAACTTTTTCTGCCTAGGCAGAGAAAGTACACCCATGCTGCCTGTTAAGTGTCATAGAAAAGCCACTTTTTATGCCGTTTGGAGAAATACAACTTTATGTAATTATACCGATGATAATCATTCCAAAGTTGGAATTAGAAAGACAAAAGTTTAGGAGAACATTGGTTGTTCTCATTTGCAAAGGTATCATGTTTTTTTTCCAGAATCCTTGCACTCATGTTTTGAATTATCAAATTGTGTAGTTCAACAATTAATGGCATAATTTTGTCAAGGTACTTATTCTCTTTGTTGCTGTTACCTGTTTGTCGGTCGATATCAGTATTGTGCCTCATGAGTATATAGAGTTGGAGCAAAACTTGAGGTAGAGCATGTAAATAGGACTGTAAAAATATACATAACTCTATAGATCGTGGTGCTGTCACGTTTGATATTAGATCTTTGATCGTTTTCTGATCGGTCGATCTCACCGCTTCTATGGACCAGAATATTCTCTCTGCGAATCTGAAAGCAAATAATGGCAGGTATACAGGGTAATCAAGTTTAGATGAATAGTACTGTAGGAATCGATAGGACTTGATGACACACGATCTCTTTTTGTGAAAGGGCATTTTTTTCTAAGAAAATCTCGAATATTCTATGCCCCCCCCCCCACCCCCTCAAACATCGTCTGGATCCGCCCCTGCGTTTACATTACCTCCACATATTCCAAACGGGGAAAAACAAGTGTTCGAACGTCTTCCTCCAGAACCACAACATATTCGCTTTCCCGCAATCTTCGAACTCCGGCCATAGTTCCCAGTTCGACACTATTATCACGAAACTGCACAACACAGGGAGAAACATGAAAAACAGGGTGAGCGAGGCCCAAATGGGATCGCCATTGCGATAGTGGCTCACTATAACAGCTACATCGGCTGCGATAAGGAAAATATACAAGGTGGAGGCACTGATCGCGGGCACTAAGTGGTTGATCAGGGCGTCTTGCCTTGGGGTTAGTTCGTAGCCTAGTAGGGTGGATTTTTTATTGTTTGTTTCTTGTGCGGAGACCATTGTTTCTCACATTGTTACGCTGTGTAGATAAGGAAAAATGAGTAACGTTAGGTGATTATGGGAAAAGTATAATAATATAGTTCTTATCTGGACGATAAAACACCTAGATTAAATATCAACAAATAGGTATGTATGTCACTGTCTGAATCACCTATAATTTTGATCGCTATACTGAATAACACCGAAAAAAATTCAAGGGGTGATTCCTTGTGATATTTAAGGAAATAAAGTTCATATAAACAAGTGTCCTAACTTGCTTCGTTTTCGAGATACAGGGTATTAATATTTCCATGAAAAATAGTTTTTTTATTCATTACTCAGTTGTCTTTTCATCAATTTCAATAAAACGTTGTAGTTTTGTTAATAGTTATATGTTGCTTCTTCTGGTGCAATTCGATTCGAAATAATATTTCCAGTGGCGTCACAGATATTTGTTCATTTACGCCACTGGTATTTCTGAGTTTCATATTTTTATTAGGTTGAACTATTGAACTTTTTTATCTTTTGTGTAATTTTTGTTTCAAACTTAATTTTTGAGGAAACAATAAAAACTCGATTAGATACCAAATTTTAATGCAGGCGGCGTGTTTTCAAGACTTCCATTGAGATTACTCAATAACCCCGATTAGAATCATTTTGAAATTCTGGGACTTTCTCGCAGTCTCCAACCATACTGAATTTTGGCACCATGAAAGCTTATACAGGGGGGTTATAAATAAAAACAATTAATACTTCCAACTTCAACATCCAGTATCTCAAAAACGGAGCAGGTTAGGACACATGCTTATATAAACTTTATTTGCTAGAATATCACAAGGAATCACCCCTTGAATTTTTCTTGGTTTTATTTAGAAACACCCTGTATAACGGGAGGCCAAGGAGAAAATTGACGGTAGGGGTGGACAGAATTGAATATATAATAAGGCACAGGTTAAAATATGCATATTTCGGTGCATTCTGTGCCAAGAAAAAACGTCCAATATTATACAGTGTGAGTCATAAATCTATTGGGACATAAGCTGAGGGCGGATTGTTTGGACCAAAATATGGCAACTTTTTGACCCATTTGACCTACTATGTATATAACTCCATTATGATAAGCCAAAAAAGAACAATACTTAATGTAATTTTAGTCAATGACACAAGACACTCAATTAATGACACAACGCGACCAGAACCGACCCTCCGAGCGGTGCTTCCTGTTTGTTCGTACTTGCGGATTGCTCTACCAGCAGTTGCTTCATGAACTTCCACTGCACGAGCGGCGTAACGTTTACTACGCCCATCGTTTACTAACGCAACTAATCTTGCTACTTGTTCAGGATTTATTTGAGGCATTTTATGTAATTTTAGTCCATAAAACAAGACACTTAATCAATGACACAACGACAAATGGTCAAATATGGAGGCATACAACAAATTAGTTGCTATGGCAACGGCATTTGTTTCTTTAAAGACAATGTGATCCTACCAGAGTACAACCCAATTAATTTTGAGTACCTACTCTGATCCTTCAATTAATTTAATTTGTGGGATAAGCGTAAAAGGTATCAGCAAAAAAGCTGTAATTCGGAAAATTTTAGAGATAAATCAATGAATAAAAAAACAAAATGTTCGCAAAGGAAGCCTCTTTCGTATAGGGTGTAAGCACTTTCTATGCCATTACTCAATTAACACACAGGGTGAGTCAAAAATTAAGAATAAATTATGGTTCGAGTTATTCCACCACCATCAAGGAGGCTTTGAAATAATTTTCACCTCTTTATTATTTTTTTAAACAAATACATAACCTACCAACAAATAAAAAAAATCGGCCTACTATTTTTTTTTTAGAAGATAGGTCAAATATCAAGTGCGTCCCTTTTTTTGGAACTGATTGTATTTTGCTATTATCAAGAAACTGCACAAAACAGGAAGAAACATGAAAAAAAGGGTGAGCGAGGCCCAAATAAGGAGATCGCCATATTGCGAGAGTTGCTCACTATAACGGCTACATCGGCTGCCATAATGAAAATGTACAAGGTAGAAGCACTAATCGCGGGCACGTGGACCGTGGTTGATGAGAACGTTTTGCCTCAGTTTAGTTTGTTAATCTGTGGTTTAGTAGCCTAGTAGGGTGTTTTTTTGTTGTTGTTGGTTTCTTGTATGGAGACCATTATTTCTCCCATTTTTACTCTATCCAGATAAGACAGAGATAAGTGATATGGAAAATGTAGGTATATAGTTTTTATCTGGAAGATAAGACATCTAAATTATATCAACAAATTACAAATTTATCACTGTTTGAATTTCGACAGGACCAGATCCGGATGAGGAAGGACGAACTGATGGCCTATCAACTAAGTTTGTTCTTTATACCGGGTGGCCAAAGGGTAAATTGAGGGTAGTGGTGAACAGAACAGAAGGTTAAAATGTGCCTTTTGATTAAAAGTTAGGTTTTTCGTCAGGTATATTTCAATGTGTTTCATGTGCAAAAAAAAACACCCAAGATATATTAACTCTTGGCGAATATTTGGCACTTATTATTAATGCATTTGAACAAATTTCAATGATGAAATTCGTGAATTAATTCACACTTTCTCTAATGAAAACGAGTTGCTTTATTATTGCCTTGAATTTTAACTAGTTCAATGTGGAAAATTCGATGTTGCATTATTGCAACCTGACCTTTATAAACATCTGATATACAGATGTATTTAAATATTTTAGTTCAACAATAGTTTATAAATAGAATGGAATAGAAACTTTATTGAACCATAAATTACTTCAATTGTAAGGGTTTGAACAAGTCATGTTGTTTATACCTAGTGTAGAATTGAATTTCAATTTGTTTTGCAAGCATTGCATGTTTTATTGTTATAGTGTGCTCAATACAGGGTGATCCACGGTGGATGGCCTATTAGAAGAATCTGGAGAACGAAAAGATAATTGAACATTCTCTATCCGTCAAAAATATTTTCATCGATACAGTGTTGTCACTTTCTATCTGAAACAACTAGCAACTTTGTTATTTCAAATGGAAGACCCTGTATTTTATTGCATTTTTAGATTCTTCCTGAAGAGCTGATTTCATCAATGTATCACACTTGGGGTCTAGCTGGAATGATTACAGCGATATAGGGCGGGTGTTCAAAATCGAGATTTTTCAATTTTAGGATTTTTTTGTGCCGAAACTATTCATTATCGATCAAAACGGCTTACATGTCCCTATCTTAACTTCCGATTCACTATATACTGGACATTTAATTGGAACAGATACAGGGTGATCAGAATTCTGAATCTTGAAGCACCCTTTTTTTGTAATCATTCCTGCCAGACCCAAAATGTGATACATTGATGAAATCAGCTCTTCAATAAGAATTTAAAAATGCAATAAAATACAGGGTGTTCCATTTGAAATAACAAAGTTGCTAGTTGTTTCTGATAGAAGTGGCAACACTGTATCGATGAAAATATTCTAGACAGGTATTCTCTTAGAAAAAATTCTCAAACCCCAAAGCTCTTTTCTGAACTGTTACTATCTTGGTAGCTAACTAAAGATTGGATTCGCACCAGAATAATAATATCAGAGACTGAAGTGATTTGGGAAGGTATAGGCAACCAAAGGAAGATGTGCTAAGTCAAACTGAAAAGCCAGCATAAATGCCAGTGATAAAAATTTTGTCTGGCCATATGAAACCCCACCTGGGCCACATTTATTCACTGACAAACTGTATAGGTGGTGTAATTTTCTGATATGAAGCAAACACTTCTTGAATAACCCAAATTATTTTTGTTTAAATCTATCCAGATCCTTCATTTGGGCCCCTAAACCTGACCTACTATAGCTAGCCTGAAATACTGTTATAGTTTTAGTGTAAAAATTGGTATTTTCAAATAATAATGAAATATAAATGCCTCCTGAAGCATTAACAATTCTTTTTAGTGTAGAAATCCATTTTTTTGTTAAGGAATTGAGGCTCACAGAAGACACTAACTGATTAAAATTATTAGATCTGACTTACTGACTTCTGCTCAATGATGAATTGGCTTATTTTTTCAATGAGTTTAGAGTGCTTTAAAAAAAAGACAAAACTTATGACTATAAATAATAATTATTATGGACTAATTCAGGTGGTGATCCAATGACTAACAATACAGATTATGATCCTCAAGATGCTGGTTGATATTCACTGAGATAAACAGAATGCAATTCCAACATTTCTGATACAGGTTCTGGTTTATTGAATTCATTATCATATTCAGAACCGAGTGCCCACAGGGAGTCTAAATCATATACTATTCTGGCTTCCATTGAAAATATGTGTAGAGCTATATTTCCTGCAACAGAAATATTGAAATTATTCCATCTAGTCAACTGTAGCCTGTATTTGATAAGTACCTAAATCCAATGCCATCCAGTCCTTTGAATTTTCTCCTTCTAATTTGGGAATTATATCACCTTGGTGCCTCTTCATTTTATAGACTCTCCTAACAAATTGGGCTATTGCTTGCATATGCCTTTGAGATTTGCCACTTACAATACATATGAAATTCACATATTTAATCTCATTTGGCACTTTTGCTACAAATATGTCTATGGCATTTTCTCTTTTGAGGACATCAACTAGGTCTTCTATTTCAAAAACACCTGACTTTCCCCCTGAAATACACAATAATCAGAATCAAAATGTATGTGTAGTTTCTGGAAACCACCATACGTTCATAATTGAGGCCATCATATGGACTGTCATCCTGCTCTTCCTCCTCCAACAAGTTTGAATATTTTAGTCTTTCTTCATATAGGTCTAGAATTATTTCTGAATCTTCATCTTGGAAAACTTTATATTTAGATGTGATTCCTGCTCCTGATGGATTCATTTTCGAAGAGTTGGACTCATCAGTCCTGATTTCACCCAATGAAGTCAATTTCACAGTGTTGGATTCCTCAGCATCTTTCTTTGTGGACATATCTCGCATTCTAACAGAATACTGTATATTGCATGAACAACCTTTCATTAGATTATTTTTCATGATACCATGGATAATTCTTCTCGTGAGCATTATTTTTATATTTTATTTCAAACACTCCAAACAGAAATTGGAAAAAATTAAAAACAAAAACATTACATAACCTCATAAAATCTTCGTCGAACATTGTCAAAGGACGTCAAGTCAAGTCAACCACAAAATCATTCACAAAACACAAAACTTATAGCGATTTCCATTGGGAAAACTGTTGCGCACCGAGTGCAAATTCGTGTTCCATTGACAAAATTGGTGGCCAGTGGCGGGGTAACGAGAAATAGTTGATCCCAAATTTTGCACCAGCTTCATTAGCTTCTAGTGCTCTTCGAACCTGAATAACACCATAATGCCATATCCTAATGCGATGATTTTTTGATAGATGGCAAGACAGCATGCGAACACCAAGGTTGGTAGAACTGATTATAATTTGTATAGGAAGGTTGCCTCGATCGATAGTGCGGCAAGGGGGGAAACGGTCACTCGTGACGTCACAGGCAGTAAGACGACAAGTTGTCAACCTTAAAGCGACATGTCATGATTGTCATGAAATATTTACCAAATAGAGTATACAAACATGATACAAACTTTTTGGTCTGCTCAGCATATTTATATTAATTTATAGTATATAATTATAAGTAAGTACCATTATAAAATATGGATATTTACATATACTTCTGTATAATACCTTCAATCTTCGAAATGAGAAGGCAATTTTGGATGGATCAGTAGTACAGAGAGGAATACCTATCTGAAATTTTGTTCCAGGGGCTATTTACCAGGTCGTGGTGCCAGGTATGTGTGTTTTGAGGTATGGAGCATAATTATGGAGCTAGTGATTACTTATGCATTCATTATGAACCTACTCATCCTATAAATATCCTGCAAATCAGATAATGTGAACAAGAAACTACAGAAAATATAAGAATAATCAACTGATGATCCAGAAGTAGTAGCAGTGGACCAATATTCGTACACAACACTTATTTTATCAATATAACTCTGTATTCTGAAAAATTGACAAACTTTCCTAGATACCTATAGAAAATACAAGAGGAAATAGTATTTCATTGTTTGATTATATTGTAGTCAAAAACAGAGCAATTGATCGAAGTATTTGAGTATAAAATAATAACAAAATATGATTCTGAACAAAATTAATGAAAAATAACACTACTATTATAAGTGAACCTATAATAAAGGATAGTTCAAGGAATCTCTCAAATAAACATAGCTCCTCTTCGTTGGGTAACGTACTCTTGCTCAAATATCTCAACTTGAAAACACGTGTGATATCTTCTGATGTCCATTCTACCCGTTCAGCAAGAATCTCAACATTCACAACTGTTCTGGTTTTGATCATTTTTCCAAACTTCCATACTTATGGATTATTGATGGGATTCCTACCTTGAGTTTTCTTCTCTCTGGTGTGTGATTTAGCTCTTCTGCTTGTGCCGTTCAAAATCCTCGGCATCGAAATGGGCAGAATATATTCGCCAAGTTTGGGTATTAAATGAATTAAAATTACGTCCACAAAATTGAATCCATTTCTCACGAATAGACTCATCTTGTGGAAATTAATGGAAACACAAACTAAATTAACTAGTCTTATTACACTTGTACGAATTTTAAGAAGAAGTGACCGAACAAATCATCATTTTTACATTTTTGAGTTCAAAATGGTTCAAATATTCGAAAATACTGACAACTGTCAACTCAATAATTGGCGCCGGCGTACATATCATACACGAAGTGTACGAAAGTGCTACATTTTTCGTGCAAAAGAAAGGTCCTATTACGTCATGAGTTACTCAAGGTTACTCGCGGGGTGCGATCGAGGCAACCTTCCTCTACAAAATAGTCATCAGTTCTACCAACCTTGGCGAACACATTTTGTAAAATGTTTTTTTCCAAGTTTTACATGTAATTTGAAATGTTTCACTTTACGTAACCAGTTGTGTGAAGTGAAATATCACATAACTGGTTCATTTCAACACCAGTTACGTAATAAAAATATGGAAGGACGACGAGAATACTACATGTCAACTTGTCTGCTTTTTGTACATAAACGGTAGCAGATTGTTTAGATTTATTAAGTTACACACTTTGCATTGTGACAAGAGTACCTACCATAGTCGTCCCACGCTTGTTCATTCAAAATTGTCGAAATTTAACAATATATTTCATGAACGTCAGTCGTCAGAATTGAAATATAATTTCATAATTACTTTTACTATAGAAAGTAGGCAAGAACACACGAGATACAACCTCAGTAAGTAGATCTTCACGCATAGTAATATGCTCCGCTCCGCGGCTACGTGCGTAACTTTTCCATTCGTGCGTAATATCAGAGATAAGGTTCTGTGGGTAATTTATCTCTGGTAATATGCTTCTTACAACACATATTACTTAATATACTATTTGACTACTGCGTATTTGACAGTGTGGCACATGGCTTTTTATTCTGTTTTCTAAAGTAAATTTCCGAAAAATACCCTTTTTCATCTGAAAGAAGGTTCATTCAGAGCCTGACTTTAAGGTTAGTTATTTGTTTGAAAGAAGTATAGAATTCTTCATTATGCAGAATAATAAGGGATATATTCCTTCCTCCTTGAAAAAAGTTCAATGTTTTCTTCAGCATCGGCCGTGAGCTCATGGAAAAAAAAGTTTGAAGTGATGTGAAGCATAAGAGACAGGAGACAAGTTATCTGCTTTGCATAATATCCATTATTCCTGCATATCCCTGAATCAGAGAGAAAAATTAAACCTCTAAGTACAGTGAAATGGCCTGAAAAATGTAAAAAACGAAAATTTTAAATTCATAAACCTATAACCTCATCATTCTATTTCATTCTGTTTCTAATCTTTGACCAGACAACACCTAGGGCCGGTTGTATAAAGCTTCCTCGTGAAAGGATAATATACTGTGTTCGTTCGAATCCGAACATTTGCGCCTAGAGACAAGAGGTAACAAGTATAATCAGCGCGGCAATTGCGGGTACAGCGACTATAAATTCTATATGTACTAGATTATAAATTCTTTCTTCATACCACCACAGTTACTACGACTCGAGGCGAAGTTGACTGTGCGTTTGAATCCCACGTCGGCGACCTAGGTTCAATGCCTGAAACGGTCGTTTTTTTTTTAAATTCCGTTTTCTCAAGTAATTTTCCGAGAAATATAAATTTTAGGAGGAAGGCTCATCTAGGCCGACTAATAAGGTTAGATGGTTAGAAAAAAATTGTGTTTTTCATGCAGGAGGGATATTTTCCTTCCTCCCTGACAAAAGTACAGTCTTTTTAAGAAGGTTCTTTCAGGCCGAAGGTTAGATGGTTCAAAAATAGTAGTGTCCTTTTTTATGAAGGAGGTATATTTTCCTTCCTCCCTGAAAAAGGTATTGTGGAGGCATTTACTGTCCAGAAAAATCAGCACAATCCGGCAACATTGATATGACTGACACGGGATTACGCGAAGTCCCCACCACTGTTCCATTTTATGACGCAGACGCAAGTGAAGACACGCCCACGATCACTTATTACATTTCTCCCTAGCCGCTAGTGCTCTATTAGTCCCCTGTCTGTTCAAGCGAGTTATCAAATTAAAAAAAAATTGTACCTTACACGTTAGTAAACGCGTCATTTTGTGTAACGATGGAATTTCGCAGGACAAGCGAAGCGAGATACCTCAAAACTAGTAACATAATATATTCCCTGTTTTTATACATACTATGATTAGTACATTAAGCATTAGGCTTTTCCCCAATTTTTTTTCTGTAGCGATTTCCTTGGACATGTACGACGTGACCCATTTTAAGCAATAGCCCTGCTCCTTTGTAGTGCTATACTTGCTAAATTAAATAAATTTTTTCCCATAGTTGCCTCTAAAACAAGTAATAGAAAAAAATCAAGTTCAGCAGGTAGAGCAAGCACAAACGGACAGGCCTAATGAGTTATTTTTCTTAGAAGTTGGGGAAAATGGTCGATTCATTCTTGGTATTATTCGCGGAATATTTCCTGTTCATGCGGCAATGTTCCATGTGAAAGAAAATATGATTTCATTCATATTATTTAATTATCTATATGAACATTATAACAAACAATAATTCAGAGAGCTACTATGATACGTGTACACGTTGTATATGAGGACAACAGATCTAGTAGGGCTTGGCTTTCGTCTAAACTCGCAAATGCAGCTAAAATAAATACGCCAGGACAGTAGAAAACTAAAATAAATATGATGTTTCTTTTTTATTTCACAAACATCGAATAAAAAAAGGAAAACTAAAATACACTAGAATTTATTTACACTCGTCACACTGCACTTCAAAAATGATCAAGACATATCGCCTAAACATAATAATTATATACAAATTGTAGAAAATCAGAATCAAAATATCATGTGTATTATTAAGTCAACTTTCTGATTAGGAGACGCATCAAATATCGCACTTGAAACTGAAAATATAGAATGGGGAAGGAATTCATATTGAAGCATCTCCTAGCATTCGAGTCTATATCATCAGGCCATTTTCTCTAGAGGAAAAAAAAACAAACAACTCCAGAAAATAAAATAAAAATGTAAATCGCCATTTCGTAAAAGATGTAAAGTAAATAAATTTCTAGAGAAATCAGCTTAAATAATAATCAAGTAAAAAGCAACCAATAAGGTAAACAGTCTTTAGTAAATTAAAAACAAAGTTATTCTTCAAATTCAAAATGAATTACTACATTATGTAAAATGTATAGAGGCTGAATAAAAGGGATTGTAAATTGTAAAAATAAAATGAATAATAATTATGAAGTAAAGTACTTCAGGAGAAGATAATTGCACCCACAGTCCACACTCCACAGGATGTTTATGGAATTTGTTAATGTGCAACTGTGATTTTTTGGTTAAACAAAATGAAAATGCAAGCAGAATGTAGGGGTAGAAAATTATTGAAGGATTTTAGTAAATAACGAACTCAATTCTCATTACTTATCTTCTTAAAAGGGTCAACCAATACTGTAAGTATCATCAATTTTTAGTGTTAATACAAAAATGCATTATCTGAAAATGGTACCCAGTGAAAAATTTTGAAATCTAATGACTGCAACGCCTGCAAATGTCATAAATCCCAATAATTTCTGAAGTCGTACTCTAGGGAGATTGGCTCTGTGCAAATCCGGCAAAATCATAACAAAATCGTTCTTTTTAAGCCTACTAGATGTCAATAATTACACCCTAAGTATTGTTAATCCATAAAATTGTAGTCCAGCCAGTAAACGGTTTTCACACAGAAATCCAGTAAGATTGATGAATTCAAAGTTGTGTATGGTTCGTTTGAACTGTTCACAATGTTTTTTCATTTGACCACTTGAACTTGTACGACATCCATATAAGAGCAAAGGTTTCATTAAATGTACAGGTCTTCAACACTATAGGGATATTTCATTCTACATTTAACACGGTTAGACTATTTCGGTGAAGGTGGTGGGAGACAACTACGTCATAATGACGTCAACATTAACTATTTTTGAAATCCTATTTCTTTCACTTTACCCATTACCACAGTTTCCCCATGTATCTCCACTTCAATATCCACTGCCTCCATTCATTATTAATTTGGATGTTCGCTTAATATATCCTCCATTTTTCACATTCATCAATTATTGTGAACAAATATTCACGTTTCACCTTCACCAACTATCGAGTTGGTGAAGCCTAAGGCAGGTAGGGGAGGTGTACCCAAACGGAAATGACGTCACTGTTGAACACAATAATCAGCTTTGACCATGACGGGTAAAGTGAATGAAATATCCCTATTTAGTGCACCACTTAGACACCAACAATAATTCAGATAATGAAGGTTGTCAAACAATTTTGAGTACTTGCCCTAGGTGTTTTGAGAACCATATTTGGATTTCTATGTGAACCCTCTTTTTGGGCATTCACCGATCGGACCGTTGGGGGAATACATGCGTTTTTCAAGCGTAATATTAATCATCTTCAGTTTCCTTACAATATACACCACACAACACTTCAGAAGCGTTTCTCGAATAGTTGTATCACAGTTCACCAGAATACCCACACGCCTTGTTGTAATGAGCGAGTTCCCAATACATCGAAATTTCAACGTTTCCAAAGAAAATTATACAGGGCGATTCAATAATATCGTTGAAATTACAACAAAGACTTGAAATTCATTACAGAGCAAACGTGGTCATAATGTCGATTGAATAAGATAATTCAAGTTGGTATAGGGATAGGTAACCATGATATTTCACAACTCCCTATATTAGGAGTAGAACTGAAAATAATTTAAGAAGAATGTGTATAATGGATGTAGCGAATTTCAAGATGTCAGTGTTGAAATAACACGAATTCTTATAACGTTCACATCAAAAGAGATTTTTTTTTCATTATGTTGTTTACGCGAATTTGGTGTTCATAGAACTGTTTGACTATGAAAATAATGCAACCACCTTGAAATTTTACATTCTTTACCAAAAAGTCAAAGTTGATCCAAAAAATGTTTTTTTTTTGTTTCATTCCACCTTCCAGATTTGAATAATTTGAATTTTTGTAGCGATTTTTTTCAACAATTTTTTTGGCATATACAAACAAAAAACTGGAAGACCATTGGGAGAGGTAACTGCTCACTATATGTTTGAAACTATTTTTGATTGGATATTCAAAAATACAAATATGCGAAATTACATATTTTTTTCATTTTACTAGTTGATGAAGCTATACTTTGATCTTAGCCAGTAGAATGGAAAGCAAAACTTTTTCATATTTTCAGAAAAGCTATGAAACACTGTAACTTCAATGTTCACTCCTAAATTCGTGTAAACCAACTACTAAAAAAAACCATTTGATGTTGGTTCAAGGACAACACTGTATATAGATGTAATGCATGGAAGTATGCCACCTTTAAAATACAAAGATTACAACAGTTCAAGTCACCGTTCTTGGCGATTACGTCATCACCACATGACATTTAAAGAGAAAGGGATAGTACCTTAGATCAACAAGGATGCAGAGACAAGACAATATGTCACCTCTAATGCAGTGATGTGCTATTTATAGAGGTTCTTTAATTTTTTCGGCTCTGCTAGATAATTATTTTCCAAATCGAAACCTTTGAAAATATCTCGTTTTCTAGTAATAACACAATTCATAGAACAACGAGAAACTGATAGTTTCTATATCTTCCTGAGGCCTACCGTTCTAAATATGGAACAAATTACACATGTCACTCAGTCCCGGCAGTCGTACACATAGAACGAGCTTTCCGTCCCAGTGTCCCATTTGAAGTACATGTTCAACCCGCTTCAACCTAATAATCAATGATTCGATTGCATTTTGAATATTCCTTTCGAATATATCAGACAGTTGCGCAGTCGACAATATAGATTAACGGACTGGTTAGAAAGCACCAAAATCAGTGCAGACCATTTCAAGGGGTTTTATTTTGCGACGTCAAGTGCTGGTCTGTGTGACTTCCATGTGTAATATAACTTGGGTCCCAATATGTACTGGTACCTATACCTATAATGCTTTTGTTGGGAATTGGCAACAATGTACTAGTCTGTGTAGAAAAGTGATAAATTTAGCGAGTACGTCGGCTTGCCTCAAAACGATTGTCAGCACTATTGTGGGTGTATTTTGTATTCATGTCCTTTGCTCTTCCAGATTCTGGAATACTTAGCATTTAGTAGTTAGTTAGAAGTAAGCAGCCAAGGTGGCTGGACGAAGTAGAAGTCATGTACTATTGAAAACTATTTATGCAGCTGACCCACCACACTTGAGAAGGGAATCATTGTGATTACTGCATGCTCAAATCAAATACCTGAAGTGAATGGACATAAAAACATATCAGCAAGATGTATAAACATTCGATAACATACCCGCAGTTTGGCAACTTGCACCTGAAGTTCCTTGTTGATCTGAGGTAAAAGTAGTTGTCCAGTTTTCGATGCTTTTGCGTTATATCTCGGTTATCTTTGGAGATTGAACCTTGTGGTTTTCGCGGTCCTGTACCACTTTTTTGTGAAACATAAGATGGCCTAATTAGATTTTGCATAACTGTTTCCGTTTATGAGATACAGGGCGATCTTGTAAATTTATACTTTTTGGACCCACTTTATATGAAAAAAGTTTCTCAGCGAAAATGTCAAATCAAAATCTTATCCCGTGAAGAATTTTTCGCAGAATCCAGTGGTGCACTCATTTTTTTTGGGTTATGGTTTTGGAGATACGACTCAAACTCAAACAGAACACCCTGTATTCAATAAGCTCATCAAATTCCTTATTGATTTCCCTTCAAAATACAAAAATTAGGTACCTGATAGCAGCAAATGAATTGTGATAAAAAGTCAATGAATAAGCTAATGAATAATTTCGAAATATATAAATATTTATTCAGGTGCTTATTTTACATTATGTTCTTTATATTACTATTTATTTGTTGCAATTAGGTACCTAAGTTGTGCTGTGTTAGTTAATTGGTGTTTGTATTGTTTTTGTTTTCTTCATGGAAAAATCAAAGAAAATATTCCTTCAATTGTAACTTTTTTATATGAAAAATTCAAACTTCTATTTGAATTTGATGTTTTAGTGATTTTGGAGTATTATGGAAAATTTTATATTCATAGATCATGATATATCATTTTGGTGAAAAAAAAAATTCAATGAGCTAATAAAATACAGGGTATTCCATTTGAAAAATCATAAGTTCCAGTCGTATCTCCGAAACCATACCCCAAAAAAAATATAGAGCGCCACTGATTTCTGCGTGAAATTCTTTATGGGATAAGATTCTCATAGAGAGGGGGTCCAAAAACAAAACTGAAACAGTTATGCAGAATCTAATTAGGCCATCTTGAGTTTCACGAAAAAGTGGCACAGGACCGAGAAAACCGCAACACTCTATCTCCAAAGATAACTGAGATATCACGCATAAGCATCAAAAACTAAACACCCTGTACACGCCATGAACGGTGACACCACTGACATTTATACTATCTAGACCGCTATTGCCATAAGACAGAAGCTATGCCATTTACGAGATCGCATTTAGGACCCATCATGTAAAACTCATGAATTTGGGCCACTTTTGCGATTGTAGGGAAATCGGAGGGTCTTCCTCACTTCACTGGATATTTGAATGCGGACAACTATAAACAAAATAGTCACTTGCCTGATTTTAATATCACATTGAAGTCATGAATGACATATTCGGATTTCCAGCGCAATGCGCAGAAGCGAGTTTCTGGGTATGCTGGGATTAGCTTCTAGCTGTCTAGATAGAATATATGTCAGGGTTTGACACGAACAATACACTCATTCCATAGTGGAAGGTCTCCTTCCACTATGGCTCATTCCAAAACCCTAGGAAACGTCATTCGTCACTCGAAGGAAACCCGCTCATCACCCGTTCGCGACCCCCACTTACGCGCCGCTGTTCTCGCTGTCGCGTTGCGCGTTCTCCGCCTCCATGCGGTGGCGGGCAGCGGCGGCGGCGGCAGATCGACTGGCGCTCGACCGCAAATTCTTTTTCGCCATCACCGACTCGGGGTCGAGCACGGACGCTTCGCCGGACCTGAATGAATGAATAAATGATTGATTTTTTTTTTGGACTTCAGGTTGATATCCGGAATGAGTTTTATTCTACACCTTTTTCAATTGTAATTCAGAAAGTGTAACTTGTAATTCAGAATAATTAATTGTAATTCAGAAAGCGTCAATGAGGGAGACCACTGATTTTTTGAAACGACATTATCGTGAACTCTGTACTGAAAAAGTACCAGTGAATTAATTTTGAATTTTTTTATTCATGCTAAGACGATGAAAAAAATAAATTAGAATATGTCCATTTCAAAACACACAATTCCTGTGCCATTTGAAATTTTGTCAATTCATTGGTGTGACTGGTGCGACGTCTTAGTCCCAACACGCCTATTGTCCTTGAACTCACCAATCACACTGCAACACTGCAGAATGACGAGGTGTCAGAGAGAGATAGCTACAGTGCGGGACTAATACATCACGGCTCCACCATTATATTTGGCTTTTCGAAATAACGAATGAAATATGTTGATTTCAAAACGATATAGAGTCGATTCCCTTCAACTTCAACTAATAATATTGATTGTAGATCAAACGTGAATCATGATTCGTCGATTGAAAAAGAGGTTTGCACGGATTTCTCCCCTCAGTGGTCTTCCCCATTGTAAATCGTGAAAATCATCCCCATTGTAATTCAGAAAGTATCACTTGTAATTCAAAATGCATAACATGTAATTCAGAATTACAATATATTGTGGCATTTGAATGAAAATATATAATTTCAATTTTGTATTCATTGGACTTCCTAATCCTGTAAGAATAAAAATGAAATTTCATTTTTAAATCAATAAAAAAATCAATAATAATTTCTTAATGATAATTGATTGCAACATGTTCCTTCTTCCTGTATGAATATTCTTATTTAATCTCGTTTACTCTTAAATAAAAGCAAAAAACGAGGAAATATTTCAAATAATGCGAGCGCTTCCCTTTAGCGAACATAAGATAGAGAGAGTTAGATATCGGTAAACACTGAGGGTTGCCTGAACAATATTTTTGCCTCACTCGTCGTTCACAGAGGGTCCCTTTCAGTTGTTTACATTGAGTTCATTGTGAATTACTGAACTCATCTATTCAATAATTTCTATGATTATTTCATTCATCTGAAAATTCACGCTTTTGATTGGTTGTAACAGCTGTATTGATAATCGAAAACACTATGTTATCGATTTTGTATTTCGGCACCTGATTGGCTACTTACTGTTTGAGTTTTTGTAGCATGACAGCAGGATATAAATGCTGTCATAATATATTCGTGTTCAGGGAATAAAAACACTACACTTCTATTCAAAACCCAATAGGCACTATCACAATTTGAATTGTCCTCACAATTATTATAAGACAATTCCAAATAATTATTGATTGAGCATGATTCGCATGATATAACCTAAAATAGGAATAATTTTTCAACCACGACTGACGTGACATCTCTACATCTCTCTCTTCTCACTCCCTATGATGTACGCTGCTTTATCCATTCAACGCTTTAATGTATTGTTAGTTGCATAACATCCCTAGTACCTTCGATCGCGAGTGAAGAGGAAGAGTGAATGCGGGATCACGATTGCGGGAAACTCAATTGAGAAGGCTGTGGCCAGTTGTGAAGGAATCAAAGAAAACAAAACTGTTTATATGTTGATTAATATCGTTACTAGGTGTGGTGTATAGCTTGAAAATGGACAGTGAAAATCGTTTCGGTAAATATAGTGTAGAAGAAATAAGAAATGAAGTCAAAGACTTAACGCCTCAAAATACCGTGCGTTCCAAAAAGTATGTATGGAAACAATTCACAGAATTTTGTGGACAGCGAAATCATCAGCTAAACGAAAATACATCTGATGAAAGACTTGCCAATATTCTCACAGAATGGGCATTTAATATGCGGAAAACCGATGGCAGTGAGTATAAGGACATGGTAGTGAAAACTATTTGGAATAATATAGCTAAATTACTCCAAGAAAAATACTATCATGAATACAATCGAAAATTTGATCCATTCAAAGATATAACATTTGAAGTTGCTAGAAATGCCAAAAATACTAAAAGAAAACAACTACAAAATATTCCGGAAAAACGAAAAAAGTCATGTGTTTCATTTACATCGGAAGAATTGACACAAATTATCCAAAGTTGGGATGAAAATACTCCAAATGGATTACAAAGGAAACTGTATCATATTAATAAAGTTAAGAAATATATTTATATGCAAAGGAATGATCAAAGCTGAAAGACCATGAATTTCCTTTTTTCTTTTTTTTTTTTTCTTCTTCACTGTTTTTATTTTTCCCCTTATCGTTCACTATAATATGACTGTATCTTAATGATATGTAAGTTTTGTTCACTATTTGTAATTTCAATTATACAACAGTCGATAATACTTCATGAATGATCTTATACCAGGAATTACTGTCTGATCATTCATGTCATTCCTACTAGAAAATTAATTATACTTTATATATTATTTGTATGAAATGTATCAATGAAGAAAAGAATGTAATGCAATAACTGAAATAAATAAATAAATAAATAAATAAAAAAATTAGCTTGGCGGGGCGGTGAAGCATGCCGATGTTTGATTCATTATTTCAAGGAAGAAATAAATAACAAGGGAACACCAACTGGAAGACTGGAATATAACCCTATATTCGCGAAAACCGCACAAGGTGGATCAAAAAATATTGCAGAAAGTAAATGGCTTGTGTCAAATAAAGAAAATCAAGAAAATTGTCCAGTTCGTTTATTCAAGAAATTGATGTCAAAAAGGGGAGAGAACATTAAAACTGATCGACTATTTTTGACAGTTAATGGTAATTGGAATAAAGATCATAAAAGTCCTTGGTTTAAAAATATGCCAATGGGTATAAATGAAATAAGTAAATGGACCAAATTGTCAGCTGAAAAGATCGGTTTAGATACAAAAAAACGTGAAAATATCAAACCATTCAAACAGATCTACAGCTGTGAGTCAATTGGCAAGTTCTGGAATTGGGGAACAACAGATAATAAAAGTTACTGGGCACAGTAGTTCCATGTCATTGAAACCATATTTACAACTGAGCAAAGAACATTATGCTGATATAATATCAAACCTCAGAAAAGAAGATAATATGGATATCCACGACGGTTGCATCTAGTAGCAGTAATGATGAATGTCACTATGTCAAAATAAATAATTGCAATAACTGTACATTCAATATAAATATTAACAAAAAATAGGTAGTGAAAATGGTTTATTTTTCATACATGAAATAATCTTGACAAATACAACACGTGTAATTGATGATTATCGAAAATTCCTTCTCTTTTTCGAAACAAATTGTGTTGCTTGCGCTCGTGTGGTTTCCAAGCAACACAATTTGTTTCTCAAAATCGAAGGAATTTGTGTTTCGATAATCATCAATACACTTGTTGTATTACAAGCGAGAATTGCATAGTTCACCGTATCGAATGCCTTACCTGCGTTTGCCGCGCCGCTTCAGGTTCTTCTTAGGGGCGGATTCCGTTTCCTCTCCGCTGGCCGACTCGGGTTTGGCGGGGGCCTCGACGGCGGCGGTGGGGTCGGAGGCCTGAAACGAATCAGTGCTGGTCGGATATGTTAAACGATAGTGTTGAGTAGGGTTCCTTGATGCAAACTGACGTATTTGTCATCTAACAGGATAGGGTACGGACAGATCATAGCTGCATTCTTTTTTAATAATTTAGAGACTTTAGTTTTGTCTACTGGCATCCCAGACATTGCTCTCACGTCACATGCATGGGCGCTACAGAAAATCATTCAAAATTTTAATAATAGGATTGTAAAGGGTATTTATTTACTTGTTGAGGAAGATCATATATGGCGAACGAGTTTTGTAATTGGTGACATTATAAAGTTCAGGCTGTAGAATATCATCATATAATTGTGAAAAAACTGTTTTATCAAGTGAAAAAACTGTATATATCTTGAGTGTGGTGTATATTGTATGTGTTCCATTGGAGAAGGCTTGCCATTCAGAGTTTTAAGGTATTTAATTTCCAAATATGATTTTGACATTCATGGAAAAATAGTCTTGTCAATATGTCACAAGACAATTTAAAAATTCTACAGGAAGATCAATGCAATAAAGATTTTGAATTCACCCAAGTGAACTATGACGATGAAGAAAAGACTAGTAATAACTTCACCATTACCCAAACTCTACCTGAAATACAGCTGATGAAGGATAATGAAATATTTCATCTGCAACAAGAAAACGAATTACTAAAAGAAGCACTAAAAGTAAAGAATGACATAATTTCAGATAATGAGAAAGTGATAAAAAGACTCAATAGTCAGGTAGGCTATCTAATAGAAGAATACAATAAAATGATCAAGGAGAGAAATGATAAACAAGATATTATATTGAAGGAGTTGAATTTATTAAATGAAAAACTTGACAAAACTTTAAAAAACTCGAACGAAATTGGAAACAATGGAAAAAGTTATTCTGATATACTCAAAGGTAACAATCAGAAGCAGAATATACCCCCACACAATACTCCAGCATTAATCATAAAACCGAGAAATAATCAAACTTATGAAAAAACCAAAAAAGATATCCAAGCTAAAATAAATCCTGTTACAGCCAAAGCTGGCATAACAAAAATTCAAGAAATTCAAAAAGGAGGAGTACTACTGAAATCTAATTCAGAGGCAGAAATAAAACGTTTACAAGAAGTGACAGAAAAAGCCATAGGAAATGAATATATCATAACAACATCCAAGCTCAGATCACCCAGATTAGTTTTCATTGGAACAAAAAAATATAGAAATACAGAAGAATTGAAGGAAGAACTGCGCATATTCAACTATATAGATGATGAAGATATTCTGAATATAAAATTTTCCAGACAGTCAAAATACACCAAAAAATATATAATTTATATGGAAACTAATGGTAAAACATTTCGAAAGTTAGTTAACAAAATTATAGTTCTTGGATGGCATAGGTTCAATATTAGAGAAGATTTAAATATAATGACATGTTCCAATTGTAATGCTTATGGGCACCGTGCAAAGGATTGCAGAAATCCCTTGAGCTGTTCATTTTGTTCTGGGAATCATAAAAGTAATGAATGTGATAATCATAATAGCCCTTGTTGCATAAATTGTAAAATCGCAAATGATAAATTCAAAGTAAATAATATGTATAATCATACTTCTGATAGTGATGAATGTCCAATTTTACAAAAAAAAATAGCTTCAGCTAAAGATAGAACAAATTATGAATAATATAAATTTTGGTAAATTCACGAAAATCAATGATCTGAATATACTATACTTAAATATTCGAAGTATGGCTAACAAAATTGATGAAATAGAAGTTATATTGAAAAATAATAGAGAAACTCATATCCTGATTTTGACTGAGACTTGGATGAAATCAAATGAAACAGATTATGTTAATATTCCTAATTTCAATAGTATCCACCATTGTCGTGACGATAAACAGGGAGGTGGGGTGGCAATTTATTTAAAGAATGACCTGATATATCAAAAAATTGAAAGCAATATAAATAAAGAATACAATACCATTGAAATTGATATTTCCCAATATAATTCCAAATTGAAAATAATTGCCCTCTACCGACCACCGAATTCAAAAATTAGTGATTTTTTTGAATATATTGATAAAACCATGGAGATTCATGAAAAAATTGTTATAATGGGAGATATGAATATCAATCTCTTAGCAGACAGTAATGATACTACTAATTATAGAAACATAATTAATAGCAATGGTTTCCATATCATGAACAAAATTGATGCAATGTATTATACCAGGAAACAAAACAATTGTTTCAGCATTCTTGATCATATTCTTACTAACTGCTACCACCTGAATTTCAACATAGAATTAGAAGATACCTCAATAAGTGATCATAGAATAATATATACATCCATTAAAAAAACAGATATTGTATTGAAAAATTATAAAAAACGAGAAATAATTAAAATTGATTATCCTAAATTCAGAAGAATATTATCTGAAAATCTAAATAAAAGTCAGTGCAGAGAATTTCAAGATTTAATGAATTTAATTTTGGAAGCTAAAGAACTATCTTCTATCAAAACAAACATGAGGATTCGTGAAAAAAATGACTGGATCACTAATGCGATAATTCGTGAAATTGAAATTAGGAATAAAAAATTTGAAATATTCAAACGAAACAATCATAATGTAGAATTTCTTACTGATTATAAAATTCAAAGGAATAAAGTTAATGCCATGGTAAAAAGAGCTAAAATTGAATATATCAATAGAAAATTTGAAGAATCTCAAGGTAATCCAAAGAAAATGTGGGATACAATCAATTACTGTTTGAGAAATAAATCGAAAATTTCCGAGAAGGCAGATATTGAATCTTTAAAAATTAATGGCCAAATTATCAATAGCAATCTAGAAATAACTGAGGCAATGAACTCACACTTTTCAAGTATTGGTGAAAATACTGCTAATGAATTGAAACAATTCTACAATTATATGACTACTGACAATATTGCACCACGTTACAATGATTCAACAATACTTCTGATTCCCACTGATGAATATGAAATAATAAATACAATTAGCACTCTTAAAAAAAAATGTCCTGATCCAGAAGGTTTGATTACACGAGATATAGTAGAATTGAAAAATATTTTGGCCAAACCACTAACAAAATTAATCAATATATCTTTCACAACAGGTATTTTTCCAGATGAATTGAAAAATACCTCTTTACGGGCTATATATAAAAGTGGTGATGCTCAAAATCCAGTAAATTATAGGCCAATAGCATTATTAAGTATTTTCTCCAAAATTCTAGAAAAAATTCTCAAAAAAAGAATTGTAGATTTTATCAATAAAAAATATGGATTCGATTTGAACCAATTCGGATTTCAAGAAAACAGTGGTACACAATCTGCTGTGCTACAAGTAATCAATTTCATTCAGGACAGACTTGACAAAGGAAATTATGTAGTAGCGATTTTCATGGATCTAAAAAAGGCTTTTGATACAGTTGACCACAATATACTTCTGAAAAACCTTGCTTCAATGGGAATCAGAGGAATTGGACACGATCTCTTAAAATCATATCTTGAAAATAGAACGATTATAACTAAAATTAATAACTGTGAGTCTAAAATACTATATTCAAACAAAGGGGTTCCTCAAGGATCAGTGTTGGGTCCAATTCTTTATCTATTATACATTCAAAATATTGAAAGAATGAATTTGATAGGAAACTATACCATATATGCAGACGATACAGTGCTTCTATATGAGAATAAAAACCCAGTAGTTCTAGAACATATCATAAATGAGGACTTGAAAAAAATTGAGAAATGGCTTTATTCCAATCTTCTTTCTCTCAATTCTAATAAGACTCAATATATGATTTTTCGTCAAAGAAATAAACAAAATATTGATCTGAATATCAGAATAAAAAATGAACGTTTGAAACAAACTGCCCATACCAAATACCTTGGTATTTGGATTGATGAGAAATTAACATGGGGAAAGCATATTGACATCCTCATAGGAAAAGTATCTCCCATTATTGGTGCTTTGAGAAGATGTCCTAAACTTAGTACATATACATCAAATATCATTCTCTATTCACATATACTCAGTCGAATTAACTATCTCATAAATATTTGGGGATCTTGTTCCAAAAATAGTTTCAACAAAATTTCTGTTCTATATAAAAAGGCATTGAAAGTATTGTATCGTCTTCCATATGACACTCCAACGAATCAACTGTATAAGGAAACAAACACATTTTCTTTGGAAGAGCACTTTTTAATCAATACTCTCAACATTTCCTATTATATCATCAACAAAAAGCTTAAATCAAATTTTATATTAATCAGGAATTCTGAAATTCATGATCATCACACTAGACAATATAACTTGTTTCATCTTGAAGCTGCAAATTCTAAACTTGGGCAAAAAAAGTTTACACATGAGGCGATTTCGAAATTCAATAAATTACCAGATGATATCAAAAACAGCCCAAATATTATGCAATTCAAAAATAAAGTTAAGAAATATATTCATATGCAAAGGAATGATCAAAGCTGAAAGACCATGAATTTCCTTTTTTCTTTTTTTTTCACTGTTTTTATTTTTCCCCTTCTCGTTCACTATAATATGACTGTATCTTAATGATATGTAAGTTTTGTTCACTATTTGTAATTTCAATTATACAACAGTCGATAATACTTCATGAATGATCTTATACCAGGAATTACTGTCTGATCATTCATGTCATTCCTACTAGAAAATTAATTATACTTTATATATTATTTGTATGAAATGTATCAATGAAGAAAAGAATGTAATGCAATAACTGAAATAAATAAATAAATAAAAAAATAAAAAATTATGATCCGATTCTATTCAAAATTGGAAGGTATCTGGGAAAAAATGTATCTACCAAATGGTTGGAAGGAATCCTATTGCTAAAATTCATAAAAAAAATGCAGAATTTTTAAAATTGCCTAATGTCATAAATTAGACCGGGCATAATTTCAGAAGAACCGCGGCAAGTTTACTTGCAAATTCTGGAGGAGACATTCTTGCTTGGAAGTAAACGAATATCGCTGAAGGGTATGTGCAGCAATCTCTCACATAATAGCAAAAAATTTCGAACCAAATTGTGGATCACTGAAGTTAATGAAATTGATTGTAATCAGCCAAGTACGAATTCTGTATAATAATGTTTTTTATGAAGATATCACGAAAACTGCATTGGCTCCAGATCAGCTCCAGATCTAACTTCTAGTGGTATTCAAATAACCACTGCTCAAAATTGCACTTTTAACATTAGTTTATATAATTATTACTCTACCACAAATTGAAAATATGTAGGATGCAAGAGTGAAAATAACGTGCCTATAATTTATACTGTATACCTACTTCTTTGTTACTTTCATCAATAAATTATTTGAAAACGACTTTTTATTTAAGGGAGACGGAAAAACATAGGGGTAAAGTATAATCTATTCTTTATTTTCCTGCACATTTCACGTATCACTTACCAGCCCACTTTTCGTCTTGGACGAAGTTTTATACATAGTGTGATATTAGTCACTAAATGAATTCTTCACCGAGTTGGATTTCTGAAAATATATTTAGCACACATGACAGTAGTTTAGATATCCACATCGAGGTTTTCACCATTTCTCAATCATAAAAGGCTCAGCTCATTCAGCTCATAGATGAACAACTGATAAGCTTGAAATCAGAATCCATTCAGTCAATAAGAACAGTCTCTTTGGTGAAATATATTAAGCTTTGAGTTTTGAGTACAATTTATATGTTTCCTACCTCGCAAAGATTATGCTGGAGTAGTAAAATCTAAAACTAGAGGATTGTTCATTTATATGTTGGTATAGTTGAATCAGGAATTTCATATGGAAATTACGTATGATACGCCAATGACCTCGATATAACCTAAAAAACAACAAATGACAAAAATCTAGTGTTTATCCCCAGAATTGAATAAGGATGGAACTATATAACTGTTTCACAAACACTTTAGAGTGAGAGGAGACGAGGATCTGTCCGTACCCTGTTAGGATGACAAATACGTCAGTTTGCATCAAGGGACCCTAAGACAGATGATAGCTCCTTTCTCTTTTAATCATCTAGTGACTTTGGTTTCGTGAATTGGCGTCCCTGACATGACATCAAATCAAATATTTTATTCATTCAAAAGACCTAATTTCGGTATAGAATTTGTCGAGGTCAAAGTACAGTACATGTTTGTTTAAGATAATAATTATGTATAGAATTCCTTAAATTGTAAGTACCCACGTAAAAACAACACACAAATTAAAAATGTAAAAAAATGTAGTCACATAAACAGTTCAATGATATCATAAAATAGATTTGCCATCAGAAAATGTTTAATGGAATTTCGGAACTTGGAGTGTGTTGATTGATTCTTTATCTCTTCAGGTAATTGGTTATAGACTCTTATGCCTGTTGTAAGTGGTCCACTTGATATTTGAAGGTTATTCTGACTTGAATATATCAACTGGTTGTACCTCTTTTGATAGCAATGTGTCCATATGCCTAGGAAGAGTGTTTCTGATTTTAAGAATGTAACATGCTAATTTCATTATATAGAGACATGCTAGGGGTAATATATTCAACTCAATGACGTGACATTGCTCTCACGTCACATTCATAGGCGTTAAAAGAGTTTTTACGAAATTTTAATTTCATACTTGATCTCAATACATTATTCAATTTTGTTTTGGAAGGATGGTAAAATGTACTGCGTTAAACAACAAATGTCAGAAATCTAGTGTTTATCCCCAGAAATGAATAAAGATGGAACTATATAACTGTTTCACAAACACTTTAGAGTGAGAGGAGACGAGGATCTGTCCGTACCCTGTTAAGATGACAAATACGTCAATTAACATCAAGGGAACCTAGTGTTGAGGACGATGGTTATAATCATGGTGGAAATTTAGTATGATGTGCTACCACGCATCTTAGTGGACGTCACTGCGTGTAAAATAATTGGTCAGCTCGCGGTTGTCAATGGGCTCTCCAAGTTGCCAACCTAACAACCCCTATCAATAGAAGCCACATTATGATTCATTTTTTATTACTCAAATGGCTTTATTATAATGAAAACTGATTGTAGGAGTCTACTCAGTTCACTGATAGAACCATCTGAGTCGATCCATCTTGCAGTGGAGTAAAGATGATGGGGCAAGAAGAAAATCTTACAGTCAACTCCACCAAAACTGAACTTTATTCAAAATTAGAATTGGACCATGTTTCGAGGCTTCAAAGCTTCATCATCAGCAAATATTATTTGTTACAGGAAGCACTGTTCTGGGGAAAATATTTCACATGAATGAAGGGTTCGCAATTGAGGTGATCCGCATTCAATTGCGGACCCTTCATTTTTATCAACACATTTTCTTTTTCAATATGTAAATTACACTCTTGATTTTTATTCATCAAAGTGCGTTTTAAAACGTTGGAATTGAATGTGCTGAGGCGAAATAGGGTACCGATAAAAGGGTAAATAATGATATCCATAAGTTAAAAGCAGCGTAAAATGGTCTATTGCTATGGTGGGCCCACTTTTCAATAATTTCGTCGGACTATGAACATAAACAATTGAATGTGGGATCGAAGCGTGGGGTTCTCATATTCGATGATCAATGGCGTGAATGACGATACATATCTTGAAATATTTCAAAATGGGAATCTTATGAACTTCAACTAGACTTTCAAGAATGTGTTTCCCTTCTTTCGGGACCTGAAGTCTTGTTAATTTCCTACGAGCGAATGCGCAGCCGTCCAAAATATATAACTTTAATCAGTGTGACTAATTAGGAATCGAATACGTAATACTTCGAAACTTTTGTTCTTGGTTGAATAACCATTGCTAATTTGAATGATGAACTAGAAAGTATTGAAACAAACTACTACTACAAAGAAACCATTCTGCTGACATACTCGACATGAACATAGAAAATTCCTAGGTGAGAAATGAAAAAAAAAAATGGCTAAGTTAGATCAGAATGTCTATGTAGAGAATGTCACAATGAAGGCTATTTTCGCAATGTGCAGACGACTAATAGTTTTCTGCAAAATTTAATGACTGTCAATAAATTGCTTCTATTCTGCTAATGCTCGGTCATATTGAACCACTCGAGACATGAACTTTGAATTAGCTTTCCAATGAAATCATATTACTAATAGACTCTAGAATCTTACCTTTTCCTCGCTCGGTTCCAGTTCACCTTCCACAGAAACATCAGCCTGTCTCTCAGACTCGGGACTCCCCTCCTTCATGTCGCGCTCACTCTTTTCGGGGCTCAAGCTGCTCGACTTGACCACAGTTGATGGCGGCAACAGCGTCTCTATATCGACGCCCTCCTGCTCGCACAGCCCAGTCGCCGGCACCGGAACAGGAGTGGGCGTGGTCGGCGCCGGAGTAGGCGTGGTCGCGGTGGGCGTGCTCGGCCCCGGAGTAGGCGTGGTCGGCGCCGGAGTAGGTGTGGTCGGCGCGGGAGTGGGCGTTCGCGATTTATCAGCAGACTCCCTCATCCGTTTCGCGGGCTGTGGCACGTAGTCGTCCTCGGGCGGTATGGGCCTGTCCATGTACTCGGCGGACTCTCTGGGCCGCTTCGCCGACGACATGTACTTGCTCTGTTCCTCGGCCATGGCCTTGGCCATCAACTCGGCGTTCGTTCTGCTGAAGTGCTCTAAGGCTTCCTTCATTTGTTGCTCGTGCGATTTTTTCATGCTCGTCTGGCCGACTTGAGCCTCGAGCAGTTTGGTGAAGTCTGCCAGGCCGGGCAGGCTGGGTGTTTTCTTGTCTTTGGGATTGGAGAAATCCGTGGGCAGCATGCCTCTGAGATTCTCCAAAGCTTTCCGCTTGTCCTCCTTCTTGTCACTCTTGCTTTGTTTCAAGGTGATGTCTAAGCTACTCGCGGCTTTCGAGATGCTCTCGAGGATTTGAGTGTCGGGAGGCAGCAGCAGCTGTTGCAGATGCGCGTCTCTGCTGGACATTCTGGGAGCCTTGCTCTGACTCGAAGACATGCTAGTGACAGACGAGGATCTGCTTTGCGTGGAGGATTTGCCCGTCTTCGATCCGCTGGTGGGAGACGCAGCAGGGTTCATGCCTCCATTCAACAAACCGCACTGCTGCGCCAAGGAATCGTAAGCCGCAGACATGCCCGGCTGCAAGGTGAAAGGGTTCAACCCCCCGAGCCCGATGGGAGTGTACAGCAAACTGGGGTTCGGGAAGAAGAACGGGAAGGGATTCGAAGTCGGTATGTTCGAGCCGCTTTGCCCCTTGCTAGAGCTGTGCGCCTCCTGAGGCTTGCCCGACTTGCCAGCGCCCGACTTGGAAAGATTCTTCGAGAGATCGGCCGACGCGCCGGGGTCCATACCGCCCAATCCGGGCAGTCCCAGGCCCGCTAGATTGGCGAACAGATTCATGTTGTTGAGATTGCCGAGGCCGCCCATCGAGCCAAGGGCGCCCATGTTGGGCAGGCCGGCGAAGGGCATCAGGAGCGGGTTGGACTTGGGGTCAAACTGCCCGAGGCCGGACAGTCCGGAGAGGAGATTCGAGTTGAGGCCCGCCAGGGTGGAGGTGCTCAGAGAGGGGAAGGACATGCTCGAGGGCATGGAGGTGACTAGGTTGGCAGAGCTGACGCTGGAGGTGGAGCCGGTGGGGCTAGCGAGCAGCGGGGGGCGGCCCGATGGCATGTTCGACTTGGATTTGGGGCCGCCGCTGCCGCTGGGTTGACCTGGAAATACTGCTGTTGAGAAATGCGGGATTGGTTGAGTGATTATGATAATAGAACATTCTATCTCCGGAAACAAGTATTTTCTGATAGATGTTTCAATTATCTCACTTTATTGAATTTCTATCGCGATACACTCAGCTGATTGATTAAAATATACTATATGATTTGAGAATTACATTTTTATTCACAAAATAAGATTTTTGTATTATACAGCTTCATACACGAAATCCGTAACATATTGTGAAATAGTTCAGAGTATAAAAAATGTTTCCTCAGGGATCTTTCATGTATGTCAGATAATCTAGAAATCTATGTTGACACATGTCACTTGATCAAGTATGACGATGAATTGAAAAAAAATACTATGTAGAGGCAAAAAGTTAGATTAGATGGCAAGGTATCGAAAAAACGTATTTGAATTTGAGGAAGTTGCTTAGAATTCAATGTTATGCTCGCATACATAGTTTCAAACCATTCTTCAATAAAATCGAAAATATCTAATTTTTAGAATACTTTTGGATAATTATCTAGTAGTGTAAATATAAAACGAACAAAAATCTGTTGATTTAGATCATGATTCAATTCATTCGATTTGCTCAGTGGATTGAATGATTTCATCGAGAATCATATTATAGTTACGTGATATAAAGAAAATGATAGGAACCAATCGCCTCTATATCCTCTTTGAGTTGTTATATTCAAGGATATCGTTTAGTTCTATCACATTTTTTCACAATGACAAAGACAAAATTATAGACGATTATTTTCAAACAGTTCCGTGCATATGTGTTGATATATTTATCAATTTGGGTTCAACTCAAGTTGGGCATTGGCCTCTGCCTTACTCCTTTTTTTTGTGTTAACTAATATTTATACTTTTTTGATTATCATTATTCTTTTGGTATCAACAAAGTAGCTCTACCTTTTTTTATATATTTTATGCTACTTACATCATATTAAAGGCTCTAGGGATGTATAGTAATAAGCATAGTGCATTAATTTTTTTTTCACTTCATTATGTTTATATAGTACATAAGTTTCTAATGGTTAAGTGTAAGAGCAAAGCTACAGTGCCTCGCAGTGGAGATTTGAACTTCGCAATTTGGATTCAAAACTACACTCTTATGATATATATCTATATATATGTGTGTATATACGAATCGATGTATTACAGCTTTGAATCCAATAAAGACATTTATTATTATTATTATTTATCGTGGCAACCCTGCCACTCGCTCACCTGGCACCCGCTTCTGCAGATCGTGGCCCAAATTCCCGCGCTCCTTCACCAGCTCCGACCACTTGGGATCGATGTCGTACATCGGGTTCTCCATCAGCCATTGGCCGAGCCGCTTCAGCGTCGGCGCCTTGGGCCCCGTCAGCTTCTTGCCGGTGGCGCGATGGACGACAGCGACGTTCTCCTCGCCCGTCAGCTTCTTCCAGTCGAGCAGGGTGGGGTCGACGCGCGGCCGACGCCTGCGCGGCGACAGGTAATCTGCGCCGGCGCCCAACGGCTGGTCGGCGAGGGCGGCGTTCTGCTCGGCCAGCCACTTGTTGACCTGCAAGCAACAAGTGGATGCGGATCACCGACATAACCAGACATTTAAGAAGAAGGAAAGATGTCTAATAAGTTAATCTGTGGTAAATGCAACAGAATCATTGCTAAATCAAGTTTGAAAATAGGGTGTACAGGACTCTGCAACCAGTGGTTCCATCGGGAGTGTAGTGGCCTTAATGAAACTCGAATTAATGAACTCTCGAAGAGACAATTTGACTTTTTATGTTCCACGTGCAAAGCAGTGGATGCACCTGTGAGTGAAGAAGACATCGACTCGGCATTCTATGATGCTGTAGATAACATGAATAACGAAAAGAAAGTGGATTCAAATATTCAGTTATATTTTGAAACAAAAAGATATTATTATCAAGGAATTGAGGGAAAAAAATCAAGATTTTGAATAATCATATTGATTTATTAAGTGACCAGAAAAAACATTTAGAAGTAGTGAGTGATAAAAACAGCACGGATTCCTGGACAATAAATCAACTACCACAGCTATTCACTCCTATTATAGTGAGATAATTAGATTTATTGAGGCGGGAGAATGCCCTGTTGGGATTTTCTGTGATCTCAGCAGGGCATTTGATTGCGTTGACCATAACATTTCCTTAAATAAACTCTTCAGGTATGGTATTCGTGGTACTCCACTGGCCTGGATAGCAGACTACCTTTCTTTGGGGAAACAATTTGTTGAAATCAACAAAACACCATCTGACTTCATTTCAACAGAATTAGGGGTTCCACAAGGATCAATATTGGAACCTGTATTATTTCTATTCTATGTTAATGACCTCGATAAGTCTATTGATACATCTATGACCATGTATGCAGATGATACGTCCATAATTATCTCTGATAAGAATGATTCAGCCCTCAACGATAAATGCAATCAAGTTTTTCAAGATTTGAATAGATGGTTTTCTGCAAATAACCTTTACTTGAATGTTGATAAAACAGTTTCCATTCGATTCCACAATCGTCAGAAAAGTTGTGACTTTATCACTTTCCAGGCAAAGGAAAATTCTGATCTCGTTATTACAGATAGTGTAAGCACCAAATTTCTGGGACTCTCTATCGACCAATGTTTGGGGTGGCATAACCATTGTGCACTATTAACAAAGAAATTGAACACAATATCATATCAATTGAGAAACTTGAAACAAGTTTTGAATATTGATCAATTGTTGACCTTGTATTACGCACAGATTGACTCTACGACTTAGGTATGGTTTATGTTTCTGGGGCCTATCTACACACTGGAAAGATGTTTTTATAGCTCAAAAAAGAATAGTACGAATAATGGTAGGTGTTCCTATGAGAGAATCCTGCAGATATATATTCATCAACTATAAAATTTCAACATTACCTTGTCTTTTAATATTTGAATATTGTGTATTTGTTTTCAAAAATTATGATTAATATTTTGTTCTCAACAAATCCAAACATAATGTGAATACCCGGCAAAAAAAATGATGTATATGTCCCATTTGGTAAATGTAAATTAGCATACAATTCTCCTAATCTCATGGCCCCACGAATTTTCAACTTACTGCCAATCAACATAAAAAAACTGTGAAACATTGATTGTGTTTAGAAGAAGATTGAAAGAGTTTCTGTTACATAACTGTTTTTATAGTGTAGATGAGTATATGTCCCTTTAGTTTGTAAGACCTATTGACGATTCCTATACAATATGAAATGCAATTGTCTAAAGAGGAAAATAAAGTTTATCTATCTATTTAAACGCGAAACATTATGGGTTGCGTGAAAGATCTGTCAGATGACCAACCCTGGTAATACATCGAAATATAACCTCGATTCTCTTATTCGCTTACAAATGATTGATATAGTTTTTCACAAGTATTTTTGTATACTCTTAAATAATTCAAGCATGCCATCACATTGTGCTGTTGTAAAATGCAACTAACAAATTGTAATATTGCGGTTCTTTTTTTTCACTTCTACACATTTTTATAATTATGCTGCTGATGATGGTACTAATGAATTTGTGGAGATGACTCAGAGTCTGTCTTGTTTTTGATTCGTAATTTTGTTGAACTTGTAGATATTATAGGAGAAAATGTGTATAAGTTGTTGCAATCTGAGCATTTTTTGTAGTATATTACGAAGTATATTAGGTATATTAAAGCTGAACTTCAAGAGAATTCGGTAATTTCAAGTTGCAAATAAACCAATTTGAACTCTTCATTCAAATACCTACGAGGCGTTCGACCTTTCCGAAATGGACACAAAGGAATTGACACAACGTCGTCTATGGCTGAGAGGTGTTTACGTTGCGTCAGGTGCGCACCAGATGGCGGTCATGAATGTCATCTGGGGACACCCCGGCACTGATGAGAGCCACAGCTCGAAACTGGTCTGTAGGTGAAGTGTTCCTGAACAATTCGCGCACAACTCAGCGTTCAGGACAGAAACAATGTATTTGTCTATACGAATCGTTGAACAGATCACGGGAGGATGTAATTATCATTACTTTCAGACATGATAGATCTAGTGTGAAGGTTGCGGTGTGGAGGCCTGTACCCCAAAGGCCCCATTCTAGATCTTCTCTCATTATCTACCATTTTCGTTCAGTTTATGAACTATCCTGGTAATGACTGAGCTTCTCCCTCTTTGTTTCCATTTCATTCCACTAAGTATTTTGGCTTTTTCCTAGTTCATATTATTGTTCCACATGCTTTCGAACCGAATTAACAGGATTGCCTTATTTTTTTCCATTTTCTGCATCGAAAAATTAGTGAATTCAAATTAACTTCAACTTTTCGAACGTTCAATGGCGGTAGGTAGAAAATCATCATTTGAGAAAAAAAAACCAAGATATACTTTCTTATGTTTCCGAGCAAATAATTCATTATTAGGTTCACAATAATGCTGTTCAGATTTCAATGTCCTTTATTGGAATTATATGGAAATTCTCGTATAGGGGTTTGAAAAACAATATTATTATAAGGTTGGTTTTCCTGTACAAAATTACTAATGTTATGATTTCAAAGAAAATTGACCCTTTTAATAAAAACGCACTACACTGTCTGAAATGATGTTCCTCTCTGAAATACTGATCATATTGATGGTTATTCATACTGGTCCAAATTTGGTAAAGATCGCACGACTTATAGCTAAATTAGACACACTGTATAATCAATGATAGATATACACTGAGTGCATGATTTCAGTCCAGTGGAAAACGGTATAACTTCTTTGCAACAAAGAAAATCCACTCCAAAATTTGATGTCTTCTCAGCGCCACCTAGCGGTGATTTTTTCGAATAGAAAGTTCGTTTCAAATGTTCAACAGGTAAGCAGATGAAATATAACAAAAATAAGAACCTCACCTTAGCTTCGTGCGAATACGAATTGACCTTGGAACTGAAATCAGACACCTTCCCGATATCGGCGATCATCGCCTCGTAGCTCTTGCGCTGCTGCTGTTGCTGCTGCTGCTGCTTCTTCAGCAGCATGTTCTGCTGCTCGGCCTGCGCCAGGAACGACGAAAACTCCTTGCTGGTGCCGGAGAGCGAGGGCAGCAGGTGCGGCATGGAACCGCTCCTGGTCGACGGTACCGTCGATGGTACCGACGTTACGGTTATGGTGAACGGCTTCTGCTAGAGGTAAGGGAGCGTTCTGTAGTTTCCATAATTCGACAGTGATGGAGTTATAAATAAGGATAATGGACCCACTATAGTTATTTAGGATTAGGATTAACATGTGAAGCAAACCATCATGACATATATTGCCGTTACGGTGAACGGCTTCTGCTAGAGGTAAGGGAAGGAGCTTTCTATCAATCATTCCAGAATTACGTCATTTGACAGGTTGCTGAGGGGCAAACATTGTATTTTGTCAAGATTTGTCATATGAAACCAGAATTAGTGGGATCGCTTTCCTTGGGATCCGAGTTGGAACCCAGAATAATTTCATAATTTCGTTTGGCGAAACTGTTAGGCCCTCCGCACACGGGTCGATCGGCGACATGGGCGACGCGATTCGAATCGTACGACGGTCTCCCCTCTACTCGACTTCCTAAGCAAAGCATCTGGATCCCGCACACGGGTCGTTTAGTGGTCGTCTAGAAACGTACGATTTAGGATCTCCTCGTTTTCAGTCTCACGCGATTAGCAAGGAAGCAGTTTGATCGAGTGATTCTTGCGTCTCAATGGAGAAAGTTGTTCAATAATTTTTCAATCATTGTGAATATTTGTGTAACTTACCTTAGTTCTTTACTTTCAGTAACTAGAACATATAATCTTATGTTTCCAATTTATACTCTCAACTTTAGGAACTGTTTGATTTTTTGAAATATATGAATCTTACATCAATGTTATTAGTATGTGTTCTTCTGCGCTGACACATTCCCTCATATTTGAATCCATATAATTTATGGCTGGAGCAAGAGTTTTCACTAAATCAATATATGATTCCTTCGACATTCTATAAAATGCCAGAAATTTTGTGTCACTCTCTTGCATTTCACTTGCAGTAACAAAAAGTCGAGTGTGAAAATTTCGTGCAATGTACGGATGCACCCATAAACTTCGTTGTCTTCTTCTACTCCTGATCTGCCGGTGCCACAAATACATGAATATGTCCTCCTCGCCATTGGAACTGCTCATTTCTAGCGAAACATTTCTTTTTTGAAGTTGCAAAAAATAGAGTAACTAAGTTGATCAGACGCGAGTCGACTACACAAAACGTCGACTCATATGCGGATGACACACACTCCCGTCTCTTGAATCGTACGAATGCAGAAATTGTGACGTCATTGCAATCGCGTCGCCCATGTCGCCGATCGACCCGTGTGCGGAGGGTCTTATTATATTGTGGATGTTGCAGGGATGGCCAGGGCTATGCTCATCAAAAGTAACCTAACAGATAGTTTGTGTGCCCCTCAAGAAACCATGTCAAAATCACGTGTTCTTGAATGGTTAATAGTTTACATAGTTTGACAGTGATAGTTATGAATGAGGATAATGGACCTACTCCATATAGTTGAAGTGATTTAGGACTATGATTAACATGTGAAGCCAACCATGACATATGATGACAGTCGATGGTACCGACGTCACGGTTATTGTATTATAGTTATTTAGGATTAGAGTGAACTAGAGTCACTGAAAGGTATTAGTAGATACGAGTTCAGACACAAAAGGATAAGACATATATGCTGCTCTTTGTCTTTTCAATTTCCCCTATGGCGCCTGATTGTCAGATACGATTTCAGAGGTTTTTTTTATCGCTTGGAGCGCACGGAAGGGAATCCCTATAATGTTCAAAGAACATCGTGCGTTCCTAGGGAGGATAGGGACAGGAGGTAGGTATTGGAATTTTTTTGAACTTCTGGAGATTATATGTTATTGGGAATACTTCCACAGGCAATGAATTCCAGAGGTTAGCCGTGCTATGGATGAAGGAGTCTTGATAAAGTGCTGTTCGACATCTTTCGAGGTTGACAACGAAAGGTTACATTTTCTGTCAAATCAATCATAGCCCTAGATGAAAAATAGAAATAGGGTTTTAACACCCACTTCAATTTATAGCGATAAGGCACTTTTCGGAAAACGCCATTCAGAGATATACGGTGAGTACAAGATAAGGATGTCGTCTATCATGGGGTATAGTCGATGATGGTTTCTCCGAAACGAAACGTCGTACAGAAAATGGCGTAAGGCTATTTTGTTTCAAAAATGGAAATGAGAAAGTGTTTTCTGTTTTTCTATCTCTGCAATTAACGTCAGAAAAAATAAATACGATTCCTATGATAGACATCCTTATATCTAGGACACAGTGTATCTGTTACAATTTACTTGATTTCCTCAGTTTCATTCTCAAATTTTCAATTTTATTACGTAGTATTGCAATCAATTCCTCCTTCTCCATGATAAGTGTGTTTTGCATTTCGTGTGATAATGATAATAGATTTTTTCAAATACTCTGTCTTGTAAATGGATGGAACAGCAGATTCTCTTCAACAGATCTCAAAATCTTCTGTTCAAAAATGAGCCCGAAATATAGTTCTACATTCTAATCTGCTGTTATAAGAAGTGAATTTTAATGTATGTACCTCACAAATTCTGCTTGTCTTAATTTTTCATCTAGGCCGTTTCACACATTATTCCTTTCATATGAGGATGGTTCATATTTCCTTTGGAAAATTGAATAAATAAAATCCATTTCGCATCATAATTCTCACAATTCATTATTCAATAATGTATGAAATTATATTTCAATTCTAGCGTTCATGTAATGTGTTGTCGAATTCGGACAATTTTGAATGTGATCTTGTCACAATGCAAGGTGTGTAACTTGATAAATCTAAGAATTCAAATACACTAACAGTTGTCATTTCTGTGTCCGAACTCTTTCCTAACTAATACCATCCATTGACTCTAGAGTAAACATGTGAAGCCAACCATCAGGTTAGGGAGCTATCTGTAGTTTCCACAGTTCGACAATAATAGTTATGAATAAGGATAATGGGCCTATGCCATATAGCCCTCCCTATAGTTTGGTGGTTAAGGAATTGAATTGACATGTGAAGCCAAGTCTTGAAAACATATATTGACTGTCGATGGTACCGACGCCCCGGTTATGGTGAAAATGAGAACCACCCATAACCAATAACACAACAAATGACATTTCCCACTAGGATTATCGCTTTTCTACTACAAAAATTTGCGATGTTGCCACGTCCATATTTAAATAACTCATATTTTTTATATTGTTATGTATGTATATATATGGTGGTGAAAGAAACGGAAGTAGGGGTGTACACACGATCCATAGTACATGAATATGATTTCGAATTAATAATTGTCGACAAAAATATGTCCACTAACGGGAAACATTTTAATTCACTATGCACGTTTTCCACCTGTGGTGTTTCAGTTATTTTTTGTAAATTGAAAATATTTTTTCCATCATTTTCATAAAGTATTCAGTATCGTGAGCATACGAAAACGGTTCATGAATAACCTTAGATTGCTGGTGATTACGTTTACAAAATTCATTTCATCGCATTATTTGCAAGATACAAACCAATAAAATCGTAATTGAAATACGTTAAAATAGGTCGATTTTTTATTTCAATTTACTGTCTTTGAGATAATAATCTAATACAATAATTTCGTGTCATTACTTCTCGGTAATTTTTTGAATGATTCACCTATTTCTTTTTTCAATTTTCGGATTTTCCTAATGTTCTTTCAGCTGATAATGGATTTTACTACTTTAAAATCGTTTATATTCGAAAAGTGTAATTATAACTTTGTATTTTCTGACAGGAGATGTCTGATTCGACAGCTATCGATTGAAAAAAAATCATGAACTCAATTCTTAAAGTATTTTCAGAGTAAGGACTGTCCTGATAGGCATAAACTGAATAATAAAAAAATCTCATATGACGCGGACTTTAACGGTGACACTGTATATCAAATGTCTTTTCACCCCGCTCCGTATACCTACTATCGATAATATCGGATTTAGTCATACTTGTTCGGGAATTATTCGGTTGAAAGGATGACGTAACTAATTAGTCATCAAAATTATGAATCAAACACATCAGCAGTCTCGTTATAGATTTCATCGTGTTCGGTCGATTCAAGTGATATAAAAAAGAACTCGAATTATTCGGAAATTGAAATTCATATTCGATTTAGTGATTTCATTTTCATTTGAGTGTGAAAGTTGTATTTTTTCAAGATGGTAAGTGCTTTTGTAAATAAATATGGAGGCATTCATTACGTGGATGGTATTTTGCTTCGATATATCTATAAATAACGATGAAACAATTTGAAATTCGCTTTCTTCACCAATACCAACTGACACGAACTCATGCTATACCCCCATTTTCGTCTTTGTTTTTCTAGCTATACAGGGTATGTCACGACGAGCTTACACTATCGTGAATCAGTCGGAAGAAATCCATGAAAATATGCATGCTAATATTTTAGAATACGCTCTCTTCACTTAAAATATTTTCAGCAATGCAATGTTGCCGCTTCTACTAGAAAGTAGTAGCAACATTGATATTTCAAATGGAACACACAGAATTTTATCGCATCTTTATATTCTCCCTGAAGAGCTGATTTTATCGATATGTGACACTTGGGAGTCTATCGAAAGAGATTACAGAGATATAGGGTGTTCAAAATCGAGATTTTTCAACTTTAGGATTTTTTTCTGTTGAAACTATTCATTATCGGTCAAAACGGCTCACATGGCCCAATCTCAATTTTTGATCCACTATTTACTGATATTAAATTGGAAAAGATACAGGGTGGTTCAAGATTCAGAATTCTGATCGCTCGCCATTTTGCAAAGTGTTAAGTACTGGGTTGTTGTTTATATTTTACTCAATAGCCATCTCATTTAATATTGGTCTCACAAAATTTCAAATAGGCAAATATGAAGTGCACATGCATTCAGAATTCAGTACTACATACATATTTTGTAGAGGTTATCTTTGTCAGTTTTCGATAATATATATTTTTTCCGTATGAATCGTTTTATATTGAAACCGGAAAAATTTAGGTATAGGACATATTCATAAAAATTCAAGATAATTGGGATCTGAAACAAAAATGTAGATTAAAGTTCAGGATACAGACCCTATCCCCTGAACATTCAACGAATTAAATGTACATTCTTTATATCTTTTCAAGAAGCCTGTATTATGATAAGCAGTCCCATAAGCCCTAGGAAAGAATTTCAATTCGATTTATTGTGAGTTTCGATCATGAGCAATAATCCACCCCTCTTCTCCCTGTACGATCCCTCTTGATCATACTGCGAGTATTTTGACGTCAATTTTCTTCATCATCTTTTCTAAGCCCTGTTTTTTAAATCAAAATGACACAAAAAATGTCTTGGTACTGAACCTCTCACACATGTAATTTTGTTGAGCTGTGAATTTCTGATGAATAAATACAAATACCGGTTGTCCCATTTTAATCTTTATTTGGAAATTTCTCGAAATGTATGCATCTGACAAAAAAAATTGCCGAATAAAAGTTGTATGGTTTGGCGGGGGACGTCTGGTTATAAAACAAGTTTCACCCCCTGACCCCCAGGGGAGTGGGAAATGGAGGTAACATTGAAATCTTTAATGGAAACCTCTATTTTTTATTGCTGATTCTGGAAGAGCATTAAAAACTATGAAGCTTTTATTCAGAAACTTCTTTTTTATTTTCACAAGATGGCGCTGCGATCTTGAAAAACAATATTTTACTATTTAGTTTGTAGTTGGCCACCCAGATCACCCGACTTGACTTCCCCAGACTTCTTTCTGTGGGGTTACATCAAAAACATTGTGTTTCGCGAACCCCCAACCACACGCGAGAATATGAAAGATAACGCCTGCTATGTTGGAAGCGACAATGCGGAATTTTGAAAAACGAGTGAACTTATGTATTCAAGAAAATGGAGGTCATTTCGAACACTTGATAAAGTAGTCAATCTCACTTAAAACCAGCTTTAGTCTGACCTAAATGATACCTTAATTGCTGAAACATGCTTAATTTTCTCTTTTCTATGTAGAGGTGTCAAGGTAAGTAAGTTCGTTTAGCGTTAATTTGTCGTGTGAATATCACCCCAATGGCGCTTGTCTGGGAAAATATCACACCCTACACTCTTCCTCGTCTTCAGGGGGTTGAAATGTGTAAATAGTGATATATTGTTTTTTACGATCACAGCGCCATATTGTGAAAATAAAAAAGAAGTTCCCGAAAAAAAGCTTCATAGTTTTTAATGCTCTTCCAGAATCTGCAATAAAAATAGGGGTTTCCATTAAAGATTTCAATGTTACCTCCATTTCTTACTCCCCTGGGGGTCAGGGGGTGAAATTTCCAAATAAAGATTAAAATGGGACACCCGGTATATCTGCAATTTGCGTCTTCGAACACCCCCATCCTTCCCAGGAAGTTAATCTTTGACCCTGATTCATGTGAAGTGAGATTATGAGCCTTCCAGATTATCCAGTTCGCTTTCGGTGCACCTCTGGCCTGCAGTGCGGGGCGCCGCGCCGGACCGAGGCACGCGCGGGTTTGCCCGATTATTACAATATATGCTCACATTGAATTCGTATGCAAAAAATAGCATCCAGTTATACAGAATATCCTAGTTAACGGTCCAGAGATGTGCATACGAACTTAAATCATCGATTATTTGAAAAATGTCTAGTCAATTGATGTTCGAATAAGTCGAGCTCCCCTTTCCGGAATCGTATGCAAATGTCGGAAAACCGATTAATGGGTCCAAATTCATTGTTTCGCCAAAGGGCATACATTCTTAGATCGACTGTAACACTGAAAAATTGCCACTTCCGGTCCGTATGCCGTCCTTAAGGTGTGACCTAGGCGTATGCAAACCGGCAAGCGCCCCAATTTTCGTGAGATAAGATCATTGCACTTCATTGCCGAGCTTCTTCTTGAACAAAATTTTGAACTTTTTTCGAACCCAAAGGTGAGGTCAGGACAGGGACAAGGACTGGGCTGCGAGTCTCCGAGGCACTCCTTCCTGTCAACTTGGACTAAGTTAGTGGGTCCCTTAAATGGCATACCGACTTAGAACATCGATAAACCCTATGTAACGGGCCAACAGTCTATTATTGCAAAATATCGATCTGAAACAAAGTATCGACAATTCGTTACCTCTAGCTTCTGCTGGGGGTTGTGCTGAGCCGCAGAAGGGGCTGAGGTGGGGGTGACGGTGACGCTGGGCGCGACCGGCGGCTTCTTGGCCGGCTCCGGGAACAGCGACTGCTCCTTGGCGGCCGACAGCCCCAACACGATCTCGTCGAGCTTCTTGCGCTTCTTCTCCTTGCCCACCAGCTGTTCCGGCTCCGGCTGCAAATAGAGAAGAAAGGTTCCTAATTAGGCATCTGCGGCTGAACTCACAGCCTGCAAAGTCATTTGCTTGGAGGGTAATCAATTGATGGCCGTATATGTGAATTTTCCGGGAATGAGTACTTGAGATATGGTAACTTGGTAACACTGTTCAATTGTTGATTATAATAACTAGTCAACAAAATTATAAAATCATAACTAAAAAACTGAACCATATGAAAAGCGTCATACTGTTAGATGCCTGCATCAAATTTTATTCCAGCTAATCTTGAAACTAATGGAATATTTCAGAGTTCAGAGTAAATTGAATTTGGAAAAAAATAAAATGTTCAATATTGAATAATTCAATTGTTGTTCGATATTCTCAATGAATATTTGGTCAGGATAACGTTTTTGACTTCCCTTCATAACATTATAGTGAGAAAAGATCGAATTCTACGATACTGGAAATGACCATTCTCTTCTGACTTCCCTATAATGGAAATTAAGAAAGTGTACGAAACTTGTCAAAAACCACGTCACATGAATAAAACCCCAATATTCTACAAATATTGTTCTAGGCGAAATCATTTGAATCATGTAATAACGGGAAATACTCACGCAATTTTTTCTTTTCATTAGTTTGGACAATGTATCATCTAGTTTGTTGCCAGCTTTGGGTGTGGGCGTGGAAGGTTTCTTCACAGAAAAATCTTGTGCTTCATTGTGAATGTCCATAGATTTTTCAGATGGATTCTTCGGAATGCTGGAATGAAAATAAAAAATAGTAATTTGTCCTCTATACAGATGGTCACAATAGAAACCAAATATTGCAAGATCAAATCATCAATATCAATTATCATTTGTTTATATCATTCAGAGTAGTGATAACAGCGTTTTTATTGGTCATTATTGACTTGGTCAGTAATAACCTCACTAGAGCACAAAAAAAAATTCACACCAAATACGCTGAAACCCATAGTTTTGAATGAAACCCTATGAAATCCCTGACTTTTTATCATCGGGTGTTTGTCAACATGAGACATGACGAATAAGTGAAACAAATAGGTTGTTACTCTTCAAAACGAAATATTTTTTAATCGTAAACTTAAACATGTTATGTAGGGTTGAGGTAAAAATAAAATGGACGAGAATTAGTGATGGAGCGATAATGCCTCATATGTATTTTTTTATCAAGAACGTAGTACACCGCATTCGGGTAACATCCATATATGTATTCATTTTCAATATGGATAACAACGAGCGCCAGGTTGAAGCTAAAAATATGAAACAAATAATTATTTCAGTATTTATTTCGATATTTATGTTTAATTCATTGCTCCACAGGACGAATTTATTGAAAATGCTGCAAGTTTTCCTTTATTGATACTAGTGATCAGTATTATTATCAGCTTTGTTGTCATCAGATGGTATCGGCAGGTTACACTTAGCAGGTACACTTACCTAGTAGTTTGGAAGTAGGATATGCAGAAGCTATCAATTAATACTATACATTTTATGGTGCATAAAAAAGGAAATCAAGAATTATCCAGATGTAAACATTCCTTTTATTCCAACTACCACTGCAATATAACAACATTTTAAAATGGGCTAGGATGACTATTTCATGTTGAATATGTAATGTACAAGTGTAATTTTCAAGTAGTTCAGACAGGGATGTAGATTAGATGGGAAATATACTCTGAAAATTCATAATATCGATCAAACCTCTGCTACTTAACATTATGTCCACAAAGTAAACAAAAACAACAGAATGTCATGACCTTATGGAGCGATAAAACATACTCCTTTGATTCGAAAGCTGGTAAACGCCATTGCCTATCAAAAGTAGGAAGGAATGCTCGAAGTCATCTCCACAAATTTCAATCATGTTACATAATCATAAGGGCCATCTTCAGCCTGATTGGAAGTTCTACAATTCAAAAACAAAATAAAAGTTTAAGTGAAAAAATTACCTAGTTTGTGCTTGCCTTACTTGTAGTTGAAAAATGTTTCTGATGTTACTGTTTGTTGCATTGTTGTTGATGTCCATAGTCAAGAAATCAAATTCTTAATGAAAAAACGGGTTCTCAATAAATGAAGGGTCCCGTGCCCTGAGAGCGCATACCATTCATCTCATTGGAATTTCATATACCAAAATGGTATATGAAGGGTATTAAATAAAGGATTTTCTTTTTCAAAAAATTCGTCTTATGTTCATGAATGCGCTGATTAAACCTACGACCTGTCTGACCGATAGATACCTTAGGACAAGAACCACAGTTGAGTTTGTATACCGTAATCGACGATTTTTTTGAAAAAAAAAAAAACAAATTCAACATACGCCAACCATATATTGAAAGAAAACAATAGTTTTGATAATTTCGAAATTCTACACGTAGAAAATAAAGGAATGAAACCATCATTTTGAATCATTAGAAATCAACAAACTCAAAAATTCTGACATTTTAGTTAACGATCAATCAGACCTCAATAGTTCACCACTGTTGAATTTGTTTTCTTAGGTAATTAATAATATGTATTTGATATCAACCCTTTCAAGTTACTCAGGTACACCGTATTTTAATGTAGATATTGTGCCTAATTTCCTTAAATGGAGGTTTATCGAACCGGGTCCACAGGTAACTAATCCTTCAGGTTGCGAAAGTAGGATATATAAGCAAGCCAAGGTTATTTAGTTCATCGTACCAATATATCACCTGACGAAGCTACTGTATTAGCGAAACATGTAGTGTGTTTAAGAATTTCGTGGAAATCTTATCGTTTGCGAAGTTTTTATATTTGCCATGGATTTACATCAAGTAACGGCCGAGTCAATTCAAAAAATGTTAGATTAATAACTAGATTCTGTGCCTCACCTGGAACTCAAGTCGATAGGCGTGAGCGTACTGCTCGTCCCCGGTATAACCGTGGTCTGGCCGATGGTCTTCACCGCCCCCGCGTGGTACTGCAGATCGTACGGCATCTTCATGCCGCCCGCGCCGACGCGGGCAGCCTGCTGGTGCGCGGGCGGCGGCTGCGGCCCCCCGCCCTGGCCCGGTGTCGACCGTCGCGACGACTCCTCCGAGTCGTCGTTGTCCCACGGCGCGCCGTGCCTCGACGTCGGGTTGGCGGCGGCGGCGCTGGAGGGGTGGGCGCTGTTGAGAAGGGCGTGCAGTTTGGCGCGCTCCGTTTCCACGTCAATGGCGATGTGGCGTTTGCGCTTCTTGCCGCCCGTCGAGTACCTGGGAAAGGGGAAGGTTTTCAACCTCAGAGTAGATAGATTTTATTTTATTCAACCCGCGAGGGACCGCGCCGATAGAAACTTAAACGTGGACCGTGTGGGGTAGTATACCCCATTGGTTTTGATTGAATTTAAGGACTTTGAGACGATAAAAACCATTGTCCGATGTGGAATTGCATTATTTATAACAATAATAAAACAAACAAACAGTAATAATGAAGAACGAACCTAATTTGATTAATAATCTTTTTCTGCAACCGACACAAAAGTCGTCCATTTTGATACCAAAATTAGCCCTTAAATCGACATTTCTATTACTGACACAAAAATAGGTATGTTGCTAGGCAACATATTTAGTTCCTAGGAGCTAAACTTGAATTTTAGTTCCTAGGAGCTAAAGTTGAACTTTAGCTCCTAGGAACTAAAAAGGATGTACTGGACGTCATCAAGAATAGAAAACATTGTGACGGTTGGTTATTTGGGTTGAGACGCATACCTGATTTGTTTCCGATTCCAGCAGATTTGGCATTTCATACCCATGCTGGAGATATAAATACACCTTATTATAGTTTAGTATTGGAATTATAAACATCTCAGTTAAGTATTTTTGTTTTGATCAGGGAAGCCTTCAAGATTCAAATACTTGCTTGATCTGTATTTCATTCGTTATTCTGGGGATGGATAACTTGTTTTTGAATAATCACGGCAAGCGATAGTTTTTTTGTCTCAAACAACGATATTGTTTAGCTTCATTTTGATCATCAAGTTAAATACAGTGTAGCATGGAGAGGAATAATTAATCACTATTATCATTGTTGATATGCTCACTAACCTAACATTTTCCACATCCTGTTCCTATAGCTGGCACTGGCACGGTATTTGCCATTAGAGCACCTGGTCCATACACAAATATGTCACTCTGTGGTTGTATTTATATTGAAACTACAATTCGAACATCCTAGAAAACCTAACCTGCTGTTAACGCAGGTAGAATATTCTCACCACATGGATTATTTGTCAATATTTGTTGCATATGGCACGGCATTGGTGGTTACTTCACATTTTTATTTGAGTTAGTTGTTTCGGTTGCAGAAAAAATAGCATGTTTCATTCGGATCAAAAGTGACTTTGTTCGACTTGCAAATTTTGCTTTCGCTCGGCTTCGCTAAACGCTCCGCCTCGCAAATGCAAAATTCGCTTGTCAAACAAAGTGTCACTTTTGATCCTAATAAAATCTACTATTAATTGAATAGTGAATATCAATGAACGCATGAATAATATACGCACGTCCCTTTTTTAATTGTTTCTCTTTTTTTTTTCTCCTGGATAATATGAAAATTTGACTACCATTGCAGGCTGCTCGTTTTGATGTTGAATTTCATTTTCTACATACACGAATTCAGATATAGAAGATTTCAATTCTCTCCCGCGTGGGGTAAGGATATACCCCAGGAACAATTCACCAAATGTTTACTACGATGTGTGCAGAACTAACGACGAAACACATGCATAGACTTGTTAATTGATCATATTTAGCCACTGAGCTGGCGTGATTTTTCAGTGCCGTGCAGATTAAGCAAAAAAAACCGTAATTTGATCGTCTGGGGTATTTTCTATCCCGCGCGGTCCCTCGCGGGTTAAGTCGAAGCCCTGAGGGGGCAGAAGGACGATCTAGAATTCATAGCCATCTAGTGGCTTAACTGCAAAGATGAATAGGTAGATTCATCAATCATACCTTGCGAGTGAGTCGTGCAAATAGACCCCTACGTCTATATGCTTACAGAAAAGACACCATGTCAGAATTTTGTAGACTATCGCAACACCTGTAATTCTCAAAGTGGTTTAATGTTCCACTAACAGAAGGTGATAAACCGAAAATCTCAAGACTAAGAGATTCTAGGGAAATTTCGTGAATCGATTGTCTGCTGATGCAAGACAGACTGTTTCGACTTGCCATAGGTCTTATCAGTTGCACTGGCCAGCTGACAATCGATTCACGAAGAGTACCTCCATATATTAAACAAGCCGAAGCCCTGAGGGGACAGAAGGACGATCTATCCTTCATAGCCATCTAGTGGCTCAAGTGCAAAGGTATATAGGTAGATTCATCAATCATACCTTACGAGTGAGTCGTGCAAATAGACCCCTACGTCTATATGCTTACAGAAAAGACAGTATGTCAGAATTTTGTAGACTATCGCATCACCTGTAATTCTCAAAGTGGTTTAATGTTCCACTAACAGAAGGTGATAAACCGAAAATCTCAAGACTAAGAGATTCTAGGGAAATTTCGCGAATCGATTGTCAGCTGATGCAAGACAGACTGTTTCGACTTGCCATAAGTCTCAGCAGTTGCACTGGCCAGCTGACAATCGATTCACGAAGGGTACCTCCATATATCAAACAAGTCGAAGCCCTGAGGGGGCAAAAGGACGATCTAGTCTTTATAGTCATCTAGTGGCTCAAGTGCAAAGGTGTATAGGTAGATTCATCAATCATACCTTGCGAGTGAGTCGTGCAAATAGACCCCTACGTCTATATGCTCACCGAAAAGACACCATGTCAGATTATTCTATTTATAAAAAAGTACCTCAAGTCACAAGTCAGTAAACACCTTGGTGGAATGCATCACCGACAGAAAGAAGAAATGCCAAGAAATTAAGAAATTGACCAATCTTGAACACTTTCCTTCTATTCTTTTTACTCACACCAAACAGTAAGTCACATAAATATGTTTATATTCTATTATTCAATCAAAGATAAGAAATACAATAGATTTCAATGTATTACAGGCTGAAGGACTTCGGTCGTAGGCCAATTGGGTAACCAATAAAGCACGTTTAAGAACAGGTGTACAATAATGAATCCCTCAGTAGTATGAAATAAACTGGTCAACATTTATAACGTCGTGGTCCGAAATATAGCCTTAATTGAAAGTAGAATAACTCACGAATTTCCTTACCAATTTGAAATCGGTTTTCGCCGATGATTATCCTGATCTCTGGACAGTTTGTTGTGGCAATATAGAACTTCTGTGATTCCAGATAACATTGCTACAGGGTGATAATTGAATGGGTGTGAAAATGCATCGTGGTCATCACCTTACCGTTTGAACAGATAATTTTTCAAATTCATTTTCTTACCTGTATCCTCTTGATTGATGCTTTCTCTCGAAACATTTTCGGGAATTTCAAATTCAAAACTTTGATAATTGTGTTATGAATATTCATTTAAAATGATGCATTTTTTCGATGATTAATTGAATGAAATTGGAAGTTGGAAGTCTTTTTCGAAGAATGAACGTTGTATGCATAGTCGTCGGTTATGTGATTGTGTTCGAACACAGAAAATTCTGAAGAAGTCTATAGAAAGTGATAGAAGAAATACTGAATAATAGAATGAAGAATAACGTAGTATTGGGGTGTTTCCTCGTCATGAGGATGTCTGGTGTCTGACCTCGAAATGGTTTTGTAATTTCTCGGATCGAAAGTCAAATAATGAAGGTACGCATTTTTAATCAAAATGATGCATTTTTATTAAGATCAATTATAAAATTCAAAAAATTACAATCGTTGTTCCAGAAGAATGAAATTTATATTTATTCCTGACGATGAATATACAATAAACGATAAAATATGTCCAGATTGTCCCGGGATGAAGAATAATATGTTTAAACGTGATGAAAATCGCTTTGTTCCGAAATAGAAATATAGTGTCGGTCATCAGGGTGGTTCAAGGTTCAAGAAGAATTATGATCACCCTGTATATGTTCCAATTGAATGAAAGTCGATTTAACCGAGTATGTATAGTTTCGACACAAAATATCCTTTAAAGCTGAAAAATCTCGATTTTGGATACCCTATATTTCTGTAATCATTTCCGCAAGACCCCAAGTGTGATATATTTATGAAATCAGCTATTCATGAATAATTTTAAAATGCATTGAAATACAGGGTATTCCATTTGAAATATCGAATCTGTTACTACTTTCTAATATAAATAGCAACAGTGCATTATCGAAGATAATTTAGTTGGGTATCCAAATGCTCTGCATCGAATTTTCAAAATGATCTGGTGTCTGGTTCACCAGAATTGTCTCATGTGCCACCCACCGTGAATCAACCTGTATACAAAATAATAATGATGCTGACAGGTCGTTTCTGAGGTTGATCATTCATTCTACTTTGAATTTCTGTCGAAATGTTCAAGGTTGAAATGATATTCTAATTTCTCCAAGAAATTGATGACTCAAGTGGTTGTCTGGTCGTACACATGATTTACACCATACTGAAATGTATTTTGTTTACATTTTTGTTGGAGATTTGAGGTTAGACCATACTGAATACTGACAGCTTTTTTCTTGTTCCTATTTACGTGTAGGTAGGTAGGTGCAAAGAAAATAAAAATTTATTATAGAAAATAACACACAACTAAAGTATAAAGACAACTTGCTTTGAAAAAGAAGCGACGTTGTGTTGAGGAAGCTCGAAAATTATCTGACGACAGTTGTCAAAGTATATAGAAGTATGTTGATTGAAAGCAAAGTATGCATATTTATCGGTTATTGGGAAAGCAAGGTAGCCTTTTATCACTACAAATGCCTGGTGATTGGTGGGTTTTAGGAAATGGAAGAAATTTCCAAAACCATACTTCATCTAGTAGGAATGCGCCTGATATCACTCCAATTTCTGTCATGTAAAGTTTGATTGCTTGTTCACGCGTGGATTAGCAAGATGAGCCGTTTAAGGATTATTTCGTCTGAAGAAACCACAGAAAATATATAAAAATCAATTCCGCATACTACATGAAACCCGATATCATCAATAAAGGTAATTATTATTGTTGTTCATTTGTATATTGTCGTTGATTTATCTTGCCAAAAAACACTCGAACTTTTTTTTTTAATTGAATACATTTGATTACCAACTTAAAAATCTTCCATCAGTATTTTCTCTGGAGAAAAACTGATACTAAAAAAAGTTGCTCGACCTATGGCCTATGGTCTCGCAATTGTTTCCTCGTGAAATTACTGATTGGCAAATGTTTTTCATTAGGAAAAGAAATGTATCGAAAAAAAAAAGCTATTGTGTTTTTACTTTGACAAATATTCCCAAATATCACTAGATCAAGGTAGTACGTCACGGTCAGCTTCAATAATAAGTCCAAATTGCTGTATTTTGGGAAACAAAAAAAATTGAATAGCCATTTTAGACATGGGAAGCCTAATACTTACTATTTGGATAATACGTCCATGATAATTCGTTCGAGGGAAACTTCCTCATTTTTTCCGTCTTATTTCCAGGTAACAAAATTCTCATCGAAATGTCAAATTAACCTCGACAAGAAATGATCGTGTCAGTAGAAAGAAAAAACTCACCTCTCCGCGCTCAACGCCATCATGTCCTGCTCCCCCACCGACATGGGCGTCGAGGTCTCTCGCTTGGGCGCCTCCCCGGGCAACTCGTGGATGGGCACATCGAACTCGCTCCCGATGCCCGTCGCATAGGCGGAGAACGCCTTCGAGGCCGGCCATTCTTTGGTCTCCACCGCGTAGATGATGTGCTGAGAAATACATAGCGTCGCAGATTAATAAACCCTCACACTAAATAACGATAGATAAGACCGCGGTTCATTCTTAAACTATTAGAAAGTGTACGCCAACACTACTGAAAGCCAAACATAGATAAATGAATGAAATCGCGAAAGGTGGGTATAACTCTTCTGCTTCAAATCGTGTGACCAAATGCCTACTTCTGAACAAAAATAACAGGCATTCTTGAATGTATAGAGCTGGCACTGTTCGAATTCTACTTTTCCTGTAATGGCCCCTAAATGACTCATTGTATTTAGGGGGCCAGGTAGCCGTGCGGACAGAGTGTCTATATTCTAATTCGCATTCGCTTGCCGGTCGTGAGTTCGATTCCTATCGACTGCAGAAATTATTCTGATGGCCCAAGAAAGTGTTTGGGATCACACGTTAAAAGGTAAGGCCCCCGTCATTCCTTGCTCGCACAAGACTTCTGAAGACTTCTGAGGGTTGCTCGTAAGGGGGCAACCGAATGACGGATAGAACAATTTTAGAAGAAATTTTAGAACTTCAAATTTAACATAATTCTCAATGCCCGTTTCTGAAGCAAGAACACATTTTCAATGTCTCGAATATTACCAAAGCATATCAAACAATATCGTATTCTTGATTCAAAATTTGAGTGATACACAATTTTCAGTGTTTGAAAGTTTGCATATTTTTTAATTACCCTGAGTGAATAACAGATTTGACTCAGTTTCTTACAGAGTTGCTCTGCTATACAAAGTTTCTCGGATTGATAAACCCTCAGGCAAAATAAGCATTCTTTCACCATTGAAGAGGATTTGCCTACAATTCTACTGAACGACAAACACGGATCAATGAACGAAATCGCGAATAGTGGGGATAACATTACGATGGCCTTCCGAAGCAGGCTACTCTTCCATCTCCACCGCGTAGATGATGTGCTAAGAGATACACGGCGTCACAGATTATTAAAACCTCAGACTATCGTTGCCTTCTATATGTTCCATTCTGGTAAGGGTGCTGGGGACAGAATGAAGTTTACAAATAAAACGAGAACCTTCATAACCTTGCACGAGAGGATTGACTTATTATATATGATAAAGATTAGATTTATATATTGGGACTCAATCATAATATCAATTAAAAACCCAGAAAATGAATCAATACACTTTTGGAGCAGTGATTATGGTGATTGGAGAAAGTTCTCCGAGATCGAGGAAATGAAAATATTATTTATTTATTTATTGAAAATGTTACTTCCAGTCAGAATCAAGTCCTGGTATAAGGAAGTATAGTTAACAATAATACCTAAAACTATACAATTATAATAAACTAATGAATAATAAAATATTTGAAAACATTAATTATTAAATTTTGACAAATCATTTCATATTGGTGAGCAAAAATCAATTTGAATATGAATCAAAAGTTAAAAAAAAAAGTCATCTATTTCGTTCAGAAATGATAAATTTTTTAGGAAGCTATTTGAATTTTATTGTATTTCTGCAATTTTTTATATTTCTGGTAATTTGTTATATTCCAAGAAAGCAGCGTGGGTGAATCTTTTTTGGCCTATAGAAGTATTAGCGATATCAAGATGAAATAAACCATGTTGTCTAGTTTGATAATTATGAATTTCATTGTTTCATGTTAAAATAAAATTAGATTTCAATCTTTTATTTATGATATTGTATGTAATTTTCAGTCTTTCGATTTTGAACATTTCTTCTAATGAGAACGATTCAGTTATTTTATATAATTGATTTGTTGGTGTATCATATGGTAAACGATACAGTACTTTCAATGTCTTTTTATATAATGCAGATATTTTATTAAAATTGTTTTTTGAACAGTATCCCCAAACATTTATCAAATATAAAACCTGTCTTACTTGAAAGAATCATAAACTTGTGAACCCCACGATAAAAATGTCTTCTTCTTTCATTTCTCGTCACGACACATCAAAGTGATTCCGGTGGCGAAATCCGATAAATAAAACCCAACTTATATAACAATCGATAGATATCGCGATTTGTTCATGTATCATTAAAAAGAATACGGTAACAATCCTAAACGCCAAGCATGGATAAACAAATGAAATCGGTAATGGTGGGGATAACTCTGCGAAATCATTACCAGAGAATCAATATTCTTTAGATATATTTCATATATTTGATAAATCTAGATTTCATCAATGTGTGATACTAGACGTGCTATCACCGCTCATGAGAGGTATTGCATCTGATTGTGCCTCTGGTCACCACAGTGAAACACAACCGCTATTCTCCATAACTTTACTATCATGTTGCCAGATGCCATCCTTTCTCAAAACAGTTGGTAACTATTCGCTAAACAATCTATATAGCATGGAACAAAAGTGGTTCATTTGATCACGCGAGCAGTTCAACCAATTAGTTGACCTTTTAATTTTGTATATGATTTAAAAATGATTATCTGATTATCTAATTTTTGTTTTTTTAGTTGCTCTTTCATAATTTTCCCTGCTATAAACATATATGTTTCTTGGGAATAATAAAAGATGATAATATAACTTAATTTTGAAATATTAAAGTAACTTATGAACGGTTCACTTTAGTCCCTATAGGAATCAAATAGGTCACTAAATAAAGGGGACGGAGTGTCTCATCTGTAAGGTTTGTTAATCTGTGAGTTCTTGAAGCAGACTTGCATAAAATAATTTCGAGTCATCCTTACCTGCAGTCTGACCTGGATCGCGTACTCCTTGGGCCACTTGACGGCCGTGTTGAAAAGCTGTGCTACCGTCGTCTCGCTGAAGTCTAGCGCGCCCCCTGTCTGCTTGTCACGCAGCACGAAAGTGTCGACCTGCGAGAGCCGGGAGAGCGGCTGGATAACCTAGAACATATCATAAATGAGGAGTAGAAAAATTGAGAAATGGCTTTACTGAAATCTTCTTTCTGTTAATACTAGTAAGACTCAATATGTGCGTTTTATTGGCAAGATCCTTCCGCCGGGATATCGTATTAATAAACGAAATTCTGGAACTGGTTCCAACTTTTCATTCCGTCTTCTCATAGGGAATGACAGAAAGATGATTGTGGCGGTATTTCAGATACTCTGACCTCAAAATCTGACTTTTAATTGCCTAAAAGTTATCTCGCCGCAGGAAATATTTTAGAATTGTTCGCAATTCTACCCAGAATACTTTCAAACACTCCTGGTCTCATCCTAAAAGGGACTTCTGAATGTTGATAATTTTGAATTTTTGGTATGATATTGCTATAAAACCTAAAAGTATTCACAAAAATCAAGTCAATTATTCCTGTAGAAAACATCAAAAGACTCATACGAGTATGAAATCCTTTAAAGTCTCAAGGGGTAAAGCGACAACAACATCCATTATAAATAATAATTATGTACGGATGAACAGCAAGATCCCGGAATTATATTATTATTATATGACCCTAAAAAGTCACAAGTCTACTGTCACCAGTTGGAAACCAAAAAATCGCACCTGGTATATACTCACCGGCAAAAAACCGGCCAGCAAGAGAATCAGCATATTGATCGCTCTAAAATTTGTTTTATATCTTGTACGATCTTAGTTAAATTTTGACCGTCACAGGGCGACCATTTCAACAAATTTTATTGGTGGCCGATTTTTTTGCCGTTTTATGTGATGTATTTGTATCACATGAAACATTGAAGACAAATGTAATGCAATAACTGAAATAAATAAATGAAATAATAACCTCCAAGTCGGGGAACATTGCCTTCAGCTCAGCCGCCTGCTTCGAGCACAAGTCCGACTCAGACTCGATCATCTTCTTCAGCATTTCGTCTTTTGGCTTGGAAAGGTCCTCCGATTCCTGGTCTTTGTCAGCGACCGCCTCGGCTTCTTGCTTAGCTTCCTCCTCGGCTTTTTCCTCCTCTTCTTCTTCTTCGGGCGCGTCCGCTTTTTTCTCGTCATCCTCGGGCTCCTTTTCTTCGTCTTTCGTTTCTTCTTGAGGCGCTTCTTGATCGGCCTTGACTATCGTGAGATTCACTTTGTTCTCGTCTTCGGGTTTTTTCTCTTCGGAGTTGTCTTTCTTGACGACTTTTTCTATTTTCAGGGTACCCTCGCCTTTTTCCAGCTTCACGAGGATCTCGTCTTTGTCGAATTTAAGGATGTCTTCGTGGCTTTCTAGTTTGATTCCTTCTCTGTTTTCTAGGGTTTCGGAACGGACTTTCTTCCTGAGAACCTCGTGGAAAGATAAGTCTGGATCGTTAAGGAGAAAGTAGTCTGTCCGTCCAAGACCGTGTCTAAATACATGAAGAATACAAGTTATTCATAATTAGAAAAAAATTCACAGTTATATTCAGACTAGGCTGATAGTGTATTTATGACTGACCTCTCATGCTGCAATTGATATTTCATTCCATTTCATGTTAGAGATGAAAATGTCAAGTATTGAGGCCAGAATGATATACAGAGTGACCCTTTTCAAAGCGGACCATCATCAATTTTTTTTTGCGCAAAGAATTCTTGGATTTTGAATTCAGTAAATGAATATGTTTTTATATTATTATTCGAAACATATCGCCCATGGCCATAGGCTTTTTCAATCTCTATCAATCCTTAATACATAAATTTACTGTTCTGGAAAATAATGGAGCAGATAGAATCTCGTGCTAGGTGCATTTCATAACTTTTGAACTGTTAGTAGACAATAATTGTTAGGTGCGTACCTCAATCAGAGCTATTTCTTAGTTAATTTTCTGTTCATATTTTCGTTTTTGTTCATTATAACTTGTTTTTGAACGAAATGAATTCATATGAGTAGAGTCCAAGATGTGTTCCTTTCGTTCCTACAAAATCAGTTAGAAATATTGAACACTCTTTGAATGATAGACGGTAAAACTTGAAGAAATTGTAGATGCCAAAACTTCATTATTTCAAAGAGAACACCATGGTTTTTTTACGTTAACGTTTTCGACATACATCGATTTTTTAGCGAATAATTGTTAATTTATTGAAACATTGTCATAACAATTTTTCTTTTTTAATATGGTGCTTTATCCGTCTTTTAGCGATCTTCAGAAAAACTGGAAACAGTTCTTCCCAACATTGTTTAAGTGGTTCTGGAGAATAATTTCAAGAAATACAAGGGTTTTGAAAAACATCATTATAATTTCAAATTAAGGAGTAAATGTAGACCATAGTGTAATGGTTCCACTTCACACCCTGTGTAAGTATCGTTCTGCGGGTTCTAGCTTTCTTTAAAAATGAAGAAATATCATATCTGATATCAAAAACCACATGAAAATCGGTAAATTTCTTCAAACAGGTGTTCGAAAAAGAGTGAAATTATGAGTGGTCCATTTGAAATGTTGAGAACTGTATATTTTTGTTTGCATATCGCTTCTTCGAAGTTGAGAACCAACGCCCAGAAGTCGAAACTTGTGCGGGGTTAGGAGGAACGGGACCTACAGCTTATAATGGACTTCGAACCACTTCTAGGGCGCCGAAGTATTGCCAGCATTACAACCAAGAATCACACATTTGAAATAATGCTCAGCCGATATTGGGATAGAACATTGAAATTTCAATTGATGACAGACCCATGCGATTATTCCACTTACTTGGCGACTCCCAACAGCAAATCCTTGTCATGTTTGCCGGCCATCCACCAATCAGGCATATCCGCCGACGTCACGCACACCCGCAACCGCTCGTCCAACTTGGGGTGCGTCAAAATCTCCTCCCTTATCCTCGACAGCAATTCCAACCTGTATCAATACCATACAAATGATTATTATAATAATAATTACTGGTTCACTGGTTGGAATTAGTAAGGTAAGAGTCCGGGCACAGCTGAACTTCCGATCTTTTCTATATTTTCTATATTACAATGGTTTGAGTGAATAAAAGAGTGACAGATATTCTGCTTTTTGTCTTTTCAATTTCCCTAATATCGCCTGACTTCCAGATACTATTTTAGAGGTAAAATATTCTGTCAAATCAATCATAGCCGTAGATGGAAAATAGAAATGGGGAATGAACATTTCAATTTATAGCGATTACGGCACGACGTATTACTACAAATTGAAGTGGGTGTTCATACCTTATTTCTATTCTCCATCTACGGCTATGATTGATTTGACAGGAATTACGGCCTCTAAAATCGTATATGACAATCAGGTGCTACTAGGGAAATTGAAAAGATAAAGAATAGAATATATGTCCCACTATTTTATCCACTCAAACCATTGTAATATCGAAAATAGAAATCGACAAAAGTTCAGCTGTGTCCGAACTCTTATCTACTAATACCATCCAGTGACTCTAATATACCCTAAAGTCAGTGGATGGTATTAGTAGTAATAATTATTAGGACACATCTGCACTTCTGTCCCTTTTTATTTTCTATATTACAAAATGGGTTGAGTGAATAAAAGAATAAGACATATATTCTGCTCTTTGTCTTTTCAATTTCCCTAGTAGCGCCTGATTGTCAGATACGATTTCAGAGGTTAGATTTTTTGTCAAATCAAACATAGCCGTAGATGGTAAATAGAAATAAGGAATAAACATATGCACCACTTCAATTTATAGCGGTATACGGCACTTTTTGCAGAACAACAGTTACAAAAATCAGAAGAATGCATGTATATAACAACATGTTCACATATGACAAAATAGACACATACAGGGTGTTTCATAAGGAGCCTCACATAGCCGAATGGTTAATAGGGGAAATCAAGACGAGTTGATGTATATATATGAAAACATTTTTTGACCCTCCATAACGAAGATACAGGGTATTATGTGAAATTGCTATATAACTTTGATGGTCAATATTACAGAAATGATTCGTCGTAATCTGCTGAAATTTGGCAGCAACGTACCTCTACTGAAACTATTCAAGATAACATATTATGAAAAAAACATCCAGGTCCGGACTTGGTAAAATTTTATATTTCATTGTTATGTCAAAAAAGTTCACTTTGTGACCACTTTTCTCAAAAAATTCCATCAGATTCAGAAATATCAGACAAAGTGCTATAAGAACTGCTCTCCAATTTACACGGCACACTCTGACCGGTTCAACAAAAAAATATGGATCAAAAACGTTCGAATGAATTTTCAATTTCGACCTTGCTGATAACTCTTAACTTTTAACTGGATTCGTGTAAATTGATTTTTTGTACATTTTTATTGCATAGAAACTGACAGAAGAGATAAGTACTGATTCTTTAATGATTTGACATGTTAGTTTTTGATCGAACTTCTAGATAGATATGATTACTCGTGACTCTATTTTATAAATTTATTATAAAGTGGGCCCTGTTTTCATTTTATGTAACATGACGTTTGTTGATAGGTAAACACTGGTAATCGAAATATTCTTACACTCTAGGTGCCACTTCATATTCCAAATGCTGAACAAGACGAAAATGTTTAATACCATAGAATGTTCTCAGACCCAAAAATACGTTGCAGTAAAACCTTCACGATGATGAACATTAGGAATTTTGAATAAATAGCAAATGCATATCCTTATGTAACTTGCAGAAGTGTATCAATAACAAAAAATGGAGCTAAGTTTATGCTTGATGGCATAACTAATTTGATAAATCACCATAATATGGGCACATGAATCCTCATGTCGTAATTTCATCAGATGTTACCTACCTAGTACTAGCCTAGTACCTAACTATCAGTTCGGATTGTCAACAAACGTCACGTCTCGTCACACAAATGAGAAACCGGAACTACTCGATATCTCACTTCAAGCGACACCCATAAAACAAAGTCAGGAATGATAATATCTATCTGGAATTCTGATAAAAAAATATCGTGTTCTTCTTCTCGTCTATTCTTTTGTCAATTACTTTTCAACAAAAATGTAGGAAAAATCAAATCACATAATGCCAGTTGAAAGTTGACAGTTATCAGCCAGGTCGAAAATTAAAATTCATTCGAACGATTTTGTTCCATATTATTTTATTGAACCGGACAAAGTGTGCCGTGTAAATTGAAGAGCAGTTCTCATAGAATTTTGTCTGATCTTTCTGATTCTGATGGAATTTTTCGAGAAAAGTGGTCACAAAGTGAACTTTTTTGACATAACAATAAAACATAAAATTTTCCCAAGTCCGGACCTGGATATTTTTTTTCATAATATGTCATCTTGAATAGTTTCAGTAGTGATACGTCGCTGCCAAATTTCAGTAGATTACGACGAATCATTTCTTTACTATCGACGATCAAAGTTATATAGCAATTTCACATAATACCCTGTATCTTCGTTATGGAGGGTCAAAAAATTTTTTCATATATAAACATCAACTCGTCTTGATTTCCCTATCAACCATTCGGCTATGTGAGTCTGCTCATGAAACACCCTGTATATGGATATACTTATAGCTGAATTGTTCATTATTGAAAACGTTATTCAATGATATATCATGTTGCAATTTTTTCGTTATCAAATTATCAATTTCAATACGTAGTTTTGCAATCGATGCCTCTTTCTCCATGATCATTTTGTTTTGCATTTCATGTGATGATTATAACGGATTGTTAATCTGTTTCGTAAATGGATGTAACAGCAGATTCTCTCAAACGAATATTGAAATCTCCTGTTTGAAAATGGACCTTTGAATTTAAAAAATGTACAAATTTTCATTGTCTTCAAATTAATTTTTTATCCAGGCCGTTTCATACATTCCTTCCATAAGAGAATAGTTGATATTTCCTTTGGAAAATTGAATAAATGAAATCCATTCTCTTCAGAATTTCCACAATTCATTACACAGCAGGACCTTTTCATTTATGATTTCTTCTCAAAAGTTTATGAAATTATATTTCAATTCTGACGTCCATATTGTCAAATTCAAACAATTATAATGAAAAAGCGCGGGACGACGATAGTGCTCTTGTCACAATGCAAGGTGTGTAACTCAATAAATCGAAACATTCAAGAACACTAACAGTTGTTGTCATTTCTGTGTCCGAACTCCTATCTAATAGCATCCAGTGACTCTAATGATAATGAATGCATAGCCAAGTCGAGATGTCAATCTGGGCGTTCCCCAGGCCTCCGTATCGAGACCAATTCTGTTTCATTTTTATACAGAGTTGTTTCCGAAATCGGAGCAATAAATAAAATGGGGTGTTGGATTACCCAAAAAATGGTAAAAAAAATGTTGACAGCTATCGAAAATGGTCAAATTGAGGATGGAACCGGAACAAAAAATGTCTGGGAACAATTCGAGTCTGCCTCCATAGAGAATCAACATTAAACTGTTTGGTATTTTGGGTTTACAATGTTCGGAAACATCGAGACTCCCTACCTAATTCTGAAAGGGTAGTTGGGGCTCGATTTGGGAGAAATACTCGCAAAACTATCATCTAACGTAAAAAAGTACTTGACCCCATTCGTAATCGGCCGTTAACCTCTCATGGAGAGTGATTCTCAAATGTTGCTGGGAAACTTGAAATTTCAATATAATCCAAAATATGTTTTCTCGACAAACATTTATTCTATCATTTCGTTTTACGTTTTCTATTACCTGTCTTTATTAGTGCTTCTATGTGGTATATTTTGAATATTATTGACTATTCCGATACAAGTACGGGTGATTGTTTATATTTTACTCAATAGCTATCTTACAGAATCGTTCAAATATGCAAAAATTAAGTATTTTTTATGGGCATTCATATATCACTAGAAAATGTTTTGAGGATATATAATTGATAAAAAAAATAAGTTCTTACTAGATAATTATGGATTCATAGGAAGTATTTTTTAATGAGAGATCTCATATCATTGATGAAACTAAAGATTTGATTCATTGTGAATATATACAGTGAATTATTCCAATTTTCTTGAATTTGAAGAAGGTACCTAGTTCCAATCTATGATATATTTTTGTTAAAGATGATGAATATCTTTATTCATAGTAGTATTGCTACTAAAAATAAACAAACAATAAACAAAAACAGCTGATAAACTGACATCTGTCAAGCTTCACAAGTAGACCGTGACGTCATAATAAAGTTAACCTAGTTTGTCTGATTAGGTTCGAGGAAAAATGAGTATATTTGAAATCAGAAGAAAGAGCTACATCACCTCGAAAAATAAAATACAGGGTGTTCTATTTAAAAAATGCAAGTTTATGTAAATTTACCAGGTTATGCTTTATTGCATTTTATATTACTTGATACTGAATGCCAATAAAAATTTCTGAATCTTTGCCTATTTGAACTTTTCCGTAAGACTATTCAATATTAACTGGGATAGCTATTGAGTAAAATATAAACAATCACCCTTACATACATCATGTTCAGTGGAGACTAATGATTATTATTATTATTATTATTATTAACCTCTCCAAGGTCCTCCTCGCCTTCTCTTCGCCGACGTGCTCGATCGTGCCGTCGTAGCTGCCATCTTCGATGTTCAGCCCAGTCTGCTTCTTGCACATCATCACGAAGTGCTTGTAGTACTCGGTCAGCTCCTCGTCGGTCTTCTTCTCGAGCTTGGCCAGCTGCTTGAATTTCGCCCAGTCGTAGGACTTCTTCTTCCTATAGTTTGGGTTGGGACAATTGATATTTTCAAGTGATAAATCAACTTCTCCGCAGAAATCGTCATTTGACGATGACGTGTCATTTTGATATCGAAAATAATAGGTGCATCATTCTTTATCACTTATAATGAGGACTAGCATTATTTTTTGTCTACTACATCGCGCCACTGAAACATGAGGTAAGAGTTGGTAGAACTGATAAATCTTCTACGTCGATGTGAGAATTTTTCGTGAAGTTGAAAGTAAAAAACATAAGTCTGCCTAAGTCCGGTAACTTGAGGATTTTTATTTGTTCAAATATTGTACAAATTTTTTTTCGGATATTTTCGATGCAACAAGCTGTAGCCTTCAGGACTATCCGGCAAAATTTTGGAATTTAACATTGTTTTTTTCTTGTTGAACCATGTTTCAAGATTGATTTTGAACCGTCTTCAAGCATGAAGTAGTAATAAATCTCATTCAAGAAAACATACCATTTTGTCAAAGCTGTCAAAATCAATGATTGTTTATACATACCATTTTTGAAATAATTATTGAATATTTGTAAGGAGTGTGAAAAAAGAAAATATTCTGACAAAACAAATCTAAAAAACATTCATAACCTCATACTTCGACGTTTCTCCATCCTATACTCGTTTCGGTGGTTCGAATTGTTCATTTAGAAACCTCTCAACTGCGAAAAAATTTTGCCACTATTTTTTGCAGTGACAAAACGGAACACATTTGAAACTGAGAAATTGAGCTACTATTGAACTATTTTTTACTACTTTGTGCAGCGAAAGTGGGTTGATAATTGTATTTTATATAACCAAACAATGTTGTGAAATTTATTAATACTAAATACTGCTTCCAGTTCCTTGTAACAAAATATATTTCCACCATTTTTAGTGGAATGAAGTAAGTCTAGAATAATAAATACTGTCTGTAGGTTAATCGAGGAGGTGGTATATTCATTTTACTTGATTTTTTGGAATTTTCTCTCCTCGTTTCTCTAAAATAAAAATATTCGTATTATTTCAATATATTTGTAGTGGGACAAATCAGGTGATTTGCTCCAAAATGTCAATGCGTTTAACAAATTTTTCTATCAGGGAGTCTAAAAGAAAAATCCAGTAGCTTGTCAATTTGTCTGAACAAATTTTTGAAGGAAAGAAATATAGATATATTGAAAAAATATCGAATCTTTACTCATCTTTGGACGTTTCGGGTCCGAATCTGCACCCGTTTTCAACATAAAAATGTAAAATATTTCTCTTTGGATCTCGTGCTGCTTATAGTTTGACAGTGATTTTAGTTTAAAATCAGAAAATCCCAAAAAATCAAGTGAAATGATCTAGAATAATAGTTTTGGAACTACCACCAGCTGCTTTATTATTATTATTTTGCGTAACTAAAGTCGGTATTTTGTATTTCATTTAGCGTTATCTTTATTTATAATTATTATTTTTTAATGATATTTCGGTGTGAATTTTCTTATCGAATACCACTATGGCTTCAATTGAAAGCATATTTTTTTCTCAAACATGAATATTTTGAAAATTCTCAACACGAATATTTAGGAAATTTAAATATTCAAAATATTTGTATTCTTGGAAAAACTTCCAATAATACTTGGTCTGGTGGTATTATAAGTGAAAATTTCCTTGAATTATTCATAAAGGCCAATTTATAAACTCCGCTGCCGTAGCTACAGTTACTGCCGAAGAATGACACAATGCTAAATACGTAGTACTGTTTATAAACTCCGCAGCTGAAGCAGTTGCCGCCGGAGATGGCTACGGCGGCGAATTTCACCTGCGGCAACCAATCACAAATGATTCCAATGACAATTGACACTACTGATAGATGAGCGTGATTGTTTTCGTTTCTTAATTATTATGTAATAAATGACATTCTTCTGCACTCGATGATTATAACAATAAAATGGAGATCTAAAATCTAAATATCGAATATTTAGCGAATGTTGAATGCAATAGCATTTCGATAATTTCTGTTCTCTATTTATTATTTGATTATTACGCATGCGTTGGCACAGCAGCGAAGAATTTATAAATTGACGAGTTCAGTAACAACTGCAGCTGGAACGGCAGCGTCAACTCAGGGCCTACTCTATCTCAAGCACACTCAATCGAGACGAAATGATCCCCAACGAATTCCCCAACTTTTGGTGAAAAAATGAATCCAATAGGATGAATCAATACCGAGTTCTGGCGTTGTAAAGAAATTCCATTTTATTGAAAATCAGGACGTTGTACTACAGAATACTATTTTTTGCAAATTTGGAATCGGAATAAGATAAAACCAACTCAGTATATCAAACTAGGATAATGTATCAATTGAATAGTGAAATGGTGGAGTTACCTACAATTAGTCCGAAAGAAATTAAATATAAAGAGCACGTAAAAAATGAGCCATTATACCTACTTACCCAAATTTCACTCTATCACGATTTCGCGGTAATTCCTTGGACTGGTGAAGGGCGATAAACGATATACTTTTTATTATATACTAATTTTATTTCTCAATGGCGTATGGTTCAGACGTACGAATATTGGTGTCTGAAAAATTCAAAACAACATTTCTACAATGTAAGTCACAACATAAAGTTTTGGAAAATTTTGCAGAAATTAAAATCAATTCCCTTCTCAATTGTTCCGAGATTCAATGTTGCAGTTGTGGGTCTTTTGATGAAATCATTCAGATTATTCTCTAAAACCATTTCGAATATTCTGTTGAACAATTATTGCAAAATCAAAAATAGTGGGATTAAGTCCAATAATGAAAAAATAAAAATCACTAAACTTTCAGGAAGAGATATATAGTCAAGATTTCAATTTTTAGTTTGTGATTTAGATGTATATATATGTTTTGTTATTAGTGCATTTCATTTTGTGATATCTATAAATTTGTTTTTAATTTTGTTATATTGATCACTCCAACAGTTTATTTTGTTTGGTTTTGTTTGTATGAGGATTCAACGTTCTTTTTTCCTTATTAATTCATATATCGTGGTTCTAGATTTTCTGTTATTCAGTTCGTTTTTTTTATTATTATATCTTTCATTGTTGAAATACCTATTTTTTTATTATTTTTGTTTGGTTGTGTTCATATGAACTCCACCTATTTTGTTCTTTTTAATTTTGATAGTTTGGAAATATATCCAAATCAATTTTTTTTTTATGAATTTAACGTTATTCTTGAAATATATACTCTTCAGCAGAAAATAATTAATATCGAATAGGCGTTTTTGTGTAATAACACACTCGAGTGATAGGATTTCTAACGTCATCAAATTGCGTCCTTATTATCTTTAGACATAAACGCTGCTAAAACCCTTCGAAATAAAGTGGATGTGTATTATACCGATTTGTAGGTAATTGAATGTCAACAAAAAAGTCAGTGACAGCATATATCCACAGTTGATAGGATTAGCATGGGAGGCGTCCGAACTTTTTGAACTATTCTGTAATGAACACCTGAATCATCGTTCTACTTGAACTGAAATATCGGTTTGTTATTGGCCCTTGGGAAGTTGAAAAAAAACTATGAGGAATCTTTTCATGATTGAATCATTTCTGTGAATTGAATATTGGAATTTTGGTAGCTGTTTAAAAAAGGACAATTCTGAATGGCGTCAATTGATTTTGATATGTGATATTTCTGAAACTAGAGATCGTAAATCATTGAAGGTTGATTCATCTTCTGGAAAATTCTGGTCTGTACATATTTGACCTCTTGATATTTTTTGCTATCTGTAACCATTTTCCCGAGGTACATCAATGAAACGGGAGAGACAATTTCCACTGCGTTGATTTTGTCCCTACTAGTGTGTCACGAAAGCGATGCTCCGGCCCGGTGAGATAGAGTAGGCCCTGGTCAACTGCGACTACAGCAGCGGAGTTTATAAATAGCACTTAAATTTTCTTATGTTTTGAACATTTCTGCAAATTTCTATAAAATTCATGAATGTCAAGGAATTCTTGAAATATCTGAAATTTGAATGAATTTCATATTGTGCAAGTGAAATTTTCCCAAACCTACCTGTAGTAGATGACGCCGTAGGAGGAGACGACCCGGAAGAAGTCGGCCTCTTCTCGCTTCGTCCAACGCTTCGAGATGGAGAGCGGCTTCTCGCGCTCCTTGTGCGGATCTCGCATCACCTGCTCCATGGCCTGCTTACCTTGCCGCTCCATCTTCTGAAAGGGTGAGTATCAATTTCGCGGATTTAGTGCAGGTTAGTACTCGAGCGGATGAGATGATGGTGGGTTAGTCGAAGCGATGATACATGTCGGCGTCGTTATATTCAAATTATCATTATTGGAGAGAAACTGATGATTTACCGTATTTAATCTAAGATAGAAAAGAACGCGTTTGATACTTCGGGGAATATCACTTGGGTAAAACGTGTCGTTCGAAATTTTTGCATTTCTCTAGAACTCCACTTGAACTGAATATTGGAAATAACTATTCTCATGTTTTGTGGAGGACAATGAAAGACGAAAAAAGCAGCATTGTTAGATATACAGGGTGTTAAGAAAATAAGACAAAATCTCAGTTCGGTAGAAAAAAATCAAAAACGGTGGCTAAAACCATGGCCCATTCGATTCAGTATATTCAGAAACGGCCTTCTTGATATCCATCATTTATATTAGACTATTAACTCGAGACATTTTCGAAAATTCACCTATAATTGGAATACAGGTTGAAAATTCTCAATTCAAACTTGTTTCCTGATATCGATGATTCTTGTCAACTAATTTCCAATATTTATTGCCCAAGTATGAGACACAGAGTATTGTTGTTCAATAAACTGAGTGTTTCAGAACTTATCTGACAAAGTTATAATACTTTATATCCACTAAAACTATTCGAAATGGGCTCTAATGGTGAAGTTTGAATTGAGAATTTTCATCCTGAATTTCAATAGGAGGGGAATTTTCGAAAACGTCTCGAGTTAATAGTCAAATATAAATGATGCATATCGAGAAGGTTGTTTCTGAATATACTGAATCGAATGGGCCATAGTTTTAGTCACCGCTGATTTTTTTTACTGAAATGAGATTTTGTCCTATTTTCTTATCATTCTGTATATTCCACAATGATTTTTTCGTCTTTCATTGTCCTCTACAAAACATGAGAATAGGTCTTCCCAATATTCAGCTCAAGTGGAGTCCTAGAGATAAAATTCGAGAAATGCTTTCGAAAAAAAATCTAATTTTTGTTTCAATGGCCAGTCAAGGAAAAATCACGAAAACGTCCCGAGATGAGGTCCCAGTGTATCATAATATGACCGACTTTTGATCAGAAAATATTTTCTCGAGTTCTGGCAGCATTGGAAATGTAGACCATAGTGTAATGGTTCACTTTACACCCTGTGTGAGTTTTGTACTGAGGACTTTATCAGAGTGTTCTAACTCTCTTTGAAGCCGTTGAAATATTACATCTGATATCGAAAACCGTATGAAGATCGGTCAATTTTTTCAAAAAATACAGGTCTTCGAAAAATAGTCAAATTATGAGTGGTCGTAGATGAACTATTCTTTAGTAGTTTTCCAAACTTGATCACTAATTGTTTTCCAGAAATTCATAAATTTCGACTGAATCTGAAGATAACAGACAGAATTTTGATTTTTCAAAATGAGAGAGCCGATGAAGTTGACTATTTTTTGATGAGTATCAATTTCGCGGGTTTAGTGCAGGTTAGTTCTCGAGCGGATGAGATAATGGTGGGTTAGTCGATGCGATGAAGTGTGATGGTATGGAGAATTTTGTGCTATCATCATTATTTGGAATATATAGAGTTGGATTTTCAAGTGGCTCAGTGATTTCCATAGATACAGACCGTCATATGTAAACGAAATGACATATGGCCCCTAAGCATGTAAAAACATTGTATGTCATCGAACGACACCTGTACCGATCTCTTACCTGAGGAAAATGATGGAAAAATAGTAATTTCCTGTGCGGTAATTCGCGCCAAAGTTCGCGATTTAATAACGAGATAGAAATTATGCCATCCGATACCAATTGGGGCTAACATTTTCAGTCTCACCAGTTGGCGCTACTAAAACGTTTGGTAAATTTCGAAGTCAGAAATCCCAAAATTTTGCCAGATACCTCTAAAGGCTGTGGTCTGTTTTATCAAAAATATTCTGGAAAAAAGATTTTAGAATATTTGAACGACTAGAATACCTTTAGTTATGAAAATACTTGAACAAACTTACGTTATTTCCATCTCAATGTGGAACTTAACGACCTATTCTTACTAGGAGATATCGTAGAAAGAGGCCAAATGACACAGAAAGAAGAAGTATATTTATTATTTCTACCAACTCTGACCTCATGTTTCGATAGCGCGATCTGGTGGACAATAAATAATGTTAGCCCTCATTGGATGGTAGATCTCAAAACTTTACCTGTGTCACCCCTTATCCGGAGTCAAATCCTCGGCATAGCGACTTTTCTGCTGCTATTATTCCGGACATACTTCCGTCACGTGATAACGACTTGAGAGATAATGCAAACAGTATGAGATGAAGTCCCCTTCGCCTTGCTGCGATTCAAACTGATCTCATTTGGAGGCAGAGCATCAACTTTTCCCCGTCGAAAGATATTATTCGATGAACCACATTATCCATCGGATATTATCATTGAACAAAAGCGGAATCTTCTCGGAAATATTGATGCTCTACCACAAACTTGAACCTTGGGTAAGTGTTTGGGATGTCTCTGTTATGTGGTTTTTGTAAGATCAGTTTGAATCGCGGCACGTTCTATTATTCGCGAAGGGGACATTATCTCCTTTTATTTGAGTTATCTTTCAACTCGTTATCACGTGATGAAGGTATGTCCGGAATAACGACAGCAAAGGGGTGGCACAAGTAGGGTTCTGAGATCTACCATTCAATTGGTATCGGATGGCATAATTCTTATCTCGTTATCAAATAGCGAAATTATCGCATATTACCGCACAGGAAAGTGCAATTTTTCGATCATTTTGCCCAGGATAGTTATTGGCACAGGTGCCGTTCGACGAAATATAATGTTTTCACATGCTTTTGGGATGTATGTCTTTTGTTTATCAGAAGACGGTCAACATTTACAGCCGTTTCTCCTACTAAAATGTTATACAATGAGCGAAAAACAATCGCTTTCTTGAAATACATCCTTCCGAAATGGAAGTAAATATCCGTGGTGCAATTGAGCTCTTTTCTACCTGGAACGAGAGAGAGGAAAGTTCTCCCCTCTTCCATCTTTCTCTTCAATGCTATCAACGTGGCCGCATTGAAATATAGAAAGGTCCGATAAATTTTTCCTTGTGTAACATCTAGTTGGCCCCACTGAACATTTTCGATGTTATCATAAATGTCATTGACTGATAACCTATTGAATTTCGAAATGAAATTCCAAATTATATCATACGCATTCTGACGTCATTTGGTAATATCGTTAAATTTGACACTTTGCTAAATTCGAAACTAATTCAGTGGCACAAACTAGATGTTAGACAAGAAGAGATTTATCGGACCTCTCGATATTTCAATGCGGCCACGTTGGTAGTAGCATCGAAGAGAAAGGTGGAAGAGGAGAGAACATTCGTCTCTCTCGTTCAAGGTAGAAAAAAGCTCAATTGAACATTTATTTTAGGAAATGAACATATGCAATTAATATCTCGAATCGTCATACAGGTTGTTTACGAATCGTTACATATAGGAGTACTAAGAAAGGATGGCATTTGGCATTATAGCCAGCTACGGAGAATAACGGTTGTTTCACTGTAGGAGGCGGAGACATTATGTAACGATTCGATACACGACCTGTACAGATTTCGGGAGGATATAGTTCAGTGTTCTAGATGACAGTGGCCAGAGAACTAGTTGTTTTTCACTCATTTAAAACGTCGAAACGTTGCAAAACTGTCAAATTACCAGTTATTGTAAAAATAAAACAATTTCGTTATTTTCAATGATAATGAGATGTTTGATATGATTATTCATGGTGAACTCATGAACGGAAAAAATGCCACCCATAACAATCATAATTTTAAATTTTACTAGCCACACATATAGAAAAAGGGTGGATAACGTCTAGCCTTACCTCGCGTGAAGAACACATCACACTACTCAAAACTTGAAAATCTAATATGATAAAATCCGATTACAAGTATTCATCTTGAAGAAATTGCACCTTACATATAATATGTACATGCCGTAGTCGAATTATAGAATCCATCATTTGATAGGAAGCTAAGACAATTCATGAATAGTATCCTTCCTCAGCATTGAAATATCAACGAGTGCTTTGGTATACAAACCTAATATCACATGTAATAGGGAAGGGTTACATAAGATTGGGAGATGTTTCGGAGTCATCGATGTAAGCCTTGCCCAGTAAGGTTAAATTAAGATTTAACTGAAGTTGTGAAAACAATTTAGAGTAATTCTTCCTACTTCAACTATATTACTCCACTTTGGGCAGCAATGGACAGGAAAGGAAATATGTACAATGTAGTGAATAACTCTCCACACACAGATTGAATGGACCGGATTTTAGCATTTCAACTTTCAAGCATTTTGACCACCTTTTGATGGGACATCAAATCAAAGCGACGTTCGAGAAACAATAGCTCAAATATCGAACAAATTACTTTCACAGGAAAACAGAAAATAAGTGAATTGCGAGTATTTATATTCTTCAACATACCTAACTATAATGCTTTCAAATATAATGAGTCTGTGTGTAAGATAATGAATATGCCCAGTATTATTTGATGTTAATTTTGTGTATTACAACTGACGATAATACTTGCTTGTTGAAGAATAAATACATTCACAGTTGAAATAGAAATTCGAGGTATTGTTTCCCGAACGTACAGCCATTCTACTCATGAGCCATGCTGAACAGACTTGGCAACACTGTCAACAATGAATGTGTTCAGTTTTCAATAGTGAATTCATGTATCATTTGTCTAAGAAATTGTTGGAAGTCAGTGAAGAGTGGATAATCTGATAGTTAGATTCCTTCAGAAAATACAGCAAATCAAAAAAGGTGAAATTCTGGATGGTCCGTTTGATTCCTGACAAATGTTTTGGTCAAAATAGTGGAAGAGTAAAAACAATCATTCATATCAATTTTCCAAAAATCGATCATTCGCCACGACCTTGACTGGTCGGACCACTCTTACAAGTTGAAAAGCAGTTGTCAAATTATTCAGCACCGCCTATTTGTAGAGTTGTTTATTGTAGATGCTTATAACTATGGTGTAACTAGTCATAAAAAAGTATCGTCAGAAGTTCTCGATGGAATTCGACAAAAGCGAATGTTTTAAACGCACGACATTAGGAATTCGTCTGATTTGTCTTTGCTACACATATGTATGTTGAAATAATGTTCATAATTTCATTTATAGAAACGAGAAGTAAAAAAAAACTACTAAAGCGAGTATAAGTATTGAGAAAATGTATAAAATATTCTTCGATAATAATTTCTACATGTTCAGTATTCACAATTTGATAGTTTTTCAGAGCTCTGAGGCACTGATAATAGGATGGAAACAAGAGAATATATTTGTTATATAAATTGATTCAAAATTCGCGCAATTTCTAAATACTCCACATTAACCTTATCTCCTAAGGCCTCGCGCATGCTCGTCAAAATTGAGAGATCGACTGAGTACTTGATACTTCACCAGCAATCCGCTATGTTAAAGCCGTAATAAGTCATAGATGACAAACCCAAAGTCCCCCACAACTTAAAATAAAATGATCAAAGATCATAGAAGGTAAAAGATTCGGGCTTATATAAGCCCATCATTAGCCAGATGAGTAGTACAAAGTACTAGAAAAACCGATATTGAAAAATAGTTGGAATTCAAATAAAGTATACAATAACAGAGCATACAAAGGCAAATGTTCCATGATCTGGAAAAGATTTGTAAAAGGAAGTTTAGGATTTCAACTGTCAAGTAGGAAGAAAGTGGAAGAAACGAGAAGATAAGGGAACACATGGACGGTTATATCTTGCCAAATCAATGGCCCCTTGATGCAAACTGAAGTATTTGTCATCTAACAGGGTACGGATCGATCATAGCTCCTTTCAATTTGAATATCTTTAGAAATCAGCTTTTACGATTCTATCCCCAATACCGTAATTTTGTCAAAGTTCGGTATCACTGAAAGTGAACACACCATAGTTATAACCATCTCAGTTGCGAACCTTACCTCGCGCAGAACGCTCAACGCATCCAACTGTCGTAACTGTACTCACCAGCAAATAGAGTGCCAGCTGCTGCAAGTCCCATCCTTGAAGTCCCAGCGCCGCGGCGTCCCTCGGGTCGAACTGGTGCGAGGCCTGCGCGAGCGCCGCCAGCGGCGACGCCAACGCCGACGCCTCCACGGCCGTCTAGACAACACAAGTGCATTCGTACTACTACCCAGCGTTGCCAATGCTCGCGATTCGTCACCAGATTCGGGAATTTTTTATGTCGGCTTGTTTGGACGTATTTTTGAGGAAAGGAACCGAGCGAGATCAAAATTGCTAATTATAATTCGCGGTAGCCAAGGTCATCATCTGACGTGGCGATGACATGAAAACTAAGGGAACACATTCCTAAGTCCTGGCTTAGATCGGAAGTTAGACATGTTTTCCAGTAGTTTTCATGTCATCTCAACGTCAGATGATGACCTTGCCTATCGCGAATGGTATTTGGGAATTTTTCACGTATCATGCGATTGTTTTTTTTTTTACGAAAATTTGTTTTGTTACTCACGTATTTTTGTGTAAAAACCCGAATTCGATTTTGAAAATGTGAACAAACCACTATTTTTCGAGATGTTCCACGAAAAAGTTATAAATTTCACCATTTTTTTGCCTGTCTTGGAGAAGCATTTACAGCAACTTCCTACTTTCATTTTGTCATTGGATACTTTATATACTCATAATGTACCTACTTCAATGACACATTTTATATAGGAAAATCAACAAGCAAGGAATCAGATTTTTTGGAGTTTTTCATATTCACTAAATCATTATACCAGCTGATGGCCACGATAATTTTAGATGTTAAATGAAGGTCAAATGTCAACAGATTTTACAAGATCATAAATTTAAGACAAGTTTCTTTTGAATGATGTTATACAGAGTATTTTGCACGATATTCTTTCTCTTTCAATCCTTTTTCCAGCTTAAAGGTTGAAACTACTTGTGTGATATGAAACAGAAAAAAATGTTTTTCATTTATCCGCGGTTAAAATGAATTCTTGAAACACATTTTTAGGCGATTTTCAGATCAATAATGTGCCTTGATGAAGGGCAAATAATTCTAAATGCGTATCCAAGACAGTCGAAAAAAGGTGAAATTTCGAACTTTTTCGTCAAATATCTCGATAAATAGTGGTTTATTCACACTTCCATAAATCAAATTCGTGTTTTTCAGACAAAGATACGAAGGAAAAAACATATTTCAAAAACAAAACCATCGCATGATAAGTGCACAATTACCTACTATTTTTTTTTCAACTATGACATGATACGCCATTTCGTTATCTGGCAAAACTGCCATAAAGAATAAATCAAAATATGACGTTAAAAACGTTTTTCATTCACGAAATTGTCCTAACGAATCCAAATCTTCTTCTTGATAATTATCAAACAATTATTATCGAATACGCAATAACATCGTTGCCACACACATTTCCATAATACATTATAATCGTATGTAATGATGGAATTAGTGAAATTATTCCAATGGCAGATTTCACATATATGAATTGAGGAACAAACATACATAATAAATATACATACAAAATGTATATAATATAATTAATGTATGATAAATGCTTCCCATGTTTTCAAACACAGGCGGTTGATCTTGATCAATCCGCAGAAATTTGTCATCATCGTTGTCTGCTGAATATGATGTTGGATCGGGACAAAATGTCATCATCTCCCCATCTTTTTATATGTCTATGGTTCATATTATCTCTACTTCTTAAAATGACCTTAGGAACCTATAGTTTTAGCCATCAATTGAATTACACCCTGTATGAATAACATGAAACTTGCAACTTCTCCCAAATCTGGTGATTCTAGCATAGCTAGTATGGTGATTAAAATTTGTTTTATTGGCAACACTGCTTCTACCTATCACACTACCCGAACAGCCGCGACGCTCATGCTCGTGTGCGTGCACGAGAGATGGGTACGGGGTGGGGGGTAGAGGCACCGACATAACCTACTGTCTAGGCCAACACTAGCCAGTGATGCCAAGCAGTGGGAATTTTCCCATATTATGGGAAAATTTGTTGAAAAAATATGGAAATGGGAAACAGGGGAGAAAACCAAACATAACTCATAATATGGAAAGTTTTGTACTTGGCTACCTACTGTTAGTTTGTTTGTAATCCAAGGTCTGTACCATCTTATGTTAGTGTTCTGAGTTTCTGTGTCGTGTGTTCAATTCACATGAAAATAGTCATAGACCAAGGATCATACGTCTGAGGTTATATTCCGAATTCAACTGATACTGTCAGTAGATCCACTGACTCTGCTGAAGATCTGGGTTCCGAAATATAAAATCAAAAATGCAGTGCTGTAATTCGCAACAAGTTTTCATAGTTTTCATCAGTAGTCAGCAGCAGTTGATCAGCTGGTGAAATTTGTCAGTCTGTACTTTCTCGTTTATCTGAACTAGATATTTAGCCTCCTGCTCGAAAGTGTGCTCCGCAAAGCCTTCAGTAGGACTCCGCTGAGTGTTGTTAAGTGAGTTCCTTAGTCATCTTAATCTCAATGATACAGAAATATTTCAAAATGAAACAACTGTTGAATTTGTGCGACTTTTACATATTACTTTCCTGAAGGACAGGAGAAAATAAACTCTTGGGCTAAAAGCTTTTGCAATTCGAATATGTGAAATAATTGCTATGAATCATTCTTAGAAATGACTTCGGACAGAAGCATGGTATCATTATTAAAAGCAATTTCACTCAATCATTTTTGGTGCAGTGTTTCTGATGCTGATCCACAACTTGCCAGAGAGGGTTCAACTCTTCTTCTGTCGTTCTCAACAACTTACTTTTATAAAATGGGATCTGCATCATCATATACAGCCACAAAAACCAAATATCGCAATAAACTGGATGCCAATAAACCAGACATTTGAATCAAACTTTCTCTTATCCAGCCTGTTGATGAATAAAGAACACAATGCCATGTCTCCCATTGAATGAACTCATTTCAATCGTTTGCTTATGTAACTGGTTTTGCTTTTAGGATTAAATTTGATCCTCATGCTATGCTTTTATATCTGAATTTTTTAAATATAGAATGAAATATACTGATTTCAAAATGCTAAAGATTCGATTACCTTCAACTTCAACTTATAATATTGATTGTACATTGAATTTAAATCATGATTCATCGTTTGAAAGAGGTTTGGACAGATTTCATCCCTCAATGGTCTTCTCCATAGACGATAACATAAATGTGGGACGCAAGGCGATCAATGGTTATGTATCAATTTTTTATATTAATTCCAAATCAGTAGAAAGTTGAATCATTGGCATACAACACAATTTATGAAATTCACGTGAAAATCTAGATCGCGGACATAATAGAAGGTCCTAGTATCGGGCACTGAAAAACTCTGTGTTTCAAAAAATAATTCTTCCAATTTGGCTTGTCAACGTTTTCATCAATCTTACTCACTGTTACTCGTGTTTCCAAACAAGTGACATAAGTCAAATCATAAATGATAATCTAGATTTTATTGAGCCTCACGCCAAATTGTTTCCACGTGATCAATTTGGATGAGACTTTCGGGTTTTCGGTATATATAAGCTCTAGCGGTCTAGACAGTAGGTTATGTCGGTGGGTAGAGGTCGTGATATGAATGATAATGGTGGAGGCGAGACGAACTTGAATGTCACAAGAGGGTAAGTTCATGACATCCTCAATTGTCGAAATCAACAAAGATGATAAATTTTGTAAATCAAAATCGACGCCATCTTTGATGATGAGTGAATTTATCCAGGAACCAATGAGAGCGAGGCGGGTGAATATCATACACGCTGCTAAATGAGCCTCGCGAATATGTTTCTCTATCACCAAGTAAAGTGGAATATAATTTGGAGTGTCAAAGGTGACCGCAGGGAAGAATGTTAATGGGCATGGGTAGTAGACTTCAATTAGAATTGTAAAGAAGTGCTTCCAGAGCGACAATAGATCCATATTTCAGTTTCACAAAACTATAGTGATTGAAATATACTGCTAGTGGTGAAAAAAAATCAATATACACCTTGGTAGTATAGATTAATATTGAAACTAGACCTTATTCGGCTGAAGCCTCGGGATACAATCTAGGCCTGGGTAATACTGATAATCTTTACTACCTTGATGTATAATAGTTATCTATACACCAAGGTAGTGAAGAATATCATCATGACCCAGGGACCAAGATATATCCGGAGGCTTCAGCCGAAATCCAAATGTTTTGTAGATGATTCCCAGATGATTTTTTTCTCATTCACTGTGAATTCTTCAGAAACTAATATTCATATGCCAGAAAACGCATATTGGAGCTTAACCTGCAATTATAAATATGAAAGCAATTCAATTGGTAAACGAATTGCTACGTTATACGTTTTCTTGAGAGAGAGAAGTATCATGGTTTTCAATAATTTTTGAAAAATCACAATCCTATAACAAAATAATGATTGGCGAAGTAAGCCAAATAAGATTAGAACTCTCAAATGACAAAAGAGTCACATGTCCTACAGCTTCATCTTTCACATCATCCATGTTTGTCTCGCCCGAGTTATGGTTGGTTCTAACCAATATAACAATGTAGATCTAGATGCCAAAATAACTACATTTAAATTGTTTACATTCAAGCATAAAGCACATGTACTTTCAAGAAATGAGAATCTAACATATCTCCCAATAGGATAACATTAACAATTAAGTAGACGAAATTTCATCTGAAATCTACAGGTCTCAACACATAAAAAGAACCACTCATTATTTCACCCTTGCTTGACACACTGTATTTTCTGGAGGAATAGAACGATTCCTCGTCATATTCAGCATCGAATTTTGTGTTACCACACACTATTGTCTGGTATTGAGAAAAATTTCAAATCAGTGACAGTTGAATACACTGATACTTGTTCTCGGGGCGATTTTAATATTTTTTGAATTCACGTTCATGTGCCAATTGGTTTCTGTCTCTATAATGGAGTGGTTTGTTCAAGAACTTTTTTTTTGTGTGCCGACATATTTGTTGATCGCCAGCTCAATCGTCGAAGTGCAGCTTGCCTTCCGTTCAAGGTGCAAAATCGCTCTCTGCGACCGAATTCCAGATCGAAATCGAATAGACAAGAACACTAATTAAAAAAAATAATTTGGACGTTCATCAAAATGAGAAAAGGCACAGATAATTTTTTGAATTTTGTATTCCTTCTAGATTCATCAAAGAAATGCTTTCGTTCGAACACAACCGAAAATCGTCAGCGGTGCTGACGTCACAGGTACAATCATCCTTCTTCTAGTTGTGTAAAACTGGCTCAGCCAATGCTTGGTGTTTTTGAGAACCCATAACAACTTTGCTGTCAACATTTAATATACTTGTATGCTTTTTTTAATACTTCTGTACTATGACGCGTCGACCGTCTATTTGTAGTTGATAAATCAGTGAAATAACAGCGTTGCCGTCTAAATCAATTCTCTTGCTTGTTTGGATATTTCTAACAATAATTGCTTTAATTTACCTGATTTCAACAATGTCATGGATGAACTGAGCAAGATAGACTGAAACTCAATAGTTTTGGTTTTTTAGTATGAACTGGATTCTGACATATTATGACAAATATTAAAATGATGTCATCAGAATTTGAGGTGCATTAAAATGACAAGTATGCGAAAATCGTTCAGTTAGATTGTATAAAACTCGGTATAAACGTATAATTGAGGATAAGATCGAATTTTGTCGCTGCTGACTGAACCTACAACACAACGTGTTAAAATTTACTAAATTTGCTATCATATCAGCAATAAATTTGAAGAATTGACAATGGGGGTACATCTTGTATTGTTGCATTTACTACATCAATGAATATCAATCATCTCCACAATTCAAAATCATGAATATTCCATTAAAATTTCCTAAGAGTTCGGACATAGAAATGAATGAATGAATTGCGGGAATTCTGAAGGGAATGGCGATTTCATTTTCCAAAGGAAATATCAACCACTTCTTATATAGAAGGAATGTATGAAACGGCCTGGAAGGAAAATTAATTTGGCGGCAAGCGAAAATTGTGAGGTAAGTAAATATATTAAAATTCACTTCTTATAATAGCAGAGTGGAATGAAATTATACTTCAGGACCATTTTCAAACAGAAGATTTATAAGATGCGTTGTTCCATTGATTGACAAAACAGACTGTTCAAATAAATGAGACGGAATGCAAAACAAAATTATCGTATGGAGAAAAAGGAATTGATTGTAAAACTACGCAATGAAATTGAAATATTTGAGAACGAAACTGAAGAAATCAAGTAAATTGCAACGTGATATATCATTGAATGGCGTTTTCAATACCGACCAAATTCAACATGTATCAGTAAACAGGGAATGCAGCAAAAGGTAGAAAATCAAAACAATCATCATGTTTTACACTTTATCACTCGGGTGCAGTTTTACATACAATAAGGAACTAGCTATAAGTATATCCTTACGCTGTCTATTTTGTCATATCAAAATGTTGTAACATGATTACCTTTCATTCTTATTACTATTGTTCTGTGAAAACTGTATTGCATATATATTGAAGTGATTGATTTGATTGGAAATCTAACCTCTAAAAGCGTATCTGACACTCAGGCGCTACTAGGGAAATTGATGACAAAGAGCAGAATATATGTTTTATTCTTTTATTCGCTCAAACCATTGTGATATGGAAAATAGAAAAGGACAGAAGTTCAGCTGTGTCCGAACTCCATCCAGTGACTCTACTTGAAACAAAACATCTGGCAACACAGCAAAATTATGACGGCAGTACTGGATATAAGAGTTAGGCGCCAAGCGCTAGGTTTCAAAGTTCCATGAAACTGTAGAGTATTCAAATGGTGTTCTCAAAGTATTGCAGTATATTTAATAAAAAATTCAGGACACCGAAACACAGCATTCAATGTCGAAAACTGTTACTGAATCGTTCGATTCTTCAGATAATACTGGATGGTGAAAGAGTCTGAAGTTTCATGTGTCAAGATCTGTAATTCAGGTACTTTTCCGAATTAAAAAAAACTACCTTTTGTTTGCTCGCTGCCAATTTCTGCTCCTCCTTCCGATAGTTCCTCTGATAAGAAGTGATGACGCGCCGCAGCCTCGTGTTCAGGTCGGTGATGGTCGGCCAGCTCTTGTCTTCGGCCTCCTCCAGGCCACGCTCCTCCCCCTCCATCGGCTGCGTCTCCGAGGAGGCCGAAGGGCCCGGCGAGGGCTCTGCCGCCTCCGAGTTGCCCTCCGAGGCGTCCCTGTTCTTGCCCTTGACGCTGGACTCCTCGTTCGTGTCGTCGTCCTCGTTTTCGTCCTCGTTGCTGGGGTTCACAGAGAAAAAAGCGGGAGGTCAGGGAGAAGGTCATACGAATCACGCTACGGAAACTTATAGACCAGAAGGGTCCATAATAGTTTCCTATATTGAGGTTTTTATCTCACTGTGAAGTATGTACGTATTTTTTCTTTTTTTCGTAACATAAAATTTCACTTCAGAAAAAAATAAATAAAAGATGATCTTGGCTCCTCCACCATTCCTATGTCGTACTTTCTGAGAATCCACATTCTCACTATATCACACATAAAGTGCTCAAAGAAACAAGTGGACCACTGAAATATTTGACAATTTTCAAACTGCCATCTTTTTAAAAAATGAATGGATTTTCAATCGGTATGCAGTGTTTGGAAGATGCAATCTTTCTGTTCAAGATTCCTCGATCAAAACTCGTCAGGAGTTTTTCTGTCATTATACACCAGGCGTTCGAAAAAAGTATTACAAAAATGAGAGAATTCCAACGCTTCCGTATTCCAGGAAATTTTTTCAATTTTTCTATTATCATTTTTTTCGAACTTTCAAGCCAATATCTCGATACGGTTTTGTTATTTTCCATATTCCTGCTAGAGGATGTTAAAAATCGATAATTTTTCATTTTCAGAATTTTATCGCACCATTTCCGATTTTACAATTATGCAAGCCACATTCAAAGCATTTTGCCACTCTACAGTGTGTCCCACTTACCATGCTCACCATGGGTATCTTTTTAACGGTGAGAGATACGAGGTCGATTAAATGACACCAAATGTGGAGTTTGTCAAGGCCAACTATAATGTGAAGAAATATTTCGACAAAATCTATTCGATTTTGTTTTATACGCAAAAAACAGATTTTGATCATTTTCATGTCTCCTCCGTAACTTCTTTATTTATGAAAATATTCAAATAGGAATTTCACATTCTCATGGCAGTTTTTCAAAATGATTTCGAAAAAAATATGAAATTTATACCAACTCTTTGAGAATTTGAGATATCAGCACCAACTTTAGTTTTTCAAATGTAGGTCATAGCTCACTATGACTTAGTTACAAGTAACTTTTTTTTCTCTTACAGATGATGTGTTGATAACAACGGAGTTATCGTCATTTATACAAAAACAACAAATTATTTGGAAGCCGCCATCTTGAATTTATGGATTTTAACAAAAAATAATGATCTCCGACCTCAAAAACCCCTACTCACCAATTTTGAATGGAATCGGACCAAATCTTGTCCGCCATCTTGGAGCAGCCATTTTTTTATCAACACAAAACTATTACTGCGACACATCATCTGTGAGAGAAAAAGAAGTTACTTGTAACTAAGTCATAGTGAGCTATGACCTACATTTGAAAAACCAAAATTGGTGCTGTTATCTCAAATTCTAGAAGAGTTGGTATAAATTTCATATTTTTTTCGAAATCACTTCGAAAAACTGTCATGAGAATGTGAAATTCCTATTTGAATATTTTCACAAATAAAGAAGTTACGGAGGAAACATGAAAATGATCAAAATCTGTTTTTGCGTATAAAACAAAATCGAATAGATTTTATCAAAATATTTTTCACATTATAGTTGGCCTTAACAAACTCCACATTTGGTGTCATTTAACCGACCTCACCGTTAAAAAGATACCCATGGTGAGCATGGTAAGTGGGACACACTGTATACGATGGAACACATCCTAGATAATGGATTCATATTGCATTGAAATCATCGACAACTTCAACAAAAAAAAAAATTTTTGTGGAGAAATGTTCAGAATTTGGTGAAATCGTCTGTTCAGTTTGGTGCTGCCATAACCATAATATGCTATGCTAAACACAATTCCTTCATTTGGATCGATTACTCAACGCAATATGAATCCATTTTCTAGGATGTGTTCCATCGTATAGAGTGGCAAAATACGTTGAATGTGGCTTGCATAATTTCAAAATCGGAAAAGATGCGATAAAAACCAAAAAATGAAAAATTATCGATTTTGAACATCCTGCATGAGGAATATGGAAAATAACAAAACCGTTCCTCCTGTCAGAGAAAAACAATTGTGTATTATACACGGTTGAAATAGTAGATTTTAGCTCACGGTTTTTTGTTTGCTACGCATACACAACCTACTATTATCTCCCTTGTATAATAAATAACTCTTATTCACGAAATTTGGTGAAAACTTACCTCTTTATGTTCCAAATACACTGTAATTTTTTCGATATGAAATATTAATTTTTTCACCTTATTTTGACTCAATATCAAAAAGTCACCCTAATTTTCAATCGAAAATTCTCGCGTTCAAAATATGTGCTTTTTCAAAAAACTAAATGTTGTTTTTATAGAATACCAAAAATGAATAGTGGAAAATCTGGGGCTGTTAAAAAAGCTCTAATTTAGCCTGAGTGGGCAGTTTCATGGTTAGGTGAATATATCTAGCATATAAGCAGCACTATTGAATAGAATATCTAGTTCAAATGAAGGTGAAAGTGCTAACATAGCAAAACACGTGTCGACGCGTTCAAAAAATCGGTTTAGTTAGTGGTAAAACAGTGCGATAATTATGTTTATTTTTCTTGTTCGATCATTCGGTCTTTGCAATTCAAAGAAATTAGTGTACGACAATTTTGAAATTCTTGAAATGTTGAAAGAATAAATCAATATGGAAAGATGCGTTTCTCTGTTGAATATCAATTATTGCAAGTTATTACAAATCAACTATTGAAAAAATCACCTATCAAACCAAATTAAGTTTTCAGCTCTTGCTAAAAGAAAATTAATGCCAATAATTCATCTACTCATCCTTGAAAAATATTCCCTATCCAGTACATATCATCAAAGTGTCATGACAGCAACTGTAGTGTCGTTCTTAGACAGCTTCCAAATTGTACCACTAGAGGCAAGGGTGTAATCTTTAGAGTTGCCAATAGCGACATACTTGTCCTTGTTAAAATAAGTCGACTCCCACCTAAATATTATCTTACCTGAAAGAACCTGGTTAAAACTGTTCATGCAAAATGGAGAAGTGGAAAAAGCTTATTGTGGCAAATGAAACTGGAAATAATATTGTTCATAAGAGAAAAACTACACTGAAACATGATCTGGATAAGTTGCTGTGAAATAATTGAAGTTGTAGAAACTTTTAGTGTTGAAATCACAGAAACTTATCCATGAACACTGGTTAGTAAAGGATTAAAAAAAAACTTATCTGCATAAATTGAGGTCATGAAAACTTTTGTGTATGATGAAGCTAGAAACAATTTCATGTATTTCCTGTAGAATCAACATTTCAATATGCTCATTATAGGTAGCCGAAAGCCGAAAATGAAACCAGCAAAGCACAACTTCCAAAAGATATATACCAGAAAATGAAAATAGGGATGTGCTGATGATGAAGTTTTTAGAATGTGTCGCCAGTTAAACCTTAGAATACGTCCATAATTATTCAGATTCAAAGCCTCACTCAAAGCTCTGATTTTTGCGAAGCAAAGCTATCAATTATGCAACTTTTAGTCTTGAATCATTAACATAAGCCAGAATTTGTATCTTATTGTAACAGCCTTGAGCATACAATCATCTTCAAATTGGTTTACTGTCATTCAAAACATGATGTGACAAATACATGTCATACTCCACTTCTGTGGCATATGTTCTTCAGATTTATCAACAGGATTTTTAGAAAAACTCAATCCAAATAAACATATGTTGAGTTACTATATAAATGGCTAAAGCATATCACTTATTCATTCATACAAACTGCTTCAATGTCAGTTTGATGTTATTTAACTAGGATATTGGCAGAGACGAATCGTATCATTCTTAAATGTTGTTGTTATTGTTCTCTTTTTTAATTTCATCTAATGACTATTACTCAACTTTAACAAATACAGTACTATATGTTTTATTGAACGTTTCATTGAACTCTATCATCTTAATGAAGGGAGAAAAGTTCTGTATCCATCTCTTCCTACAATGCTATTAACGTTTTGGAAAAAAGAGGAGTTCGATTATATTTTTCTTTTTCAACTATAGCACAAAATACCAACCTTAAGCCATATGCAGAAAACAATTCATTTTGGACAATTTCACCAAGACCTAGCCCAAGACCATCACATATTGTTAGTCGGTTACGAGTTAATCAGCATGATTTCGAACTATGTTTTGTCCCATCACTGTTTTATGGTAATGATAGAAATATGAGATATATTGTGCGTTTGAACATGGTTCTTCGGCTGACGTCATGCGCGCGAGATACAAATTTAGGCTTCCCCCTGCCCAAACCATAGAATTATCATCCCAAGGAGACATTGACATCGACGGATTCTGGTTTAATTTAAGATACTATAACCCATTCTAACTAAGAAGACAGCGTTGACCTTGGCTTTGATTGGCTAATATTGGAGGCAATACTACACCCGACTAATATGATGACTTATGACCGGACGTTAAGGTGACAGTTTTCTTTATGGAAAGACGATCACATTATCACATTCCATTTATTGGTCGTATTTTCTCATGTTTCAATGAATTCTGAGAAGAAACTCGAACACAAAGTGAAAAGAATAATCAGAACTGCTATGACTTTTTCATTTCATAAATTTAAAGTTTTGCCTCTTGAAGTTTATAACACGTTTTGACAACAACTATCTAGCCAATAAAAGTTCTTGATATTTCAGATATCTATAGATTGTTAGTATTCAGAGTGGTAGTCGTTAAGGGTTATTGAGTAGTTGCTGTCGAGTCATCGAATTAACCGATTCGTATAATCGGTTATTTTCTTAACCTTTCATGTGTTATACCTTATTTACCCTGATGATTTCTTTTTTATATGACGATTATGTTTTGAACATGATTTTCACCTCCTCCCATTATCCCTTGAAATATCAGTATCTAATAAAATATATGATCAACCCTATTTGAGTCACTCTCAAGTATGATGATCTTATTCCTCAAGACTAGGATCGTGACAATATCACGTTTTTGCCAATTCGAGGTCAATATATCTTGTTGACAAAGAGGCCCAAGTGGTATTCCTTTTCATTCTCACGGAATCATTGTGACAAAACAATATAATATTGATTCATGAATGAGATGTGTCTCGTTGGGATAACAATAAATCTCTGGCCTACAAAGCTTCGACCTGAAATGACAAACCATAACTGGTAACGAAGGTATGCCTAACCTACGATCGTTGCAGAAGGAATAAAACGGTTTCATGATTCAACCTCAAATTATGCAAACCAGTTTACAGATCCCTAGCGATAATCTGGCTTAAATGTAATCAGGGGTAGACGAAGGAGTGAGAGAGTGATAGACACTTAGAGAGAGTCTAGTCGGACTACTTACAGTGCAGGCGTAGGGGGTTGCGCGATACTTGTCGCCGCCATCTGGATCTCGCGGTCTGAAGGCGGCCCGCAGCGGGCCAGGAAGCATAGCGTAGCATCGACACGCATCTCCGTATAATTTTCATAGCCGTGCTTCCAAGTGCCAATGAGCAGGGATCTGTCGCATTCCGCATCCCACCAAATGCAAGGTAATTGCTCCGTTACGGGAGGGTAAATCGGCAGGGCACTGTGGATTACGTCATGCCAATTGTCAATTTTGAAATTAGCTTCTGTTCGAATCCAAAAGGACTACCGACAGGCCGGCCGGCAGAGACGTCGATCGATCGCGACTGGCGTGACGTAGCGAAGTTTTTAGCAGATAACTTAAGCTCAAAGAGTTATGCTAAAAAGGAACACCACAGACACCTGAAGTTCCCAAAGTCAGAACGTCTCACTCCTGTCGGAGTTCGTATCCGAAGAGGAACTGTTACCGTTTAATATTCTTTCCTCAAACCCGGAGATCTGTACAGTCTGTATAATATTTCTTTGCGCATATGTCACAACTTCAAAAACCGAATCAAATTAATTCAAGGTCATATGTTCCAGTGAAGCAGTGCCGTGCTGTTTCAGAAATTGGGTTAAAATAAATAAATAATTTTCAGAAAATTTGTATTCACTACTCCTGGTAAGTTTGACTAAGAAACATTCGATAAAACAGGATTGGTATATATTTCAAGTTTCAACTCTTCAATTCGTCAATATATTGAAGGCAAAAACATGTATCAGAACTTTGTCATGTATATACGTATGGTTTGGTATATGATCCGATATACACACCTATTTAAGGCTTTTGTGAGGTATTCTGTGATCGTGGCAACGCTGAACACTGTTGAGTCGTTTTAGGTATTTGGTATATTACCATGCAGCATTCTCCACCAAACTTTCCCATCATAACCTTCTGGTTTACGAACCATTTTTGTACTTTGATCTTGCCATGATCTCATCTTATTCCTTTTCGCAAATTTCCAAGTTTCATCTAAGAAGACGATTTGTCTAGGGAAACTAGAATTGCGATTATAATAAAACTTTCTGAAAAACTCTGCTCTCATTAGAGATATGACCGTCTTCTCAACCAATAACCGTCTGTTGTCTTCTTTTTATATTTGAATCCTACATTTGTGAGAAGTTTGCTCAATGTGCCTATACTTGCATCAAGAATATGCTTAGTTCTGAGTTCTTCTTTCAAAATACTTAGTGATGTGTTTTTTTGTAAAATAGTCAGTTGAAGGTAGTCTAGAAGTATCAAATGAAATCACTTACTTTCTGCCTACATAGTATAGATCACATTGCGTACTTCCATTTTCAAATTATAATCCAGATCTACTGTCTTGGTTTTTTTTTGTCCTAGATTGCCCTGGCGTACTCAAACTTTCGTTTCTCTCAGAAGGTACTTTAATACTCGAAACTGTCCGCAGATTAATATTGAGGGCAACAGCGACACGCTAAAACGCTCATGATGATATTCTTGAAGTAAGGTCTGACTATTTTTATTATTGATCAGGAAGGATATTTACCTCACATAGCGATACTATCATTTCAGAGTTCTGTACCCTATTGTTCTCGTTACACTGTTCCTCTATCTGTCAAGAGAATCTAGTTCTTGAAAGGGTCAAGATAGAAAGTAGCATTTTCACTAGACCCCCAACTGCTCTTACCCAAAACTATCTAATCTAATTTGATTTTTTATATAATTTCAACTTAATAAAACAAAAATTGTTTTTTTGTTGAATGTCAATTAGGAGATGACCACCGATATTTGTTGAAGGCGAACAATTAGGATGAGACTCTGAATGAGATTTTCGAGTTTTAGGGATAGTGGTCTAGATAGTAGGGAACAGTATTCCTGCCATTGCTGTAGAACATGCATATTACAAAGGTGAATTTGTAAAAAGACGTACCCTGTTGACAACTATTCTATTCCAACGAACATTGAGATCGACTGAGACAAATATGTTTTACCCTCGTGCAGTTTGTGGTCTCCAGATTTAGCATAAATGTTTGAGCGTATGCCCTCCAATGGTTCTGCGAAAAACTATGCTACTTCACGCCAATGTCGAACGATGGTGCTTCCACTGCTCTGCCGACTGGACTGATAATAATGATCTTCGCATCTTACACACCCTTTACTAAATATCACATGCAAACATCTACATTCGATTCACATTTTGTTTCTTCTCCTAGCCAAAGGTTATCTACATTGGGAGTCTTCTATATAATTCTAAGGGTCACCAAACTTGTAGTTGTACATCGATTTCATTTTTGAAACAATTAAAATGCATAAATCTGCTTCGAAAGCATATATAAAAAGCAAATTAAATACTGCTGCTTTGACATTGTCTTCCGAAACTGAAAAAAATCAATTGCACAAGTTTTCTTGGACTACTGGACCGATAAAAGAACATTTTTAATGAGTTTCTGAAAAGAAATATTCGTACCCACATTCATACAACTTTTTTTTTTCAAAATAAAGTTAACAATTATGATGATAGAAACGATTTCTACCGAAAACTCTAATTGGTAACATTTCAACTGATACAGAGAGTTCAATAATCAAGTCTTCAGTTATCCTAAGCCAAAATAAGTTGAAAATTATAAAGGAAAATTAGATTGTATTCAAAACTATATAATTATTGATTTTTTTAGAGGAACAAAATTATGGGCTGAAGATGCGAAGATCATTTTGGAGTCCTCTAGAAGTGTACAAAATTAATGCACCAGGCAATAGTATTTAATTTATTGAAGTTTTAGTTTTTGAAGTTTGTCTAAAAAAATAATTTGGTCGCAAGTGCCATACCGTCACTTCTCAGTGTTAGGGTTGGGAACCAATCAGATGGATGTTTATTAGTGTTAATAACAAAATGTATGGTTAAAAAGAAGCATGAAGCTGTGATAAGTGATGTACAAGTACGAACATGATCTCTTTTGTGCATGTAATGAAATGAACAAATCAAAATCAAACAAAAAAAACATAAAAAGGCTGAAAACACATTCAACACATTATCGTTAACATATAGAGAGTATAAAAATGATCAATAAAACTAGCAGACAGGACAAACAATTTCCGAATGAGGGTAATTCTACTGTTTGCTCTCCCAAATCATTTCAAAATTCATCTGCTTATCGAAGACTTCTCGATCGAAAAATTGTCAAACCCGCCATATGAAGTTGAGATCACAAAAGAGCGGGAAATGTTCGTACTCGAAACAATAAACCATGTAAATATCGTATTCGGTAACCGGCATTTCAACTAAGCACTAGCATGACTTCGAAGCAGAATCATGCATGTAACTGTTAAAAATAAAAAAGCAGGGCTCCCAACAATTTGAAATGATTTAGCCAAAATAATAGTGGACCACCCCATTTCAACTTATGAATGGTACAGATATTTTAACAATTATACCTGCTATGACAATCATAAAGCTGTAAGAAACATGGCCCACTTCACCTGTTGACTCCTCTATTAGTCAATTTACAACATGTCCTTACCTTCAGTTTTCAAAAAATAACAATAGAACAGCTTCGATATTCGGGATGGGGGGAAACAACTAAATAATTGTTTCAAAAGATCAAAGAAACACGGTTAATGAGATGAGAGAAAATCTTACCTGGCATGTACCCCGTCAGCTATGTGTTGCACCAAGTCACCAATTATTTCATGTTTGATGTAATATAACATCCGCACTCTCAGCAAAACCCTGAAAAGAAAAATTAGGCGAGGTTAACTTTCTGCAAAAGTTCTTCAACCCTAGAAGATTTGGAACAGCAGAAGTCAGAGTTGAGAAGATTTATTTCAGCGAATACCTACGTATTCTCTAAATTAGCATGATGGTCATCATATTATCCAAATTGAAAATCAAGAAAATGAAATGAAGAGAATCTTACTTGTTAGCATGCCTCCCAAGATGCTTTTTGTAGTTGCTCTCCAGAAATATATCACCATCGTATCTTTCACTCTTACTCCAATGATTCGGATCTGTTATGGCAGGATGTCTCAAGTCTTTAGAAAGAATACCCTTATCTTTCTTCTTGTGTTTGTTTCGTATTCCTCTGGGAACCGGATCTTTTAATCCATGATGATTTCTAGATATTTTCTGTTCTCCACCATCCTCACAAGGTGCGATCAGATCCCAAATGAAACTCCGGATTTTTTCATCGCCTCTATAGAATCTCAGACAAAACAGCAACTGCAAATAAACAGGTTTCATAATTGCTTGATTAATCTGATGATACTATACTTACAATCACTCTAGCGCAGTCCTCTATATCTTGTTCCTTCCAACCTTTCCTCAACTGCGAGTGTAGCAGAATTTCTTGCCATCTTCCCCATCCAAAAGTGAGTAGTCCCCTTTCAACCATGAAACATTCTCTCCTAGCCCAGCTTCCATAAACAATGTCTCCTCTAGGTTCGCCTTCCCTCGGGATGTAGTCATCGGGTCTATACTTCCTCTTCCTCAATTTCTTATTCTTGCTTCTCATTCCCATGCCTAGCCCCTCGTTCTCAGGATCAGAGTCTGAGGAACTTTCCAATTCCGACATATCAATGGCACTCTCGTCGTGGCCGTACCTCTTGATCTGCGTTCGTCTCCGAGGTTCCGATATCACCAGATCCTCGCTTTCGTCTTTCTCGGTGGTGTCTATTTCTGCCTTCTTGGCCCACTTGTTCCAAAAATCTGGATCGTCTACTGCAATGTCAGATCTGTTAGCGCTCGAGGCGAAGCTGGCTTTAGAGAAAGTGGAACCTTTCTCGGACTCCATTGTGATGACTTGCGTTCGTCTGGCCAGAATGACGTCGATGTCTTCTTCGCAAAACTTGTCGCCATCTTCTTCGTCCAACAGAGCACCATACGCTCCTTTCTTCAGGAGATCTTCGATCTCTTTCTTGCTGAGCTGTCTGTTGCCAGCATCTTTTCCTTGTGCAGTGTTCATGCTCTGTAGTACAGCCTTGTCCAGACCCAGCTTCAATGAAGCTTTATCGAACATTTCCCTTTCGTAGGTGTTTCTGCAGAGCAGCCTGTAGATCTTCACCATTTTTTGCTGGCCGATACGATGACACCTAGCCTGTGCTTGGAGATCGTTCTGTGGGTTCCAATCGCTGTCATAAATGATGACTGTATCTGCGGCTGTCAGATTGATGCCCAAACCACCTGCCTTGGTACATAGAAGAAAAACGAATCTGTCAGAGTCAGGTTTGGAGAACCGATCGATGGCCGCCTGCCTGAGATTTCCTCTGATTCTTCCATCAATTCGTTCGAATGGGTATTTCCTGAACATCAAGTAGTCTTCTAGTATATCCAAGCATTTCACCATTTGGCTGAAAATCAGTACTCGATGCCCGTTAGCCTTCAGCTTAGGTAACAGTTTATCGATAAGCACCATTTTACCGCTGGAGTTTATCAATGATTTATAGTAGGCATCAGGATCTTCACCGTGTTGATGTTTGTAATCATAACCAATCTGCTCTTCGGCACCATTCAATAAGTAGGGATGAATACAGCATTTTCTCAGTTCCATCATGGTATTCATCAGGTTTGGTATGTTTGAATAGGTGGTACCCTTTGTTAAGAAGGAAAAATTCCTTTCTAGAATACCTCTGTAGTACTTCTTTTGGATATTAGTCAGCTCTACTTCTACAACAGTTTCCTCTTTCGGAGCAAGCGACTTCTCCACATCTTCCTTCAGTCTTCTCAGCATCATGGGCTTCAAGAGGCACTGCAATTTCTGTACCTCCGTTTCGGTTCTCAACGCACCGAATTCTTGAAGGAAAATTTCTGAATTTTGGAATTGAGTCGGCTCCAAGAAGTTCAACAAAGAGAACAATTCGTTGACGTTGTTTTGTAATGGAGTACCGGATAGTAAAACTCTGTGTTCAAGTGACAACTGTCTTAAGCCTTCTAGCAATTTACAATTTCGGTTTTTGAGTCTGTGAGCCTCATCTATAACACACACTCTCCAATTAAATCCTTTGAGATCGGCTGAATCAGTAACGATTATTTCGAAAGTGGTTATGACAATGTTGAACTTTGTCAAGTCTTTTATGAATGTGCCTTTTTCATTTTTATAATACATTTCGTATTCCTGGATCATGTTTCTACTGGTTGATGAACCGTGATACACGATAACATTCAGGTCAGTCCAGCTCTCAATTTCTCTTTGCCAGTTTGGTATTGTCGACAGCGGAGCTATAACTAAGAAGGGTCCTCTGATACCGGTTTGCCACACGGCATGCAGGAATGTTAAACTCTGGATAGTCTTACCCAGACCCATCTCGTCTGCTAATATACAATTTCTCGAGTTATACCAAGAGAATAAGAGCCAGTTCAAACCCTCAAGCTGATATTCTCTGAGGCTATTATTACCTTTATAAATTGGAGATGCTTCTAATTTCGTCCATTGGTCTGGATTAGGTCTCTTTTTCAGCTTCCAGGTATCTTTAGGTGGCACCTTATTGAATTTCTCGAACAGTTGAATTTTTATTGGATCCACATCTTCCTCAAGCTCCCAAGTGCAGTCTTCATACTGCAGTGCACGCCATTTCACTAGGAAATGTTTCACCACCTCACCTGTCGTCGCGTCAGTGTGCTCAGATACATCCAACACCCTGTCAACTTCAACATAATCCGGATTGAAAGGTTCCTCCTCCAAATTTTCGAATATGTTCATTTGCTGGGCCTGCTTCTGCTTGAACCTTTTAATTTTGTTAGCTATGCGCCTATCGCCTTTGAATAATTCTTCCTCCGTCTTCCATTCACAGTGCAAGTAAGAGAAGTTCCGATACTTGACATAGTATTCTTCAACATCTACCGTTTCCAAAATGTCTCCTTTATCAGTTTCCACTTCTACTTTAGGCTTTTCTTCCACCTTCGTTGTTTTATCTTCTTCATCGTCGGATGTTTCATCATCTTTTTCCTCCTTCAATTCATCTTTCGTTTCAACAGTTTTATCCTTGAGTAATTGTTCTTTAGTCATCTTACGCTTAGACATTCTCGAGCACAAAACATACTGAACGACCATAGAGTCTTCCTCGGTGGTATTCACGTAGACGTAGTTCATCTGACTCTTTGGATCTGTTGAAGAGGAAGTAGTTTCATCTGTGGGTGCCAGAGGGGGAGGAGATTCCGAACGCGATGGGGTGGCAACAGGTGGTACGGCAGGGACAACAGCCTTCCTGTTTCTAGTAGGCGTGACAGGAGTGTCGTCGTCGGAAAACCTGATCATAACATCATCGATATACTTTTTCCGTTGTGTGTTTCTCGCCGAACGACGTTTCGACGAACATTCGCCATCATCAGGCGGCGACGGTGGTGGGGTCGAGACCATATCCTCGTTCTCGGGATCGGATTCGGGAATGATGGTTCCTCTGCGTCTACGACCAGAGCCGGCGCTGCGTCTCGATCTCGTTTTGGTCGGGACGACTTTCTTCTCCTTCTGGTTCCTAGGTTTTCTGGTTCTTTTGGGGAGTTCCTCTATTTCCGGACTAGGCTGGTCCTCGAAATTGTATTCGTCCTTTTTGGGTTCGTCTTCTGCCACCTCGGACAAGGCGGCGCCTTCAGCGGGTGTTTGGGAATCAGCCTGCATTTCTTCGGGCCTTTCTATGGGCTCTTCTTCGGTTGTACCAGAACTTTCAGGCTGTGGCTGAGAGTCTGGATCTTCTTGTTTGGTGTCGGGCGGAGCTACTGCTGCTTCTGCTTCCGTATCTAATTCGGCCTCAGCTTCAGCTTCAGCTTCCGCCTCTTCAGAAGGTTTACTTTCCATCAGACAAGCAGACAAATCATCCATGCTCTCGGTAGATTTGTTGAACGATTCATCGGTAGCGCTTTCTTCAGATTCGCCAGGTTTCTTTTTCCTAACGTATTTCCTCTTTACTCTGGGTTCTTTAGAATCTTTCGGTTCCCTTTTCTTTCGCTCCTTTGGTGCTTTCACTTCTTTCGGGGAAGTCGGTTCACCGGGATCTCTCATCATTTCTTTAGTCTTATTAGGACCTCTAGGTTTCCTACCCTTCTTCTTTTTTTCTGGTGCTCCCGTAAGTGGATCTATGCCGATGTCTGCCATTTCACCAGAGGGTATGCTCAATCCAGCCCCTGGTGTTACGAAATCTTCAGAGACAGGGAGTTGTTGAGGCGGCTGTATTCCTATAGGCATTAACGTGTTCATAACGTTCATGACAGGGGACATGTGAATCGGCGATGCTACTTTTTCGCCCTTTTTTGCTCTTGGCTTTCTCGGCTTTGGAGGACCCTTTCCTCTACCTCGACCAGTTGTACTGGTGACCTGAGGACTATCGATCATTGGCGATGCGAATATTGGACTTTGCAATATACACTGTGGCCCTCCGTTACATTGATCGGTCGCTTCGTGTTGGCTCAAAATATTCAGTCTGTCTTGAAGGAAAGTGATTTTCTCTTGATGATCTGGACCTGGTGGCATACAATACATCTCCTGCAATTGCTGCTGCAAGGCTGCTCTCTCTTGATGATGACTTATCGGTGTTTGATAACCCGGCATGTCTGGACCAGGCATCATGCCCATCATTCCAGGATGCCCGGTCATTCCCACGCCCAATGCAGGATGCCCCATAGACAGTCCATGGGGAGGCATACCCCTGTTGGGGTTGACTGGCATGCCGTTAGGACCAATCATCGGGCTTCCTTGGTCGAACATACCACCTGGTTTGCTAGTCGGAGGCATGGCCCCATGGGGCGGCAAGTTCGGATTCTGCATTTGACCGTGCGGTAAAGATCCCAGTTGTGTCAGCTGCATTGGTGGCGTCTGGATTTTTTGTCCTTGAATGTTCTGAGGCCCAGGCATCATGGACATGTTAGACTGAGGAGGAGGTGATTGGATATTGGTGATGTTAGCTTGTCCTCCGGGAATATTGTGTTGACTAGGCAGTGAAGATAAGGTGTTTTGCACGGACATTGCTGGTATGTCGTTTTGTCCAGCCATTTTTGACAAATTATTTTGTCCGCTCATTGACATCGGGGACAAGATTTGTCCTTGCACTGAAGGCATCATGTTTTGGCCAATAGGTGTATTTTGATTGGCCATAGAGATTGGTGGTTGACTTTGACCAAGCATGCCTGGCATGTTATTTTGAACCATATTCGGGAAGTTACCAATCCCCGGTATATGGATCTGTCCTGATGGGTTTGTTCCTGGGGAAGTTATCATACTAGACACGTTCCTCGGACTAGGTATTCTCGGTAAATTACTGTGGCTCGACATACCGGAAATAATATTTTGCATGGATGTAACTGGTGGAGGACTAGATATGCTACTTTTACTGTTGGGACTATTCCTGCCAGAATTACTCATCTGGTTTTGTTGCCCTATATTACTAGGTGCTAGTTGAAGGTTTTGTTGATTGGCATTATTAGTCTGCTGAGCTCCCTGTAGGTTTTGTTGCTGGATATTACTTAAATGTTGGGATATATTAGGTAGCATTTGTGACGTCGGTACTTGACTGGGAGTTACGTTGTGGCCAAGTGAAATTGGCGATTGCCTATTAGAACTCAACATAGAGTGGGACTGAGTAGGTGATGGTGAAGAAACATTTGGATTCATGCCATATGAAGGAGTCCGATTATCTCTTTGGTTACTCATTATGTTGGATGGCAATGGCATAGAATTCTGACTCATAGGTGATTGGAGCCTCGGTGAATGTATTGAACTGTGCTCAGATTTATTGGATTCTGGTAGAGATTCTTGAGAAACCGAGTTGTCTTGACTAAACATGGAAACATTCGATTGTACCAGATCGTCCATCTTATTAGTTTTAGGTGTACTAGGCTGACTCGTATAGCCCGTCATACTTGAAACGCAGTTAAAATCGGTGAAATTATTCGTTGTGCTACTTTGACTCGGTGTCTGTTGCTGAGACGTGGAACTAGTGTTGCTCAACTCGTCAATCTGTTTCACAGAATCACTGTTGGAAGGAAGACTAGCCTCTTGGGTATTTGTAATATTGTCGTCGGTCGTAGAAGTAGGTGTAGGGGTTGGCGGGTGAGAGGATACCGAAGGTGCCGATGTTGGTATCATCATTTCAGTGTTTGTGGTGCTACTCGGCATCTTATCAGGTATACTAGTTGTTGGCGAAGGAACCGAAGTAAAACTGCTCTGGCTACTGACCGGCACACCTTGAGAAGCAGACGATTCTTTCTCTCTGGCCAGCATATCCGGCAAAGGAGTACCAGTTTTGCTAATATCACTCCTCAGATCGTCATTACCGAAACCCACATTCAAACTAGGCGCTGGAGACATTTGGGTATTCGCTAAACTGGATGGAGGTAGAGATTGAGTCGGCGGAATCGATTGACTGGTAGGAATTGAATTCTGCTCCATCATTCCCATCGGCCCACCGTTCAAGCTGGGCAAATGCGAGGATTGCCTCGACTGCACAGGAGGCCACTGCTGCTCGGCGGCCATCAAGGTCCTCATTCCCATCGCAGGACTCAGCGGATTTTGAGGCCCAGGAGGCGGGCCCAAGGAATTTCTCGGTTGATAGGGCGGATACTCTGTGGGATTGTTGCTCGATGGCGGCATCACCATCTGTTCGAGGGCCTGCAACGTACTTTGTTGCGAATAAGGAGGCATTGGAGCTGGAGAAACCGCAGTCACCTTCGGCGTTAGACTGCTAGCAGGCCTGGGACTCAGGTTACTCTGGGTGCTGGGAGGATGCGGGGACATATTCGGTTTGGCCGGCGACATGACCGGCCGTGGCGACATTTGCGACGAAGTCGGAGGGGGCCTCGGCGACATTTGCGGTCTAGGAGACATCTGAGGCGACAACTGCGGAAAAGGCGCCCGATACTGGGGACTGACGTTTCCCATCGGTCCGGCAGAGTGCTTCGCCTGGAACTGCTGTTGACTGGACGGCGGCACTTCCATCGGCCGCTGCATCGACTGCATGGCCTGATGGCTCTGACCGTAACCGGGATGGCCCATCGGACTAGGAGCCTGCGGGTTCGGTTGTGGGGCACTGACGTGGCTTTGTGCAGAGGCGTGGCCCACTGAATGGGGAGTCTGTCCCATGTGACTGACGGTGGGCCCAGCGGCGTGAGACAAGCCCTGACTGTGGCTCATCTGAGCGTACTGTTGGCTCTGCGAGACAGAGGACATGTCCATCTGATGGTGGGACTGCGGGTATTGGTGGTGGTGTGGCAGCCTCTGGTGCATGTAGCCCGCATAGCTCTGGCTGGCGGCAGACGTGGGGTAACCCGATGAGGGTTGTGGGTAGTGCGGGGCGTGTCTTTGTTGCATCTGATAGGCGGACTGGTGCGGTTGCTGCATCATTGGGTGCTGGCCGGCTGCAAATTGCTGTTTCGGTTCCTGCTGGTGGGGATAGCCGGCCATCGTTTGCTGGCGATACTGGTTCATTTGGGTGTACCTGTGCATTCCGGGATATCCGGCCGCAGCGGCTGCAGCAGCGTGCTGGCTCCAGCCGGCGGCTGCTGCGGCAGCTTGCATGTTGCTAGTATCGCCCATACTGCTTACCTGTGCGAGGCGAGTGAAGATTCGATTTTATAGGTTTTCACATAGCATATCCAATTCTTTATTGTATACCCTGAGCTATGTACGTTTATTATTGACACAAACATGTGCAACTGTGTTATTTTTATTATATTGATATCTGAATGACTAGATTGGTAATCAATATTCTTCCACCAACAAGAGAGGCTCAGAGTCCAAACAGGATATGTACTACAATATTAAACCATTTTTTTTCATTTTTGTACCTACGACGATTATTTAGAGCACAAAGATTATCTAAAATATAATCATGATCTCGTTAGAATGTTTTATTTTCTGTTCTTGCAGATCAAGAGGTGAGAAGATTATTATACAGGCATGTTTTCTTTTCAATTAAGGTACGTTAAACTTTTTAGTTAATGAATGTAGTGAATAGAAATAACTGAAGAATTGGAATAGTACACAGTGCATTGAGAATTAGAAGGTATCATTATTAATAACTACACTAAAAAGCAGACATCATCAAAATATTTAATTTCAAAATAAGCAACCCTTAAAATATAACTATTTATTTGATCGAAGACATAGGAATGTACCAAAATTATACACTGATTGATGTTACTTAAAAGCGACAGTTTTCGGATTTACGGATGCATGTTCGGTGAAAAATTTAGACTAGTTCAGGTATGTCTTCACCCAATTCTTAATGAGTGTAAATTGCCAGGGTCGGTTTTTCAATTTTTCTATAATCATAATCAATATCATAAAAAATAATTGTATTTCATATAAAAGTACAGGGTTATAAATCGAGAAGGCCCACCCTTATATTCACGTATTCACATGTTCTACAGGGAGATCCTTTAAAGCGTGACAAACTCCAACTTGATTTTTCTCGAATGGAATAAACAGTTCTTTTTTCGAAATCTGTGATTTTTTGTCATCGCAAAAGTATATATAAATAGATATAGAGTAAATTTCGAGTTTCGTGCCGTGAGTATAATCACAAATACATGCTTGGACATATAACTGATTGCAATTAATTCACATATTTTCGTCATGATACAACTTGCATATTTGGATGGAAAATTGTTGAGCTATTGACAATTTAAGTTGACCACTCTGTGAGTCGAATTCGGTGGGCTTTGAAAGAATGCCAATTATATTGTTTATGCTCCGTACAGACATAAATAGGATATTCCAGACATCGATTTTTTTTAAGAATAAAATATCAGCGAAATTCAATTAGTGACATTGAAACGCTGATATTCATTTCAGTGATATTTACTGCACATTCACTGATAGGTGTATCTCAACATTTTATGACAATATTTATTTATTGTCAGCTATTTTGTCAATATGTCATACTTCATTGTTTTCAGAAGAAAATCTCGACTAGAAAACAATCAAACTTTTGGTGCAATTCAAAAAAATATTGACAGTCGGAGACCTAACAGTTGAAAATTGAAAAAAATTATAACCAGAACATACTCAATGTACCATTAGTACCTGATGATTCGTTTCAATTGCTTCTTAACCTATATTAATCATCATTCAGAATCTTTAGATGAAACACTTAATGGGACGGTTCAATTTTAAGAGACACACTATCTACCATGAAGTTCAAATATATTAGCACACAATTTTGAACTCTAGCCATAGAAAACCCCCTCAAATAGAATGAAATCTCATATGTCCGCGGTTACTTCTTTTGTTATTGTTCATGTGATGTGCAGTTTATATTTTTCATTTTTTCGTGAAATGATGGGATCAGTGTCAGGAATGCATCATCAATATTCAAGCATGTTTGTCCTTCATTCTTTATTGTAATACAGTAACATAAATAAGAAGCATTTTTAAACTTCTGTGCTCTGTAGTTCTCCAGAAATGATACAGAGTCAATAACCAATAACCAATAACATTTCGAAATTGCCGCCACTAGAGTCACTGGATGGTGTTAGTAGATAAGAGTTAGGACACAGCTGAACTTCTGTCCTTTTCTATTTTCTATATTACAATGTTTTGAGTGCATAAAAGAATAAGACATATATTCTGCTCTTTGTCTTTTCAATTCTCCTAGTAGCACCTGATTGTCAGATACGATTCGAGAGGTTAAATTTCCTGTCAAATCAATCATAGCCGTAAATGGAAATAGGGAATAAACACCCACTTCAATTTATAGCGATACGGCACTTTTCGCAGAACAGCAGATAAAAATGAAAACAATGCATGTAACATTTAAATGACAAAATAGACATATATGGATATACTGATAGCGAGTTCCGTCGATATTAAAAACGCCATTCAATGATATAGAACGTGGCAATTTACTTGATTTCCTCAGTTTCATTTTAAACATTTCAATTTCATCATGCACTTTTGCAATCAATTCCTTTCTACAATCTGCTGCTATAGAAAGTGAATTTCAATGTATGTATGTTCCTCACAAATTTTGCTTATGTTCAAATTGATTTCCCATCTACGCCATTTCATACATTCCTTCCATAGGAGAAATAGGGTTGATATTTCCTTTGGCGAATTAAATGAATGAAATCCATTCTCTTCAGAATTCCCACAATTCATTATACAGCAGGGCCTTTTCAATTATGCTCTCTTCTCAATAGTTTATGAAATTATATTTCAAATCTGACGTTCATAGTATGTATTATCAAATTCAAACAATTTTGAATGAAAAAGTGCGGAACGACTATGGTGCTCTTGTCACAATGCAAAGAGTGTAACTTAATAAATTTAAACATTCAAAAACACTAACTGTCATTTCTGTGACCGAACTCTTATGTAACTAATACCATCCAGTGACACTAGCCGCCATGATTGTGAGTGGTCGAATTAGTTCGGCTCCCAAAACGCATGGTGGCGCTGATGGCGTTGTTCTGGTCGTCACCATGGGAGTAGTCATTCTATTTGTGGAGTGTTTTCTATGACTCTAGCCCTCACCAGCCACACCATCATTCATCTCTTACCTGCACGTCCGGCATCGAGTACATATTGTCCGTCTGATAGGGATACCCCCCGCCAGCGCCGGGCCCCGCCCCCGGCCCCGCCCTGCTCATCTGGCGCTGGTGCTGGTAGGCGGCGCCGGGAGGCGGGCCCATCGGCCGATCAGGCCCCGCCCCCGGACCACCCCCCGCGCCGTAACCCTGCGCGTACGCGCTCTGGGCGGCGGCGAGCGCACTTGCATCCATGTGGCCGAAGTCAGGCGCGCCGCCGCCTCCCCCGAAGGTCGACAGTTTCTGGAGGGGGGAGTCTTGCGGGTAGCCCGAAGGCTGCTGGAACGAAATAATGTTTGGAACAGGCTTCGAGGTTTGGTGCTTAGTCGACTGGACGTGACCTTTTTTCTTAACCGTTTGCCTGCCTAACCTCTTCAACTATGGGTAGCGTGCAAGAACATTGAAACACAACCTCACTTTTCTAATTTGTTTACAAGTGATTGAAATAGTTTGTCACAATTATTTTGGCATAGGAATCGTATTTTTCGGCTATTTATTAATTCGCTCATGCCATCACATTGTGCTGTTGTACAATGCACAAAAACTGCAGCGGAAGACGAAGGAAGCCGTACATTATGATTTAAAAGTAAGTACCTACTATAGTCACTCACATATAGTTTTCATTTTTGAAATTTGGTAATTCCTCTGATTTTTCATCGGAATTCCTTCTGCAATAGGAGCCAATAGTTATACTCGTGGAATTTCGAAAATAATGCAAGAAGATTGGATTCATGCAATCAAACGGGAGGACTAGTCTGACATGCTGAAAAAATAAGATCATGTGTGTTGTAGACATTTTCAATCTATTAGCAGTATCAGCTTGTATTGCAGAAGTGACAGAAGGAATTTCAATAAAGAATGACAACATTTCATAATGAAAACTATGTGAGATTACTATTTTCCTGAAAAATCATATTCCTTTGTCTTTCGCTGCATTTTTTGTGCATTGTAGGACAGCACAATGCGAAGGCATGCTTCAATTAATGAATAGCACAAAAAACACGATTCGTATGCCAAAATATTGTGAAAAACCATTTCAATACTTTGATTCCTCTGTAAACAAATGAAAAAAGTGAGATTGTGTTTCAATAATTCACAGAAGAGTGAGGTTGTGTTTCAATATTTTACCTCCAGGGTCGGTCATCGTGCCCGCGACCTAATGAGTTTAGCACTATATCATAGTATTCTATTCGATTTGAGAGATAATGTCAATTCTCAATTTCAGAGGATTTTGATTTTTCATGCTCTCTATGGATATTCAACAGATATAATTCAATGTTCGACGTGGCAAATAGCCAGGAAAGTAGTTGTTCTCTGTTGAATATTCAGAATGATATTATGTACATATCTTCGTATGAAGGAGAATGCAAATTCTCTACATCAGAAGATTTTGTTTACAAATTCTTATCGTGTGTGTTCAATAGATGTAATCCAATGTTCGTCGTGGCATGTAGCCAGGAAAGTAGTTGTTTTCTGTTGAATAAACCGAGAAAGAATTGATATTTCCATCACATGGAGAATGTGAATTCTCAATATATTTCTTTATATACAGGGTTCTTGTAAAGCCCGCGAGGACCAACAACATATCAATTTGTTTACAATAAGAATACATTGTAGTCATCATCAATAAACAGTCCGACTAATTAGATTAATTTTCAAAAATGAGCAGGATGCATCATATCATCAGAAAATGTTTATTTGCAAATGAACCCCGGACTCATCAAAAATTGATACGATACAAAAAATATTTTTGTAGAGAATATCTTTCTGAAAAAAAAAACTGGAGGTTTCCATTCTGACCTCTGAAAAATCATCACCAGATTTGTACGGCAACATGGTTGTTTGAAACACTTGCAGGTCATTGATAAGATCAAAACGTGACTTACAGTCACAGAACATGCCATGCCAAAAATCATGAAAATCGATCTCAGCCTACTTTTTTTATGAGCAAAATTATTTTTTTCCAAAAAAACTTCAACGCCTTGTACCAACTCAACGAGACGATTTTGGATATAGGATAGGTAAGTTGGCCTAAATCAGCTCAATTTTATCTCAGAAGTCCACAGCCGAGCAATGTCCCAACCTTTTACAGACATCCTATATATCACATATGTATACACTGTTGATGGATTTTGTTGTGCTATAGTTCCGAAAAATGAGTCAATAATACTGTCTCCGAGAAAGAACTGCAAGTCCTTTTATCTTCCATTCTACTTCGCGGTTACATATTATATTACTATAAACACACTAAATTCACAATTTTTTGAAATCAAAACACAGAATTAGACTGACAGAAGTGGCATCAGATATTTGATTACTTCAAAAGAATGATAACGATGCCTACAACACAGGTGTTCCTACTGTTACAAACTTAAAATTTCACGTTGATAATTTCCAAATTTCAAAATAATGTAATATCTTCTCAATATTGATTCGTCCTTTCTTATGTCACAGAAAAAAATTGTGTATTATACACGGGAAAAATATTAGATTCTCCTTGCATAATAAATAACTATTTTTTCAATTAAACAACCGTTTAATTAGCTATATTTCAATAACGGATTTGGTAACAGTTAAAGATACAGTGTGACCCATTTAAGATGGAAGCACCCTTATAAAACTTACATTTTTCAACCGATTGGAATGATTTTTTTTTTGTTAGGTAGATATTCAAAAAGTCTATTAGGACACCAAATATCATGAATAAATCTCCATTTCCAGGGCCAACTGATCTGATTTTTCAAGGTCAAAAATCTAAAAAAATTACTAGCGATTTTTTTAGAAAAAATCTGACTACACCACTGGATTTGTGACATTTTCAAATGGGTAACATGTAAATTACGTTGAAATGCGTCAATCAATAAAAAAGTTATAAAGGAATGAAATTTGAAAAATATGCCCATCAATTTTTATTACTGAACAGATTTCGGTGAAACTGTGATCAGTAATATTTCAAGACATCCTGAATCCAGTGGAGTATACAGAATTTTCATAAAATTCCTGAACATGAATTGGTGGGTTGATTAAACGGCATATTTTTCAAATTTCATTCCTTTATAACTTTTTTATTGATTGACGCATTTCAACGTAATTTACATGTTACCCATTTGAAAATGTCACAAATCCAGTGGTGTAGTCAGATTTTTTCAAAAAAAATCGCTAGTAATTTTTTTTAGATTTTTGAACTTGAAAAATCAGATTAGTTGGCCCAGGAAATGGAGATTTATTCATGATATTTGGTGTCCTATTAGACTTTTTGAATATCTACCTAACAAAAAAAAATCATTCCAATCGGTTGAAAAATGTGAGTTTTATAAGGGTGCTTCCATCTTAAATGGGTCACACTGTTATTTATTTATCATAACCAAACTGTTTTCTCAGTGTAACAAATCACGCCGCCACTCACCGTGTGCTGCTGCTGCGCGTAGGGCGCGCCCCTGCCCGCCCCGCCGCCCGTCACCGCCGCGTCGAAGGCGCCGCCGCCGGCCTGCCCCGCCCCGCCCGCTCCACCGCCGCCCGTCCCGCCGCCCAGGTCGGGCAGCCCCTCCAGCATGCCGCCGCCATCTTCGCCGAACAGGTCGTAGGAGTCCATCGCCTTACGCGCCGTCGCATAGCTTCGGGCCTGCGTCGTTGCTCATCGCACTAGAGCATCTCTGGAAAAGGGATTGGATGGCGATTATTGCATTGGATAACTGGGATTTACACCAAAATTTCACACCAAACATTTTCGATGTATTTCGTATTGTTACCATAGCAACTAGAAAAAGGACCCTGCACTTTTAGTACGTAAAATGGTTCTCGGTGAAATTTTCTGAATTTTCAGTATGTTGTAGAATTCGATGAACTGATTGAACCTGCAGAATCGTAAAGTTCTTTGATGAACAGATTCTGAGATGAAGGGCGTTGAAGTTACAAATCGGTATTTTTCATTTAATTATTTTCTCGAAATTCAAAGATGCCAAGTACAATTTTCTTCGCTCATATCAATAACGAACCTCCATATTACTCAACATAATTCAGATGGTTCAGATGATGTAATTGTTTACAGAGTGAAACATATAAACATTTCAGTGATGTCTGATAATTCGATGTAATAATGAAATATCGAAAAAATAATTAAGGCATGCAATATACTATTCTCATTCCATCATGAATCACAATTCATACATTTCATACAGGGTGATTTGAAAAATTGGTGACACCTAAGACCGATTTATTCATACACATCCTGTATATTCGAGTGAATTGTTAACCTCCCAAGATAGCTGATACCGTATGAACATGATTTCGTTGAGATATATAGGGTGATCATGAAGATTTTCGATGATGAAAATGACAAAAAATCGTGTTTTTTGAAATCACCCTGTTATTCATGATTAACTCGGTGAAATTCCCTAATTATTCAAGGTTTAGCTCTACATCGCTGTAAGAAAATTTAACTTGGTAAGTTATAATTGATGAACCCATTTTTACTACAATTGAAGGGTCATGTTGAATTGGTATATTCATTTATTAAAATTTTGAAAATATTGTTGGCATACAATAGTAGCAAGGTCTCACGTACACCAATCCAGTAATTTTGGGAGACAATCCTTTGCAGGGTGCTAAAATGTACATTCTGAATATTGTAAGATTCAGACGACGTTCATTAGAATTTTTCAAATGGAACACCCTGTATTTTTATTCACAAATTCATTCCGACATCTTTCGCCTTTTCATCGCTGAAAATACAATCAAATTCGGCTGCGGCGTTTTCAAGTTATGAGCAATTTCCTTATGTTCATCATTAATGGTTCCTTTATTTGATCTGATTGCTTGTCACATGACATCCGAGGTTCTACATAGATCATTCAGGTATTTTTGCGATATTATGTGCATTGTCCAAATTTATAATATTCCGTATAATCTTGATACTTATGATTTAAATAATATGTACCTATGTGAAACGAACAAACATGCCAAAAGCAATGCCTGCCTTTAAAAAACTTCTACAATACAAACAATGGAGATTTGACTTGCGAGAATAAGGAATTTTTTTTTAAATTTGGGCCACTTTTATTGTCGTTATTCCCACAATCCAAATCTCCATTCAACTTAAAGGTGGTGAACATAATGATACAAGCAATATTTTTTTACTACGCGGGTTTCGGAAAGGAATTCAGCAACATTTCAAATAAATTCAAGATATATTTGATTGTGGCGATGTTTGACATGTCATCACACGAATATAACTGTATTTGGAAAAATTAATTCATAGTTTGCAAAAAAACTGTGAAAGTAGCATTTTGGATACATTTGTCAAAACCCACTCTGTTTTAAATAATTCAAACTTGGAGAGCCTGTGAATGTTCCTATTGTGAAAAAATATATGAATGATCAATGAAGGAATTCGATTATACCGTATAGCAACGCAATATTTCCACAATTCAATTGAATGAAAGAACTATGACGTACAAATTACCCCAAAATAGTAGTAAAAATAGGGAAATTATCCATGACTCGACAACGCCGCAACCGATTTCGATTTTTTTCCAGCGATAAAAAGGCGAAAGATGTCGGAATGAAAATTTGAATAAAAATACAAGGTGTTCTATTTGAAAAATTTTAATGAATGTCATCTGAATCTTGCAAATTTCTAAATGTAAAATTGAGCACTCTGTTAAAGAAGATTTCGCAAAATTACTGGATTGGTATACGAATAAATGAATATACCATGCCCAATTCAATATGACCTTTCAATAGTGGTGAATATTGATTTATCAATTATAAGTTGGCAACGCCGCAACCGATTTCGATTTTTTTCCAGCGATAAAAAGGCGAAAGATGTCGGAATGAAAATTTGAATAAAAATACAAGGTGTTCTATTTGAAAAATTTTAATGAATGTCATCTGAATCTTGCAAATTTCTAAATGTAAAATTGAGCACTCTGTTAAAGAAGATTTCGCAAAATTACTGGATTGGTATACGAATAAATGAATATACCATGCCCAATTCAATATGACCTTTCAATAGTGGTGAATATTGATTTATCAATTATAAGTTGGCAACGCCGCAACCGATTCAAATTTTTTTACAGCGATGTGAAGGTAATCCTTTGGCGGAATAAATTCCGAATAAATAATACTGGGTGTTCCATTTAAGAAAACTCGTCTTCGAGTTGTCCCGCTTTTATAAAACACCCAGTAATGTTGAAAATATTTTTGAAGCAAGCAACTTTGGTAACTGAAAGTTTTTCCTTCGGATTTTTTCTCTATAGGTCATGGCTTTCGAGATATCAAAGAATTACGCACTAAATGGACACACTGTATAAGTCAAAAAATTAAAATCATTTTTCTACTCACATAACTAAAATGGCTTTTAGAGTACGGATGTGTACCACGCTAAATGATCGATTAATCACGGATTGTCGATCTGTGATTTATTCAAAATATTAAACACGTTACCATGGCAACACGATTTCTTAAACACATTACCATGGCAACACAGTTCATTAAACACAGCTTCAGTAATTTGAGACATGTCTAGCCTGTCAATTGTATCAACTGTCAACTGTTATTTTCAAATTTTGTATCAAAATTATTCAAACAATAGTCGTTTGTATCAGAATTCTTCATTAAAAATATATGCAAAATGTAGACGAAAGTGAAATCGACGAGAATGTTCTGGTACTTGCATAACTCCAAGAAGTGTAAAAATGAAGCATCCATCTTTGAGAACAATTCATTTATTCTGCGCTAAGCATGACAATAAACGTGAAACAAAGGTTAGAAGCAATATAATGGACACATCTGAAACCAATATCACTTATACGTGTCTCGCTGGTTGCATGCAGTTGCATGTATTATGTGCTCAATTCCCATTCCTATCGAATTATTTTGTAGGTTAGCAGGAATAGCAGGTATGTTGATGTAATTTTCGGAGTTAGTAGAAAAAGCATAGTATGTAACGCGTTTATAAACTCTTCTAGACACTCGTTTATTAAACACTCGCTGCTCTGCTCCGCTCGTGCTTAAAATACTCGTTACTAAAACTACGTTTATAACACTTGTTACATAATATACTATCATCAACGGTTTACCATATAATATTCGGTAGGTATACTTGCAAATTCGAAATTTACAAAACCATCAAAAATCGTCATTATCCAAGTAATTTTTAAATAATATCCGGCCGGTTGGCCGGAACTCCCGTTCCGGCCGGAATTTTCGGAACATTTTGGAAATGATTAATTTTTAAATTTTTAATATAATTCAAATGCAAATATACAGGGTGGGCCACCAGTAACGCCTCGGTCTCTAGAAGGCTAACCACTCATCTTCTTGGAATTCTTCCTCTCTAGGTAGTTGCATGTCAACATAGGCTACCATTTGAAATTATTTCAAAACATACAGGGTGTCCCAAAAAACCGCAAAACAAGGAGGTAATACGTTCTTTAATTGAACACCCTATATATTATTTCATTTTGAGATTCTCCCTGATGAGCTGATTTCAACGACCCATCATACTTGGGGTCTAGCAATAATAATTACTGAGATATAGGGTGTGAAAAATCGAGATTTTCCAACAAGAATTTTTGGTGTCGAAACTATTCATAATAATTTGTCAAAACGGTTTACATGTCCCTATCTCAACTTTTTATTATATTATAATCAAAAAATTCATATGTTATTTTCATTGTTTTTTTTTAGTTGTGTTGGATATACACAGTCCACTGTGTACGTAGACAAAAATGAAATATAAACCAATGAATTTATTATCGTTGAATATCTAGAAATGTCGACAGTGCAGCGCACGAGGGCCACATTAAATTTGTTTATTTAAAATATATAAATGAAAGCAATGTGTATGGTATAGATGAGGAGAGACTGCTTACTAAGCATATACTTATGTACTTAGTTTTCCTAGAGACGTTTTCTATATGATGATTCTTACATCGGCGTGCTTTCCGAGTGGTCTTGATTTGAAGAGAACAATATACAGTTTTAAAGTATAACACACGGACTTGTTATTTCCATAACCAATTTCCATCAGGTTATGGGCCCAGATTGCTAATCCAGTGTGCTAGCTCATAAGTGTGTATTTGTGTACTTCGTGTAATCTGAAGTGACTATGGAAAATTTGAAAGTGAAGAGAAACATTAAATCATTCGACGGGGACAGATATGGTGTGTGGAAATTCAGAATACGGGCTTTGTTAACTGAACTTGACGTTATCAAAGTTATCGATGAGGAAATCCCTGATCCAATGACTGATGTGTGGAATAAAGCTGAACGCACAGCCAAAAGTGTTCTTGTGGAGTATTTGGCTGACTCTTTCCTTGGTTTCGCAAAAACAGACAATACCGCAAAGGAAGTTTTGTGTAGTTTGGATGCAATTTATGAACGCAAGAGTATAGCTACACAACTGGCTTCACGCAAGAAATTGCTGGGACTCAAATTGCAAGGTGACACATCTCTAATGCAACACTTCAGAACCTTCGATGATATAGTTACAGAACTATTGGCAGCAGGTGCAAAATTAGAAGAGACTGATAAGGTATCTCATTTATTGTTGACTCTCCCTACATCTTATGATGGAGTTATAACAGCACTGGAAACATTATCCGAGGATAATTTGACTTTACCATTTGTGAAAACAAGACTCCTAGATCAT